GAACATGGTTGTGTTAAGTTACTTCCCCGAACGATTGCCTCAGTTCTATTCAAACGAGCAAATAAAAAGCAAATAAGATGTTTTAATTTGCCTTGTTAGTCAAACGATCTGCATTGGAATTGTTGTTTTCAAGAAACTAACGCAGAATAAGCAAACTATCGAAATTGCTATGGTTTGGTTAAGTTATGACATGGTTCGGTTAAGTGTCTAAAAATTCGTCATGGTTTTGATCAAGTTTGTCATGGTTTAGATCGAAATTAATATGGATGTGTTTCAGCTCAATATTGATAGTTTGTTTAAAAACGCTTTTAATTAAACGAAATTACACAATTTACCAACTGACTAAGAAGAAAAAAAGCCTTTAAAACCAAAATTAGATGCTGTAATTGGCAAAGCGTACATTAAACAATTTAACTGTTCGTGACTTGTCTTTGTATGCAAATCGTACTACTACGAGTGTCTTGTAAATGAATTAGGAGTAAATGAGCACTCATGTAATCCCACATACAAAAACATCATTTGACAAGGATGAGATTTTGGTGATTCATAAGTCCTTAATAGCTTCAATGAACATTACTTTGAGTAGCAAATCGGAGGACTTACCTTGTTTGTATTGGATACCTAAGCTTCACAAAATTCCATACAAACGGCCGTACATTGCCAGCTCATCTGCATGTTTTCGACGAAAGAATTGTCTATTAGATTGACAAAGATTCTTTCCGCAATGAAAGAGGGTTTTCAGAAATACCGCGAAACTGTTTACTCGCGTAGTGGTATTAACCATATATGGATTTAAAAAAAAACTCTTAAAGAACTTCTGAATAAATGTAAATCTCGATATTTCTCTGAATTAATTCTATCAAAACGTTTAATTTTTCAACCCTGTGCACCACCATTCCCTATGTGTAATTGAAAAATCGTCTAAAAGAAATAATTAAAATCTACAATGCTTTTCAACATAAAAATGATAGCGCACGCTATACATTTATTACTTTTGGATACCATACGGCATATTTTGTTAATAGTGAACAAAAAAATAAAACATGCTACAGAGGAACAAGTGACCAGTATATGCTGGAGTTTCTTATTGACAAAATATTTGTTGAATTTGGAGGTAGACTTTGTCACCAAATTGTAGGTATTTCTATGGGAGAGAACTGTACGGCAGCGACCTCTTCTTATCTTCATATAAGTCGGAGTTCCTTCAGACATTTGTAAAAAACAAGATCAAAAAGCCAGATTATTTAATTTCACATTCATATATATTGTTCTTTTCATTAACAATCCAGACTTTTCTGATTGAATTCCACTAAAATATCCCAAAGAACTAGAAATTAAAGCAACAGACTCGGCTTCCTCTGTCTCATTTTTTAGACTTATAACTCGAATTTGACATGAGCGTTCATCTTAGTACCAGAATCTATGACAAACGAGACGATTTTGATTTTAAAATTATCAGTTTCTCCAACCTTAGTAGCAATATACCAACTTCTCCGGCATATGGGATATACATTTCCCAACTCATTCGATATTCAAGAGCTGGCAGATGCTACTCAGACTTTGTAAACCGTCACCAGTGTCTGAGCAGAAAGTTGATGAACCAGTGGTATGTCAAAGAACGTCTCGTCCTTTTTCCAAAATGTTCATCGGAAGACCTTGTTGATAAATATTCCTTTTCAACTTCACAAATAATAAACGATGGTCTTTAAGTAAACATTCTAAGTACTGACGTTGTTTGTCACCTTAATAACGTGTTATGGTACTCTTTTATTTGTCTTTGTAAATTATTACTTTAACTGTTTGGTCTATTTTTGCCCAATCCATTTGACGTGGCTCGGTACTTATACATCCCATCATTGTGTTATTGTGCTATGGTAATTTTTTTGGTATTCTTGTCTTTCGTTTTTGCATATGTCCTTTGTCTATAAGCCTTTTTGTTTTTCTTTGTTGAAATATTTGTTTTGTTTTTATAGTGACTAAGATTATAACACAATGTTGCCTGCTGTAACCTTATTTTTTGACATTTTTACCTATTATGTCTGTTTGTTTTGTACACACATCATCGTCAATATAATGGAATTTTATGCGACTGTCATACATGTGAGAGGTTAAGCTGGCTATAAAACCAGGTTTAATCTAGGTATTCTTACATATATTTCGATGTGCCCCGTGCTGTCTATTATTTGTTGTTTAGTTTTATATGTATTGTCTATCATTTGTTGTTTCGAAGTTATTGGTCTTTTGTTGGGCAATGTATGACAAATATATTTTGAAAAACCTCGCCCGTAATTATAAATTATGTAATTCATTGACCGCTCCCGACATGTGTAACTTCAAGGCATATTTTAGCGGCGATTGATGTCTTTCAAAATTACTGCACTTTTCTTGTATCCCTGGTGCTTTCGACTGGAGAACCGTCGTACACAAGTATCGCACAAGTTGGCACTCAGAGGCGGATGGGGAGCAAGAAGGTGAACTGTGCTTCATTTTTATCAATAGTACCGCTTAAGTCGACGCTAGGGGCCGTCTTGACCTTGTTGTAGGGTATGAATGATTCGTTCATTGTTGAAGACCCTACATCAACTGTCAAAATGAAGAACAGGAATAAAAGCCCTGTTCATTGATAATTTTCTATGTTTTCTATGTATTGTGTCTGATTTTGTCCCATGTACATTTACTCCATATCCTTTCATTTTCTATTAATCCACCATTTTCTACAGAAAAAAATGTATGTACCAAGTCAGGAATACGACAGTTGTTATCCATTCATTTGATGTGTTTCAGTTTTTGGTTTTGCCATTTGATTAGGGACTTTCCGTTTAGAATTTTCTTCAAAGTCCCGTATTTTTGTTATATGGCTTTTATAATTCAAATAGTTACTGCTCTTGTAAACTAACTTTTGAGATAATAATTACAAAAACAGAAAGCGCTGCTTCTGTTTCACATAGATTATTTTCTCCGTATGTCCATGATTGACTCTGTCGATGATATGGTGAGCGGCATCACTTGTAAAATTTGTAAAAACTATTAGTAAAATTAAAATTAAAAAAAAATACACACAAGTTCAGAATTTAAATATATGAAAAATCACAATTCCGAATTAGAATGAAGCCGATTTAATGTCCACTTTTATCAATTATTATTACGAACGAATAAAAATGATTTTTTGCAATATTGTATAATACATTGGTTTTCTCATTTAATTTTTTTTTACATATAATTTTGTCAGAGCCTTTTATAGCTTGCTAAAAGTATGGATTTTGTTCATTGTTGAAGGCCGTACAACGACATATAGTTGCTTACATCTACGTGATTTTGGTCTCGGATGGATAGTTATCTCATTGGCAATCAGACCTCATGTACTTAATATATATAATACTACATTGAATGTGCGTATATATGTCCTTTTGTATTCCAAATAAAACGATTTAAAAAAGAGTATTTCAATATATATAATGTCTGTTTATTTTGATCGTTACTCTTCCTTCATTCACGAATAGAATCACATAACTGAACTATGTTCGACATGAAATAATCCATGACACGAATGAACCAAACCATGACACCGAATATTCTGTAATCTCAAATTGTGTACACTAGGGGCTGTTTTTCGGGAAAATTGACGGCAGTTTTATATCATAACAAAATATGTGATGTAGCAGACAGTAAGCAAACCAATTTTCTTTATGCATTAGAAACGTATCACAACTTGTAAATTTTGACATACGCAAGCATTATTCTGTGTCAAATTGATAACTATATGATACAAATTTTGATGTATTAACATATTAGCTATAAACAAAGATACTTACAGCTTGAATTTGTTGTCACTAGTTCCTTTAACAAACTATTCGAATGTTTATATTTTGACACTGTTTGTCATCAAAAACACTTAACACAACCATGTTCATCTTAACCAAACTATGACAAAATCACTGTACTAAACGCTTTTCGATATGACGAGGTTACTACCCGTGCATAGGGTCTTATGTTAAACAAGTCCTCTGCTGGCAGCCATCTTGGATAATTGATTGGCTTCAAAGTAACAACATTTGGTCAGCACCTCATAATGATTCTTCACAACATGTTTGGTTTCATTCCATTCAGTGTTTCTCTAAAAGAAAACATTCGTATGTATTGTCCATAGGGTCCTATGTTAAACAAAGTCTCCAGCTGGCGGCTATCTTGGCTGATGGATCGGCTTCAAAGTAACAACACTTGGTCAGCACTTCATAAGGAACATTCATGCCATGTTTAATTTCATTCCATTCAGTGGTTCTCTAAAAGAAGACATGTGTATGTATTGTCCATAGGGTCCTATGTGAAACAAAGTTCCTAGCTGGTGGCCATCATAGATGATGGATCAGCTTCAAAGTAACAACACTTGGTCAGCACCTCATAAGGAACCCTCATGCCATGTTTGGTTTCATTCCATTCTGTGGTTCTCTAGAAGAAGTTCAAAATGTAAAAAAGTTAACGACAACGATGATAGACGATGACGTCAACGGACACCAAGTGATGAGGAAAGCTTACTTGGCCCTTAGAACCAGGTGAGCTAAAAATGGTTAAATTTGCCTTAAAGGGCAATAACTCCTATAATAAGTCGTTTGACTGTTTTAACATATATAGACATTTAGGAGCTCAGCATTCTGAACATTTCCGCCCTACCGGTAATCAGATTTTCTTTTTGTTATAAGTTTTAAATATAACAGACAAAACTTTAACTTTATCCCTATGTTCTATTTTTAGCCATGTCAGTCTTCTTAGATGGTAGGCGGGGTCATCAGACACATTTTTTTCAACTACATACCCCAATGATGATTGTGGCCAACTTTGGTCAAATTTTGCCCAGTAGTTTCAAAGAAGTAGATTTTTATAAAAGTTAAGAGGATGACGGACGCTAAGTGATGAGAAAAGCTCACATGGCCCTTTGGGCCAGGTGAGCTAAAAATAACTGTTTACATTTTTTGAATTACCTCTCATTAAAACAAATACAAGACTATGCTTCTTTTTTTATCATTGCCATATAGAAACAGTTGAAAAACACAAAAAAATCACGTAATTTTCTTCACTAAATCAAGTCTTACTGATGAAATGCAATCAAGCCTAATATTCGGCTTATTTTGTTACAAATCTTGATAAATCGTCTTCTACTATTTTATGATCCAATACTTCCTGTCTCTAAATGTAACATTAAGTTTATCTTAGAATTAAGTAAACAAAGTAATGGCAATCATTAACATAACTACTATGTTCAGATGAACATTTGTAATAACAATATAATTATCTTAAATACTTTTAACTTTAAGTGTCAGATGTTCGGAACTACAATGTTCAGAAAAACATTTGTAATGAAAGTAAAATTATCTTAAATACTTTTAACTTTAAGTGTCAGATGTGACATCAAAGGTCAAAGGTGGTTGGAAATTTGTAAGAAATGCTGTAACTTGAAAGATTTTGTCACACGATACTGATAAACATGATGACACAGTCTGAGAAATAATTCTAAACTTTTTTAATCGATTCACAGCTTTGTCCACCAATATTTTGTGGTTCTGAACATGCTGCCTCTGCAGCATAGTTTTTAGTTGATCAGAAATATCACATTTCATAAATGCTACATCATTTAACTTAAGTCCTATCTCATTAAGGTCTTTTTCTATGTCTAAACCCTCACACAATATTCCATCCCCATTGTCTAGCTTGCCATTGGTCATAAGGGTAACTAACTGTCTCTTAAGTCCACAATTTTCAAAAAGTTCTGAATCAGACAAATTTCCAGCCACCAATCCGGAGCATCCAATGACAGATCCACGTGGATCAACTGCCAGAATACCATGTCGAGTTTTCTCTGATTTCTTAGAAGCCTCATCACTTGGCAAGCTGCTATAATTTGCCCTGTTCCTTTCCTGGAAAACTTTAATTTTTATTCTTTTAAGCAGAACAAAGGTGCTTGGAAAATTTTGTTGAAAGTGTCTTGGAACTTGAGCTTTGAGGGTTTCGCGATGTGGCCATATATACACATCCTGAAATCTATCTGATATTTGATATAACCAGGCACAGAATATATTCTTAGCCTTGATTTTAGACAGACAAAAACGATGCCCTAAGTCTATGAAGGTAAAGTTATGTCTAAATTTAAACAGTGTCAACAAAAGTTGTGACCTGGCTGACAAACTGTGTCCTGCTCCCCTGTATGGAACATGAGTGCTGTCTGGAATCAAAAATGTAAACAATATTTGGAACTCCTCTGGAGTAAACCCTGTGTAATGCTTGAATATTGGCCTATTCAAACACATTTTCTCAAAAGAGGTACATATATTAGAATCATTCACACATTCTTTATCCTGTTTTAATTTTGCAATTGTTGTTCTGAGGTCTGCATTCTTTTCCTGACTAGCAGACAGGAACTGCTGGAGAATTTTAGAGTCTTGTAAAAGTCTTTTGTATTCCCCAGAGTATACCTCTAAATCATTTAACTTGACTGAAGAGTCCTCTAGTGATGTGTCCTTCTGCTTGAGTTGTTTTTGTAAGTTTGTTACTTCCTGTTGTAGCTCAACCAAAGACTGGTCTTTTTTAGAAACAGATGATTTACTAGGTGGAGAATCCCCTGAAGTAAAAGAAAACATATTTTATTGTTCAATATAAATTATATGATGAAGTTATTGGAGGTGGATCCAATCATCAATTTGGAAAAGATCCAGATTAACTTTCATGGAATTCATAAGATTTTAAGAAAGACCTCCCTCCCTTGGGTCACCCAATTGTTAAAATTATGTTTTAAAAAGTGTTACTCTATTAAGGTCACATAAATTTTTATATTCAATCGAATTTAAAAAACAGTCCATGTGAATTGTTTTTATAAGGCAATCATTCTGCAGTTAATTGTTCATATTAGTCAACAAAATGCATGTGAAGTTCACAGATTTATTAAATACAGTGGCAGATTCAAGGGGGGTGGTTCCAGGGGTTGGACACCCCCCCTTTTTTAAAAATGGCTGGATCTGCCCCTGAAATATGAAATTAAAAATGACATACATTCTATATTGAATGCTTCAAGATGCGTTTTAAATACTGTAAATTCAGAAATTAATGCGATGTGTTTATTAATGCGATGTGTTTATTAACTGCGAGAAATGTGACAGTATCAGGTCATTAATAAAAACTTGCATTCGTAATTTCAGTAATGATTTTGCTTCACAAATTTTTTTTTCAATCTTGTGAATCTGTACCAGCAATCAGTGATTCACAATAATAAATGCAAACATTAATTTCTGAATTTACAGTTCATATTTCCAAACAAGATAGAAGTAAAGACAATTAAGTTATGCCATTCTAACTGTAAATGTTATAAATCATTTACAATAACTATACTATACTGTAAATTCATTTGTTTTTGTGGGTACAATTTTTACATATTGAAGCAAACTTGCATTTTCATTGATATTTGATTTCATGATTTTGCAAAAGAGGGGCGAAAGATACCAAAGGGACATTCAAACTCATAAGTCGAAAATAAACTGACAATGCCATGGCTAAAAAAGAAAATCACAAACAGACAAACAATAGTACACAAAACACAACATGGAAAACTAAAGACTAAGCAACACTAACCGCACAAAAACTGGGGGTGATCTCAGGTGCTCCTGAAGGGTAAGCAGATCCTGCTCCACATGTGGCACCCGTCATGTTGCTCATGTTAGTACAAACCCGGTAATAAGTCTAGTTCGGTAGGTCACATTCAGGAAAAGGGGACAGGATAGTAGTTACGATATTAGAAACATATCCGCTATCAACTGTGAAACGGATATTCCGTAGCGGTCAACCATCTTGTGATGGTGTCTGTAAGTCTGCATATATTCCTATAGAAAAATTGTAATTCATTGAAGAGGAACCCACGAAGATTGGTTTCACTAATTCTTACAAGATTTATCCTTTTCCTGACCTGTTGATTATATTTATTTAATCAACGTGTGGTTCGTTTGATCTCAGTTCTTCATTGGTCAAAATTTTCTTGCTTTCCTGTGAATTTCCTTTTGTGACGTCATGGAAAAAGGCGACCATGCCTGATAACATCACATAGAAAGAACACATCTTTTTGCAGATCATTCGAAAGGAAGGATTGAATTTGTCTGCATATCGTTTAAAAATCATTAGAGAAACAGATTCCACCACCAAATCTTGTGCAATACGATATTTATCCCCTCTCAACAGTTAAATTTTAGATATTCAAAATATCATCGAGCCTCACGTTTTAAATTTGGAAATTTTTAAAACTGTCTGGAGTAGATAAACATTGTATCACACTCGATATAGTCATTGATAGTGGTATAATCTATATATATCGATTGAACAATAATGAATCCACAGAATGTGAAATTCTCTTTTTTTACATTTTATCTCAAAATTTAAAAGGTGAAGAGATATCATATAGTCTTTAACAACAAAAAAATATCTACTTTTGGATGTGTATACATATGTATGTATAAAGTATTTTAAGGCATTCCTCGCATTATTCATTAACAAGGAGGTAAAAGGTTTCAGTAAAAAATACATTTTATAGATACATGTATTTATTACTTTTATTGGTTATTTGTTTTTTTAATATATATTCATTTATATAATCAATGAATGGAAATTTTCAACATATCAATTGATTTTTTATTTTTATTTTAATATATATATTGGGAATGTTCATCATAAAACCCATACAGGAATTATGAACATGATGAATATATATGAAATCTGCATAACTACTAAAAAGAATTCACAGTACAAACATCCTACTGCTTACCTGATTGACAAAAAAGAGATGGAGTTACCACCCCTGTAAAATTGTCAGAGATCAATATTGTTCCTGGTTTCATTGGAGGACAGGCTGGTATATTGTTCTGACTTGTTGAAGTCGCCATGTGTGTTTTTGATTGACTAGACTCGGTGAAGGGAGAATTCAGTGAGGTTTGACTGTCTGGATCCTTTGGTTCTTGTTTTATCACAATTTGCTGTAAGGGTTGAGAGTTTGTAGAAACTTGTCTATCTTGTGGATTCTGAAAGCGCATTTGAATCAGACCTGGACGAACAATATTTTGTTGAAATGTCTGAACCAGTGGCATCACAGGACTTGGACCTGAACTTCTCGGCTGAATACATACTGTCCTTGGCCTATTCTGTATTGTAGGTGGTGTACTGGACATCAAAGGTTGGATTACAACTTGGGGGGTCCTTGAAACAAGCGCTATTGTTCGTGGTACTACTTGCTGAGAAGGTATTACCACTGGTACAAAAGGATTTTGTATTTTTATTGTAGTTATACCACTTCCCTGTACATTCTACAAAATATTGAATCAGTTAAGAATTGTTTACATTGTACCTCATTGAATAAAATAAGTCTATTAACAGATTAAAGGCCATTTTTTTTTTGGGGGGGGGGGGGGGGGGGGGGGGGGAGGGAGAAATAATTCTAGTATTATTTGACGACTGGTAAGTAATGTACAGTAATTATAAAATTATAAATCAAATTGTTTCATAAATGTTTTTGTTTTAACGATATATAGTATAAACATCATAGTTTAATGATTTCAGAACTTTTTCATGTTTTTCTACTTAAACATTTAAAAAAAAGGAACATGCATGCAGTATAATGTTGAGTTCTCCCATGTCTCCTGTGCCTACAATTTTTATTAAGACAGTAGAGTGAAATCTACAAAAATGAAGAAAATGTTTGAATATTTTTTTTTTTACTGTAGCAGATGAGACATGTGTACATACATATGAATATCAATACTAAATCCTCTAAACTTAAATTCCTGTTAAGTTCATTCAGTGACTTTTTGTGTTGATCATTGGACTGCTGGTGTTTAAAGCCACTTTCAGGGACCTTGGCTACATCATGGTGGCCAGTATTTAATGGTTGAGGAAGCCAGAGCACCCTGAAAGAAACACTGATCTTCGGCAGGAAAACTAGCATATTTTTTGCTTTCTATGAAACATTCATAATTTAAAACATCAATAAATGTATGTCTTGCTATAAACACTTATAAATTATATGGTCTAACATCCTGTCGATGCTTATATTTTGACAGTTGACAAGGTCATGCTGTAAGACTGTTTCCCTCATTGTTGAAGGTCGTACAGAGACAGATAACTGCGCACATCCTGATTACATGTCCTTTGGCCTCTAGTTGATAGTTTTCTCATTTTTTTTTCAAAATGGATTTATTTAGGATCTATTCCAAAGCCGTGCAATTTTTAAGGTGGTTTATAAATTACATGTACAAACAAAAATGCTTTAATCATTTCAGTAACCCTTGGCTTGGACTGCTGGTCATTGCTAATCTGAATCTCTGGTTGATAAAAAAGGTCAAAAACAAGACTATGTCCATAGTACACAGATGCCCCACTCTCACTATCATTTTCTATGTTCAGTGGACCGTGAAATTGGGGTCAAAACTCCAATTTGGCATTCAAATTGGAAAGATCATATCATAGGGAACATGTGTACTAAGTTTCAAGTTGATTGGACTTCAACTTCATCAAAAACTACCTTGACCAAAAACTTTAACCTGATGCGGGACAGATGGACAGACAAACGGACACACAGACTGAAAAACATAATACCCCTATGTGGGGCATAAAAATATCTTAACATCCCTAGTTTCTTATTGCATTTTACAAATACTTACCGTAGAATTTGGAATTAAAGTTTCCATCAGTATATCTGATATTTTCTCTCGAACATCCAGGTCATTGAACATAGAAAATTGTCTGCCATAACCTTTACTAACATCTAAGAAAGCTTTTATATCATAACCTTTATAATTCAGAACTGAAGAGCCAGTGGCATGGACAGAAAAGTTTGAATATATCTTTGAAAGTTCAGCGTATTTTGATAGTTCCTTCATCATTACACCAAGGCTGTTCTTCCCGACAGGTGAGTTATGATACCAGCAGCCCATTTGGCTAAAATTGTGGTCACAGGTATTTGCACGGTCACTAGGCTGAGCAAAAAGAAAGTTACAGTTTGTTGGCAACTTGGATAAGTACTTTTCTAGAGAGGCAACAGGACATTTAGAATGACCACGTAACTCAAACATACAGCCTGCACCTTGACGGTCATCCATTGTGACTGCTGGTTCCAACGTATCTTGACCATGCTGACCAGAAGAATTACTGTCATTGTCATTTAAAACAATCTGCACATACTTCCTTCCGTTTTGGTTGAATTTGATGCTAATATGAGAGGGTGTCAACATGCGTAAGTTACCTCGACCTTTTGGGCAGAGCAAAAAGAACAGGATATCAAAGAAAACTTTCCATTGTAAGGTGGTGGGCCTATTTATATCTAGCCCATTACCACTGTACAGTTTCTCCAAATCATAGATACTTAATCTTTCAATAGGATCAACAGTTTTCCCATAAATTCTTAATTCATTCAGGGCTTGCTTGAACGCTTTAACAGCAGGAACGAATTCTACATCATTGAAATTGAAATCTTCACGTTTTACTTTAAAACCACGATTCAATCCAAATTTAATAGCCCTTAGCGCATTCCTTTTGTACATTTGTCCATCGTTTTTTCTAACTTCTAAGAAAAACTGTTTCAAAACATCAGACAATTCTTTTTTGCTTGCCGTTTTAAGGTCCAACTCAATTCCATGGCTGAAAACAAACTGAAAAAAGACTCTCAAAGCCATTCTTGTTATTCTCTGAGTAGGTTTTGTATCTGTACTGCAGACATGAATTTGTTCGTCATTTAGTAATGGTTTTGTAACCATTGTGACATCATCCTCATCTCCCAGCACCAGATCTTCCTCGTCTATGTCCTCCTCCTCTACATCATCAAGATAAAACTCCTCCTCCATGGCCTCTATAAAAAAAATATCATATTGTATGATAAAACCTCTCTTGATCCTGACACTACACATAGATATAAGATGTGGTAACTTTATTATTAACAATGCAATAATATCTGTTCCTGTTGGAACAAATATTTTATACCCTTTATTCCATTAGAAACAAATACTGTAATGTTTTTTCCAGTGGAAATATCATGACAGAATATTTCTTCCACTTGGAACTTATATTATGAATGAACTTCTATTTCATGACACCTCAACCTCAAGCCTGTTGGATAGTTGTCTCATTGACAATCATACCACATCTAATTTTTTTTTTAAATGTTATGTACATGATGTACAGATTTATAATATCTGAACAATTTTAAAAAATGACATGTAGTATGCTAATTTAACACACGTTTGATTTATCATGTTTATCATTTGTTTTTCATAAACTACAAGTGTACATCTATAAAAAAAAAATGCATTTTATACATCATCTATACATAACATGCATAACATGCATTGAAAAATAATTCAAAGAAAAGAATTATTCACTTTATAAGTTCAAAAAAATCTGTTATCACGGTTATCACTGGTTATCACGGTTATACATCTTATCACTATTTAGGTGTCAGACCACCAATTCACTCCCTCTAATTTAGAACGTATGTAAAAGTAGCCCTACTCTGACACAAAATAGTGCTTTTGATGTCATTGTTTACTTAAACTAACCAACAAATTTACAGAAATGAAACTTTTGGTGAAAGAGAAATATATTTTGACCATTTTGAGCCAAAATTTACTTGTCTATGAGTTTGCATTAAAAATTGAGGATTAATGTGCTCCATAGTCATGATAGTATACTAATTTATGATTTCTAGATCTAGAAAATCAGGGGTTATTTTTAGTACTTAGTACTTGGCTTATGAAAGGCAGTTCTTTCTTACAGGACTTTAAACATGGGTTGAAAATTGGCATGTAGAAAGGGGATACATGTACAATTCAGGATATATCTGGTTTCTATGAAGTTAAACTTAAGGTAAAATATTAAGAAAGCTGTGAAAATTGCAAAATTTGGTTGAATAGATGGATGAAAAAGTTGTGTAATTTTAGAACTTATCCGGATTGGAATAAGGTGTATTGGGACCATTTGCTTGAAATCTTGTTTGCAACCCTAGTCTGAAATAACCCGAATAATTCAGTCCCTCCCCGTGATCAACTCTCCCACTCATGAGGGCCTGAATTCTTTATACAATAAAAACATGTCACGAATCCAGGATTTTGATTGGTGCTCTCTGTGAGAGAGAGCCAATCAACTAATTGCTCCATGTTATCGAGATAGGTAAATCCAGAGCTAATTCCGAATGATTATTTGACGATTTATTATTGACAGGGCCTTCAGGCATTAATGTAGCCATCGTAGACTAAATGTAGAGCAGTGGAATATAACGACTGAATCATTCTGGTTAAGTCTGAAATTAAATTTCTTGTTTAAAGACTAGGTAAACATAAGCTCCAGAGCTTGATTATGTTTTATATAATTGACTGTCATGTATATGTATGTATATATACCGACTTCAAATAACGCTCTATGTCTTTTGGAATGTGACATTGTGAGGGCAGCACATTGATAGTAAAACAGCAAATAGACAATAACAAATAACAGAGGGTGTGGATGGGGGTTTACAGAATACAGAATAATGGGCAAAAAATATATAGAATAGAGAAAAATCTCAGACCTCGGGTCAACCTCAACCTAGTCTACTCCTAGTCCAAAATTTATAATTTTTTTCCTGTGACGACTTCCTACGACGAAAATAGCCTTTCTTTTTTAAGTTTCAATAATTATTCATCAGTTTGTCGAATGCAGATACCCAATATTTACTTTGGAATGAAGGTTTTCGACTGCTTTTCTTTGAACTGTCGATTGAACTTTGCAGCCGATAATTATACAAGAACGATAACTCGATTGATGATTATAAACCGAAAACTAGTTGGGCTAAATAATGAATAACATCCGGATTAATAAGGTGTATTCGAATACATTTTTTCTGCAGAAAACCCAAATTCTTGAAAAAAAAATACCTGTGCGAGAATTTTAACTGGACCAAACCATTTATTACTGGACATTGCCACATGTCTGACGAACCTTGGGAATGACTGCAAGAGGACAATCAAAACTCATAAGTTAAAGTCGAAGAAACTGACTGACAACGCCATGGAAAAAAAAAGAAAAACGGTGAAAAGGAACACTACGTAGAAAGCTCAATACTGAGCGACGCAAACCCCACTAAAAACAAGGACTGGACTCAAGTACTCTGTAATTGTACAAGCAGCTCCTGCTCCACGTACCATGTGTCGCGCCGTTGTGTTGCTCATGTAAAATTACCAAATAAAGTGACAAGGGAACGACTATTTGACTCTGAATGTATAAAATTATGAGAAAATTGCATTCCTGCATCGAAATTTGCTGACTTCATTGGAAATTGAGACCTGTAATTGTGTTCTGCTATTTTACAATCCAAGACGGCGAAAAAGACTCCCATACAACCTTCAATCTAGTGTTTAAATCATATTGAGTAATATATCTTAGTTGACAGGTCATTTGAAGCATAGAAGGAGATTTAGACGAACAAAGAGAATTAATCGGAATTAAATTTATATTTATCAATATATACAACAACCTTTCCATGGATAAGTTCTTCCATTTTTGGGTGAAACTTGGGAAAAGAGCTAGGGGCCACATGTATCTTGGCTTTATTTTCGAATAAATTTGTTGTGTTTAAAATAGATTATCCGTTGGTCATTGCAGATAACTAAATTCCCCTTTCCTCAAATATCCACAACAGAATGAGTTCAGTCAAAAAGACAACAATCCGACCAAAGAGCAGAAAACATATATATATATATAGTTTTACCCACATGTGCCGAATTGGGACATGGACCCCTTTTCTTTTCCTCCCTTTTTAGACTCTTTTATTAAGTGTTGAATTTTATATATCTGTTATATTTTCTTGAGCATTTCAACTTATTTTCCTCTATATTCTTACTTTAAGTGTATTTCATACATGCTGTCCCTCTTAACTTATTTTCTGCCAAAGAGTCGCATAGATGGACAGTACGTTTGAAGCAAGAAATCATATTAAGTTAATAGCAATTAAGCAAGAACCCCTAACATAATAGCAAGCACGAACACATGAGATAATAGCAAGCAAGAACACCAAGGATGTTGGATGTGTACGGATTGATAATTTAGTCTTAGATGCATGATTTTTTTATTAGTTGTTAGTGGCTTTGAACTAGCTGTCAGTAACTGCGAGTACTCTCAGATCTGTACTTAGTGTCTTTTTGTTGTTTGTATATACAAGTACCCGGCCACGTCCACTTGTATTTGTAGTATTTGTATTTTTATCCATTGATGAGTTAAGCCTCTTTCAACTGATTTTTATAGTTCGTTCTTATGTTGTACTGTTACACCACTGTCCCAGGTTAGGGGAGGGTTGGGATCCCGCTAACATGTTTAACCCCGCCACATTCTGTATGTATGTGCCTGTCCCAAGTCAGGAGCCTGTAAATCAGTGGTTGTCGTTTGTTTATGTGTTACATATTTGTTTTTCGTTCATTTCTTATACATAAATTAGGCCGTTAGTTTTCTCGTTTGAATTGTTTTACATTGTCATTTCGGGGCCTTTTATAGCTGACTGTGTGGTATGGGCTTTGCTCATTGTTGAAGGCCGTACGGTGACCTATAGTTGTTAATTTCTGTGTCATTTGGTCTCTTGTGGAGAGTTGTCTCATTGGCAACCATACCACATCTTCTTTTTTTATACATAAGAGAATAGCAAGCAAGAACACATAAGATAAGGAAAACAAGAACACATAAGATATAGCAAACAAGAACCCCTAAGATAATAGCAAACAAGAACCCCTAAGATAATAGTAAGAAAGAACACATAAGAGAATAGCAAGCAAGAACACATAAGAGATTAACAAGCAAGAACACATAAGATATAATGGAAAACAAGAACACATAAAATAATAGCAAGCGAGAACCCCACATAAGAAAAGGGGAAACTTTTGGAACATGAATCTTGTATATATCCATATAAGTTGTATGATATTTTTATCAAGTTATCATCCAACACATTTGTATACATTTAATATAATTGATTTATACATGTTAAACTACTACTCAAGTGTCGGGTCTGAGACTTCTATAGCACGTGTTAATAATCTCAGTACGGGTTGCTTAACGTACATTTGTACGAAATATTGAGAAATTGGGAACATATTTTGAGATATAAAAGAAAATTTGATAATAGAAAATGGGACTCATTCATGATATATATTTGTCCCAGTAGAACATTGTCCGTACAAAAAAAAGGGAAAAGTGTATCTATCCGCCTCAAGCGACTACCAGTAATATTATGGTTTTATCAACATGATCAACGGTGAAAACACTAATTGACATAAGTCACAAAGATATTTTTTAAATAATTGTGTAAAGTTACAGATTTAAGCCTTTTCTATTCAATTAGTTTACACGTGCGTGGACTGTTCAATAATACCAAGCCTATACGTGATTAATTCATACGTGTAACACGTTTCTGTTATCGTTTTATTCAGCACGATAGAATTTTAAATTCGTTTTTTCCAAGATTTGTAAAAATATTACAGATGACGTAAAGATTTGCTATAAATAGCTGAGGACTTCCGACGTGTTCAGAACAAAATAATATTCGTTGCTCGTAGAAAGCTACGAGAATCAAGGTATGTTAAGGGCCGCCGAGGCAATCGTTATTGACGAAAACTTTGGCCCGAAAGCGAAAGAAGAAAAGGAGAAGATGCCTGCTTTACACAGCACTCAGATGTAAGTATCAACGTCCTCTTAAGACCAAACAGTTATTACTTAGTTAATACGACAAATGAAACCCGAAAAGGGTGTCACTGTCATGGCGGATGTTTGTTTACGATGGAAATTTTCTGAAATAAAATTAGATTTTCACTTTTTAATTTTCATTGTCATTTACGATAAAGAATTTATACAACAAATTATGACTTTTTTAAGATGCATTCACTTTTGTAAAGCGATGTCGTTCATGATTCAGATCTTGTCGACTTGTGATCAAATGACTACCAGCTGATCTTGATTGAATAATTTTCGAGGTCATTGACCGTATGTGTATGTTACATATTAAATTACTCACATTGTTTTAAAAGTGTCCTTTTTTTATTGGTATAAAATATTAACAAATGGGAGATAGGGATGGGGGAGGAAAACTATTGATTTTGGGGTCAAGGTCATTATTATAAATCTTTTTTAAAAACATTACAATTTAAAAAAATGTGATTGATTTTAAAATGTTTATACTTTGCATATTTAGGGGAGGCAATTTAAAGTATTGCAAGATTTTCATTAATGGGATTAATCTGATGCCTTAAGTATGGCAATTATACGCCTTATCGCTATTTATTCCCATCCGGATTAGTTCCGAAATTGCACAACTTTTTCATCTGGGGCAGAGCTCCAGATAAGCTGCGTATTTGCGTGATCACGCAATAAAAATAATTGAAAACCCAATGCAATTGCCCATTGCAGGGTTCAATAACCCAATTAATTCAAAGGAAAACCCAATTAAATGCCAAAAACATGGGTTCTTAACGCTTTTATTCGCTATCGTTTGCGTTATTTACCCTTACTTGATTACAGTCGTCGCGTAAATCTATTTTTATAATATTTATAATTGGAAATGTCCTTTCGTTCTAAAAATAGAGCCCTGCATCAAGTAGCTGTAATGGGTCCCTGTTGGAATTTTCCGTTGCTCAAAAGGTACACGTGTTTATGAAAACATTTCGATCTTCTCGGCGTTTATCCAATTAGCGTGTGACTTGCTTAGCGTGGGGTCCTGGCTCACTGCACGACGAAGTATTAGATTGGGTCAGGATGCTAGGCTAGTGATGTCATATTTTTTCGAATTGCTCGGGATTTATCATAACATACAATGAAATAAAACGAAAGGATATGTCCGGTAAAAATATTGAATAGATTATAGAACATGTAGAAGCATTTTTTCAGCTTCTTTTTGATAGTTGAGGGAAAGTTATGATGATAACAAGACTCAGCTAGTGATTTTAGGAAGCGGCCATTGAACGCACGGGCGTGTTTGCGTACCATAACGAGAACATTGCTAGAGCGATAAACACGGGGTTCCGTCAAAAACGAAATCAGTTGGAAAAAGTGAAAGGCCAAATCAATTATGACATGATATGTAGTTTGAAAGCATCGGAAACCAAAAGTTCTGATAAGGGACAATTTAACCCAGATTTATGTAAATTGAATTAAACGAAAACAGTTTATATATTATTTTTTTCATTTTAGTTGATGAGTGAATACACATATCCGTTTTTTACGTCAATGCAGCTTGACACTTTCTTTGTTTTGGTCTAATTGTTCTAGATGCTTAAGATAGTTGTCTTATTTGCAAGTGCAGTATAACATTGTCATTAATTTACTTGATGTTGCAGAATTATTTGTAAATTTAAGTTGAATGTGGTCTCCGTCATTATAAACCACCCTATAAACCTCAAGGTTTTGGAGTATATCTTAAATCTGGAAACTACTTTTTATTTTTATTAAAAAGTAGATCTGGCAAATAGGTGAAAGGACTGGCAAAACTTTCTTACAGCACCTACATTTCACATATATTACACAAAAATCTAAACACTTAGCCACGCACCTACCCCAACTATAATTAAACTGTAGGGTGATCATATGGGATCTAGAAAGGCAATTAGTTCCTGTCCAACTAGTGACATTAGCTGCAGTTTACATAAGTTTTGAGAAAATACAAAACTGACAGAACGTTTAAAACGGGACACAAATTAAATGTACAATTGCTCGTCAGTGAATAAACCAAATAAAACAGCTAGCACATATTCTACAAAGAAAGAAACACATTTAAGATGGAAACACATATATATAATGTGATTATAACATGCCTAAATATTCAATATTGTGTTGATGAAAAAACCCAATACATTAAGGAGCTTGGTGGTGAAAAACCCAATTTGATATTTGCTTGAGGGGTGAATTGTAATTGATAATGCAATTAAAAAACTTTATCACCCAATTACATAAAAAAAATGGTGGTTAAAAACCCCAATTTGTGAATTCTTATCTGGAGCTCTGTCTGGGGCCCTGTTTAAACAATGTATTTTGCTTAAAACTTTTCAAAGGAGACATTTTTTAACCATTGTAAACACTTCAAACAAAGCATTTTTATGATTTGTGTCCCCTGCGCGACGTGGTGGGGGACATGGAAATACCGTACATCTGTCCGTCCGTTTGGTCTTGTTAGTGCTCTCAGGTGTGCGTGCAATTCTTGCCAGATATTTATGAAACATACATCATAGGTTTATGTCAGCAATGTCATGAACGAGTTCGAAAATCAGTGCCGATCAATTATTGTTAAAAGAGTTATGCCCCTTGTAAACATATTATATTGAAAATTGCATCGGTAGCGCTCTCATTTGTACAATTCTTAACAGGTTTTATGAAACTTATATCATAGGATTATATTAGCAATGTCTTGGACGAGTTCAAAAATCAGTGCTGATCAATTATTTTTAAGAGTTATGCCCCTTGGAAACAATTATTGTATGGAAAATTGCATGGTTAGTGTCTCATGTGTTCAATTCTTGCCAGATTTTTATGAAACTTATGCCGTAGGTTAATATCAGCAATGTCGAGGAATAGTTTCCAAAATCAGTGCCAATCAATTATTTTTAAAAGAGTTATGCCCTAGGAAATTTATAAATTATATGGAGAATTGCATTGTTAGCGCTCTCATATGAAATATTAATTGTATGCAAAATTGTTAGAGTGCTATAATGTGTACAATTCTTGCCAGATTTTTATGAAATTTATATTATAGGTTTATATCATCAATGTACTTGAAGAGTTCAAAAATCAGTGCCAATCAATTACTTTTAAAAGAGTGATGCCCCTTGAAAATATTGATTATATGGAAAATTGCAATGTTATCGCTCTCATGTGTTCAATTCTTGCCAGTTTTTTATGAAACACATATCATAGATTTATATCAGTAATGTCTTTGACACTTTCGAAAATAAGTTCTGATCAAATATTTTTAACGAGTTATGCCCCTTGGAAATATGAATTATAATGGAAATCACACTGCAGATGCTCTGAAGCCTTCATTTCTTTTAAGATATTAATAAATAGTTGTAAAGAACAAAAAAAAGTGTTTTTTTTAGTTATTGCCCTTGTACCTTGCAGTGGCGGATCCAGAAATTTTCATAAGTGGGGGCCCACTGACTGCCCTAAGAGGGGGCCCGCTCCAGTCATGCTTCAGTGATTTTCTATTTAATCAACCAAATTTTTCTCACAAAAGGGGGGCCCGGGCCCCCCTAAATCCACCTCTGCCTTGGATAGATAAAATATGTGCAACATGGGGGACATTGTAACTCTGTTCTTTATAATTTGTGATTTAAAAAAGTGGATCATAATCTATCAAAGTTTCACTGTGTTTGCTTTCTAAATTTTTTCCTCCCTCAGGTCGTTACTGATGATCTTTGTTTTTGCAACACTTGACCCAAACAGGAAGTTGTCTAAGTGACGTTTTTTTCTGGATTGAACTAAATAGCGATACGGTGTATAAGCATTCTGATATCTGAAAGATATATCTCTGTTATATATCCTAAAATCACAACAATTAAACTTGTTCTGAATTTACAGTGCAGAATTTTGTCTAACAAATAGGCTATAGATGTAAATAACCAGAATTGACTATTGATATCTCTTTTTTTCATTTCAGCATGTCCAGTCAGCGGTATTATATATCACTGGGTCCAGGGCCTCTGTCGTGTTCCTGATGTTCCCCATGCCGCCAGTGTGTCATTCGTGACAGAGGGCAGCGGTGTGGGGGTTTCAACAGAGCCCCCTGTCAATGCTAAAAGTCAGTTCACTGATAATCAGATGTTCAAGAATGGTGATCGAAAGATCAGCATCAGTCTTTTGGTAGGAGCTCAAGTAGCCTCGAACTTGTGCTTCAAAATAGTTTTGGCCGATTCCATTGAAGTTTGTTGGGAGACCGTCTTGAGTGACAAGAGGTTGTACGTTGAAGTCCCAAATGGAATCCTGCCAGAAGGATCTAAAGAAAGGTACTTGTATCACTTGTCATACTTTTTCCATATTTATTATTAGAAAAATTAACATAACAGGCATTTAAAAAATATTACATTTTAGCTTATTTTCAAATTTTAAATTAAGTCCTGTAAGTCACACTTTTTGTGCATGAATTCCAACACCTGGTATCCCTGTCAACTAACTTTGAATTTAAGAAATAGAGAACTTATAATCAGGGAGTAGATTGAACTAAATTTTCTTCTTTCTGTTTCAGTTTTGATTCAAAAGTTTTAGTTCAATTAAAGTGTCATAAATTGTTGGTATCAAAAGATTGTTGTCTTTCACTATGTCAAGCAACACTTAGACTTCTCATTCCCATTCAAATGATTAGAGGTGTAATGTTTCTGTTGTAAAAAAATAGTAAATAGTGTACCTTCATGACATTGTCTTTTTAAATTGTAGTTTGGTCAGATTGTTAGAATATGCCGAAGAAGTGTTAGGATGTGATGATGTGGTCATCTGTTTTAAGAAGAATCGGTCTGACCAAGGTAAGTGAACATAAATTTAGATTGTAATAAAGTGAAAGTTCACAGTGATATTGTGGGTATACTTTGTGAGGCTATTAGTGTACAACATTGTTTTCCACATCAAAAGACAAATTTGCAAATTGGTATATAAATAAAGCATCAAACACTAAATTGTAATAGATTTCATAGAAACTAAAAGTCATGCAGACTGAGAAACATGAACCCAACCAAAAACTTGGGATGATCTCCGTTACTCTGGAATGGTAAGCCAGATCCTGCTCCACAGGTGGCAATGTTTATCAGTTTATTTATAAGCCTACAGAATTTCATAAATTTTAAACCATTTTCTTTTTTCAGCTTCCTTGATAAGGACCTTCATGTTCATGGGATTCGCTTTAGCGCCACCTGGAGGAAATGCTTCAATTGGTAGTGCTGATGTGATCTTCATGATCTACAATATTGACCCAGGCGACTTTGATGATTGACAGCTTGGAGATAAACGTCTGATTTCAATGAATTAACTTTTAGCATATATTTAGCACCGCCTGTCAGATTCATTTAATTGATGTTGTTTGTATATATTGAACAAAACATTTTTTTCACTTGTGAATATATAATCATGTCATTTGATGTTTCTTTTTAGAAAATGTAATTTGTAAATTTTGAAATAGTACAGTAAAAAGTTGTAAATTTGGAGGAAAAAATGTCTTGATTTCTTTTATCCAACATAAAGCAAAATTTATTGAGTTGAATCTAAATTAATATTTTGATAGAAGCTTTTCACTTCAGCAGTCAAAATTTTGTATTTCAAGAATGATTTCTAAGAAAACACAAATATTTGATATTAAATGTGTTTGGAACAAAAAATATACATGTATATCCCTGTAGAAAATTCCACCAATGGCATGATTATTTATTTAAATCATCTATGTTCTCTGTCACTAATTAGACACACTATAATAAGTATATAAAATCTTACAAAAAAAATGAAAAAAAAATGTAAAAGTTAAAAAAATACAAAAAAACAAGGAAAGATGTGATGACTACTTTGTAAAGCAGGCATGGATATTTTTTTTATTGTACTTTTTTGTTTAAATTGTAATATTTTTTTTTCTATCATTTCACAAAAATGTTTCAGTTATTATTTTTAAAAGCCACAATCTGTCCTTGTTTTATAGAATATCATAATGTCATACAATTATAATGTGTAACATTTTGAACTCAGAAAGTTGTATCAAACGAGATCAAAGGCAGAGATTAATGTAAATTAACAAAGATTGTGTAAATATACATCAAATTTGTTATAAACTTACTACACTGTTTACTGGCATTCTCTTAAAAAAATGACATTGTAAAATGTCTTGATGATGGTTGAGATTAAGTTTTATTAAAATCCCTGAGGTTTGAGGAGGTGTAATGCAAGAGCAATCAAAGAGAGAAGGGATCAAATTTACATTGTATAATCTTAAAAAAGATCTGAGAACCAATTTACCATACGAACAAATCTGTGATAATGTTTTATATAAAAAAAAAACAAGGTCAGACTGTGTATTGTTATTTTGTTTTGCAGCAATAATATCAAAGAATTGTTGATAATCATATCGGATATAATCCATTCCATAACAATGGCTTCTACACGACCAAATGCTTTTCCAAATTGAAATCTGAATTTCAATAAAATGTGTATGAGAGAGGAATGGAGTTTTGCGTAATGATTGCCATGTATTGTGAAGTGTGACATACTACAAACAAATAGTTCTATTAGAGGACAGTTTGTTGTTTCTAAATTATTATGTTGCTTCTACATGAGGGAATTCCATTTAGACCATGAAAACATTGGTTATTAAATGTTCTATGTGAATCCTTGGTTAACTGTATGGTAAAAGTTCGAACCAAAAATCTTGATTACATATTTTGATGAAATACAGATATATAATCAATATTTTAATTATTTTCATTTGATTTGTATTATAACAGGTTAGTATGTAATGTGCCAAGCATTCACAATAATTTTCACAGTTTGAATTTTTCCATTAGACTTTAGACAATTTTACATTTTTAACTCCCTAACCTTACATTTATTGAACTTTTTCTGGTAATAAATTTCATCTAAGAATTACTTGTAGTTTTAGTTATTTTTACTGATAGCCTAGATTTCAATATTCTCTTGAATAAAATAGCCTAAAGGCATGAAAGTTATATTTATGTAATCATACCATACCCAAGGATATATCCCAGAAAATTTGATTGGTTGCATCGGAATGGCTAGGGTAGAAGCATGCATACTATTCACTATTTTGCCCTGAAGTGAAACAATTATATAACTCCACTCTAAAAATGGGATTTGTAGTGCAATCATCTGTCTGTCTGTCTTTTTCAGAAAGTACTTAAAAGAATAACTTCATATTTGTCCAGCAGCGTGACAGTGATTAGTTGTAACATGTATCCACTTTTCACTCTATGATGTCTCCTTCTTTGCTAAAATACTTTGGATTTTTCAATATGGTATATGCACGTAAAATTTTAGTCACACACTTCTCCATTACAACTGAACAAAATGACTTATTATTTGGTCAGCAGGTCAGCTGTGGAGATTGATGGGACGCCTACTTCTGTTTTCTGCTACTTATAATTATGAGTGGGTGAAAGCTAAGCTCAGCCTGAGCATTCTTGTTTGTCAATGGTCATATGTTTTATGATCAATTTTACTGTCATAGTCACAGCTGTGGTTTGCATCATGCTTTTGATCATGGTGTGATGTATGTCTAGATGAACAAGAAAATCAAAACTGAAGTGGGAGTTTTTGGGTTAGAACCAAAGAGTCGAAAATTGGTATTTGCTGTTTCTCAAGTAAGCTCATTTAAGAGCAAATAATGGCAGACTCAAGAGTCAAAATAATATGTTCCAGTAGGGTGACATGTCTTCCTGCAGACTGTTAGCTTGTGAACTAGCACATATAAAATGTGGTTAAACATGTCGGTATAGTACAAAGCAGGGTTTATATTCATATGACGTCGTGTGACTTCCTGAATATGCGTTTAATTTGCTACTGGATGTTAAACAGCCATCCATCATCAAAACTAAGGTAGGATTGACAACACCATGGTTAAAAACAAACCACTGACAATAATCCACAGACACTTTTAATACATAAAACTGAAGTAGGATTGACAACACCATGGCTAAAAACAAACCACTGACAATAATCTACAGACACTTTTAATACATAAAACTGAAGTAGGATTGACAACACCATGGCTAAAAACAAACCACTGACAATAATCAACAGACACTTTTAATACATAAAACTGAAGTAGGATTGACAACACCATGGCTAAAAACAAACCACTGACAATAATCCATAGACACTTTTAATACATAAAACTGAAGTTGGATTGACCAACACCATGGCTGAAAACAACCCACTGACAATAATCAACAGACACTTTTAATACATAAAACTTAAGTAGGATTGACTACACCATGGCTAAAAACAAACCACTGACACTAATCCACAGACACTTTTAATACATAAAACTGAAGTAGGATTGACAACACTGTGGCTAAAAACAAACCACTGACAATAATCCACAGACTCTTTTAATACATAAAACTGAAGTAGGATTGACAACACCATGGCTAAAAACAAACCACTGACAAAAATCCACAGACACTTTTAATACATAAAACTGAAGTTGGATTGACAACACCATGGCTAAAAACAAACCACTGACAATAATCCACAGACACTTTTAATACATAAAACTGAAGTTGGATTGACAACACCATGGCTAAAAACAAACCACTGACAATAATCCACATACACTTTTAATACATAAAACTGAGTTAGGATTGACAACACCATGGCTAAAAACAAATCACTGACAATAATCCACAGATACTTTTAATACATAAAACTGAAGATTGTTCAAAATAAACAACAAAAATGAGGTGGATGAACTTAACAAATGTTTTTGGTCATTGTTAATGGCTGTGTGGTGACCTGTAGTTGTAATTTGGGTTTTCATAGTTGTCTCATTTTCAATCACACCACATCTTAACAAAACTTGAAACAATTTAGTATGTACAATCTGCATTTATTGTCTGGCCTTCTAAAGATTTTCCAGAATGAGACATTACAGTGGCTGATCCAGAGGGGGGGTTCCGGGGGTTGGAACCCCCCCTTTTTTTTGACGATCAATGTATTGAATGGGGACATATAGTTGGAACCCCCCTTTATCCTGGGTTGGGAACCCCCCTTTTTAAAATGGCTGGATCCGCCCCTGAATTCGGCTTCTAATGTAATTGTTCATTACCCATAAAATGTATTTTAGAAGGTAAGAATGAGAGCTGGAAAATAAAAATATAAACAATCTAAATCTTGTATACAGAAGCTGTAATGTCTGAAGTTGAGTGAAAATTGAACATGATTATTTGACCTTGACTTAATATGCATGGCTTCTTGATTGAAGTTGAGTTTGTGAATAAAAAATGCTCAGAAAGCTGAACTTTATTTATAGGAAAAAATGAATGCAATGTCAGTCTACCATCAGATTGAGCCTTGATGTATAGTCTTGTCAGGTTTTCTGTACATTGGTTTTGTAAAATATCAGCCAGGAGCCAAAAAGCTTCACATTGTGTCAAGCAACTGATATTTTTCAAGAAAATTCAATGATCTGTTTCTTGTTCTAATTCTGGTTTTTATTTTGTTTGCCTCCCTTGGACATTTTTTTACACTTGATTGTTTTGGAAGTAACCTTGATTAGTTCTGCATTGTGACATTGCTGATAACTTTTTCTCAAATGTAACATCGCTGATCATTTCTGCTCTGTCACATAGCTGTGATATGAGAATAACAGAGTGACCAAGCAGGTTGTAGACCCAGAAAAGTACATTAAGTATTGTATCAGGATCATACATGTATCTCATCAGACGACAGAAAAGCAAGATCCTATTTTCAGTGCAAGTTTTCTTAAATGAGCTGTTAATCAATTAAAGTTTATATTGCTAATTCTTATATAAGAAATACTTCCCAATTGTTTATGTTTAAACCTCCCTTATTTGTGACCATTCGTAGCAAATAAAGAGTTTTCTGAATACTTTGGCAGACAAGATGGATCAACTTTTTTCACACAAGTTAATCATCATCTGACCTCATATCAGACGAGATTACCTGCTGAATTTAAGCATATCACTATGCCAAGGAAAATAAATTAACTAACTAGGATAACTAGGATTCCTCTAGTAATGGCGAATGAAGCATGAAGAGATCAGCACAGAGTATAGTGTAGTACATAAGTTTTGAAGGAAAAAGGTCAAGACAATACATGTAGTAAGAATAAATATGATATTAATTTTATTATAAATCATGACATGAATGAATTACAATATAAAATTTCTGATTGAATAACTCCCTGTGAAGCTCAAGTTAATCTGACTCAGATATATCATTGAACATTTTGACAAGTCATTTATTAAATTAAGGATTTTTAACCTATTGACCTAATTACAAGTACAATACATATGTATAAGGTGTTTGTTTTTACTTTCCGTTCACATAAGACCAGTACCTAATCTTATTAATATTTATTCAAATTTATTCACAATCCATAAATTTTTCTCAACATGAGAATGCCCAATATTTGAACAACAAAAAAAATCATCATTCTTAACAAATTCTTACAAGCACCTGAATGCCCAAGATTTAAAAAAAAAATGATTGCAAAAATTCTTTTAAATATCAAATAATCATTGAAATATGTATGTAAATACCATCCCTTCTCATAACACCCATTATTATGCATCATCCTTCATACTTTAAAATTAATGAAAAGGGGGGGGGGGGCAACTATATTATCACACATATATACAAACAATGTAATTATACAACATGTATTCATATCTAAAGCAGAATGAATGGCATGCTGGAATTGCAATATTTTTGGTATTAAAATCCTATTTTCACACAAGTTATCCTATATTTAGGATCATCAGCCTAAACAAAATTGGAATGGTATCGGCTCTTTCGAAAAAAGTTTAACTATTTATGTTCTGTATGGTGAATCAGTATTTCTGTATTACACCTTTAACTGCTAAAAGAAAACTGATATGTATTCAAGTCTGTTTATCTAACTCTAAACTATGAAACATAACAACAAGATGTAAGACAATCACTAATGTATTTTTAGAATTAATATCATGTGACTACTTTTGATTGGTCAATTAAGTCTATATTTCTACTATGCTTCTAATTTCATCTAACATTCAATTGGAACATCCCTTTTAAACATTTATACAATTGATATTGTCAAAACTGATTGTTACAAATAACAAATATCTTTCTAAGGCCAAAACAAAAGTAAGCTCCTTCAAGGTATCCTAGACTGAATATGATTTTGAGGTCTGACTTTAATTTTTTTCAATAATTAATAAGTTGTTGTAACCAATGATTTTATAGTATTAAAATCCTTGTTGTAACCACTTAATTATTTGAGTAAAATATGCAACAAAATGGTTCCTGTTAATCAATGACCCTTCTTCATGGACGGATACCAAATGTGGTTCTAACATGGTCAAATGCAACCAGCGACCTACAGGTTTGGTGGGCTACCTGGCGACTAGACATCTGGGGAACCAATGTTAAAACAAAATGTTTAATACTTTAACATAACTCAGTGAAGTGACCAAAAAAAGCAGTTCCCTGATCCAATATATTTTAGGCCTTAAATCCTTTCACCTATTAGTATGTGAGGACAATCTATGGATTATTTGGGAGAAATAACTATAATTGTTTAAATTATTGCTAATATAGCAATGATAAGTGATTATTACTAGCTAAAGAAATACTATTTCATTTCATTGAATTCTACCAACACACCAGCTATATTGAAAAAGGTTCTAAATGTCATGGATTTCAACAACTGAAAATACCTAACAAAAAAAATGTTTTTATGTTTCAAAATTTCGACCCTGATCAGAGCTGTTGATGTTTATTACAGATGTTCATTATACAAATCAATTGTGTTATTTTGTAAGTGTTTTCCATCATCAAATCATATAACTAATACATGAAATCAAATAACGAAGTTATTTAACCATTTCAAGTAACATCCACAAAAAAAAAATAAAATCCTCTTCTATCAAAGAATCATACAATAACATCTATCAACAAGTCAACAACAAGTTTTCCAAGTTCTATTATGGTCACAAGTTTCTATTTTTAGTGACTGTTATAACATTTGACGAATCATGTAGTTCAGGATTCCACCATTACGGAAATACACCAGTTCTACCTCGGTGTCAAAACGTACTTTAACTTGGAATGTTCTGCCGTCACTTAGCTAAAAATAAAATAATTACGATTGAAATGTTGTACTATAGATTCTGATTAACATGAAAATGTGCATGGATGTTAATTTGTGGTTCTATTGTTTTGCTGGCTTACTGTCTGATTTACATTTTTTATTTTTGTTTCAACTTGACCACACTCATTTTACAATTATGATTACAATACCAAACCCCCTTTAGATGCATACAGTCAATACATGTATGTTTGGGGATGTAATGTTAAATATTTTGATTTTTTTCATAATTTTAACTTTGACCCAAAATCAATAGGGACCTTTATCTAACCCTAGGGCATTATGCAGCCAAGTTTGGTAAAGAAATAGTCCTAAAACCTAAATTTTTACGCCAAGACAGCCTGAAATCAAGAAGGCTTCCATTGTATTAGGGCTGTTTCATAAAAATATACATGGGACCCCGTGACAGCACTTTGAAATCTCTGCTATGGTTCAGTGTCAAGTACAGTGAAAATGTAATTGAAATTCTAACTTTGCCTCTATAGGTGGTTACCCCATTATAAAAGTGCCTTCACTGGGTACCATGTATGTTTTTATGGAACAGTCCTTGTTCAGTTTGATTTTGACCCAAGACTACTGTAAAATTTAGAAATTATTGCAAGGTTTTTATTAATGCCAATAATACGACTTGCCTATCTCAATAAGGCCATAAAAAAGAATAGGTTTGTTTGCCCTAACCCTACCTACCCAGAAAATAGCTGCCTACTCGAAATCTTTTATTGTCCTGATGTGAAAATATTTTTTTTTTATTCAGATAGGCATGAAGACTAATAAACATCTGATACTTAAATTTCTCTTTACCAAAAAAAAAAAAAAGAAAATGCCTACCTACCTACCCACTGTCTCCATGTTGGGTAGGGTTTGGGCAAACCAAAATATTTTTAAGTGTGGCCTAATAAGAACTCGCATTATGATAACTGAAACATAGATCTGTATGCATAATTTTCAAATTGCAATTATTAAACTCACATTGTTGTCCATTCTTGAAAAATCGCAATAATAAATGCATGCAATAATTTCTGAATTTACAGTATTCACAGGGGTTAAAAAATATGATTATAGCTCACTAGCCCAGGACTTATTGGTAGCAGGATTTTACTAGTCCTGTTGGAAGAACTGCTAGCCCGACAAAACAGACCTGCTAACCCGCTAATCAGCGTGATCGGGAAAATAACAGCAATATTCACAAAACATTGTTTCTGGTTTTAATACCATCACCAACACCCAACCTTGCCCATGGGAATCTCTCTGTTCACGATAAGATAAATGTTCTTTTCCTCTTTTCCCAGTCGTAATTGGCATTTTAACTTTCTGATGACGTACGTATTGACCGCATTTCCCCCTTCATCATGTTCATCAACAGTTACTAAAATATTTAGCAATACTTTGCTGCATGGTTTCGTGTTGCCTACCATGACAGGTCATATTGATGAATGCATCATACCCCCAGTACTGTCAATTGAAAATCTCGGCATGAGCAATATACAATACCCCCAGTACTGAGAAATCTATATTGAAAGTGAATTGTAATTAATACATGATACCAGTCAACCCAGTTATTCGTCCTATTTTTACAACATGTACAAAATCAGTTCAAATTCCTGGAATCCTGGATGGAGTAGTATAATTGAATATGATTGGCTAAGATAAAAATAGTGAGGAAGGGATATTCCACTTTCTATTTTGGTAATGCTAAGAATTTTTTTTACCAGTCCGTCAGGCATTTTGGATTACAATTTTGATTGCCCAAGGCGTAAATGTTCTAGTCCCGGGCGTTGAGCTAGTGGATTTTTAAACCCCCGATTCATATGCCTGTGCTTTTAATGTCAGGTAGTCAGTTGATGGTGACTTTTAGTTGCATCTCAAAATTTTTGTTTCCAATTATGGGAAATTGGTGTTCATGGTAATTCATCCATAGTCTCTCTTAGGTATACTTGGTTATTGCTATTTTCTTAATTTTGCTTTGATCTTTTTTTTTTTGATAATTTACCATCTTGAGCGACTTGACTTAAAATAGTTTTTCTCAGTCGAGTAGAGTTGGAACACAATAACATCATAAGCCATACACTGTGCAGTTTCAAGATCTCTTTATATCCCTTTTGGTAATGTAACTTATAACACTACTACATATTTATACATCCCTGGCTTTTAAATGTTAAGCTTTGAGTGTTCCTGAATGATGGTAAATAAAAAAAAGTGCTTTGAACACGCACAATTTATAGTGTTACTTTCATTCAGAATCCTTGTAAGTAACATATACACCATTCAGAACATAAAAAACACTGCTTCATCCAGCCCCATTTCTGATCTGGTTCAGTTTCCTCATTAGCCCACATTAGAGGAATGCAGTGCTCAGCAATCAACTGACAGTATCAAGACAATCAATAACTTGAATCCTTTAAAAAATTTGAGAGTGAAAAATAGTTTTTTTATAACGCAAAGGAAACTCGCCTATCTTTTTAAGAAGGAAGTTGAGTTTGGGTATTAAAAAAACACCAAAATAAAGGGGCTATTTATATTTGTAAATCTGTTTAAAAAAGATTGCCACACAAAAGTGTCCTTTTCCTAAGACTGTGCCCCTCTGCCTTCAGTTTCTATTTAGAACACTGGTCTTTAGTCTATAAGTGCATACCTTAACATTAGTAACTTGTCCAGGCTGTATGTCTGTTGGTATTTCTATTGTGAACGACTCTTTCCCTGTCAATCCCAGTGATGTAGCATCCTGGCCCTCTAAATACTGACATGGTATGATGCCCATTCCAACCAAGTTACTTCTATGGATTCTCTCGTAACTCTCAGCAATCACAGCTTTTATACCCTGAAATTGAAAATTTGCAATATTTTCTTCTTCCGAATACGGGAGTAGACTCCTAGGTAGGAGTGCAAAAACTTCCCGGAACTTGTGTGCTATGTACATATGGACTTAATTAAAAATAATATAATTAAGAAAAATAGTTTACAATAACATATATACATTATGTACAGTGGCTTGGTAGTTTAATAAGTTGTTGTGGGTCCTTCATAACATTTAGTTGAGGCAAACTTAAGTTAGAGAACGGAAATAAAACTAGAGGCTCTAAAGAGCCTGTGTCGCTCACCTTGGTATATGTGCATATTAAACAAAGGACAAAGATGGATTCATGACAAAATTGTGTTTTGGTGATGGTGATGTGTTTGTAGATCTTACTTTACTGAACTTTCTTGCTGCTTACAATTATCTCTATCTATAATGAACTTGGCCCAGTAGTTACAGTGGAAAATATTTTGTAAAAAATTTACAAAAATTTACAAAATTTATGAAAAAATTGTAAAAAATTGACTATAAAGGGCAATAACTCCTTAAGGGGTCAATCGACAATTTTGGTCATGTTGACTTATTTGTAGATCTTACTTTGCTGAACATTATTGCTGTTTACAGTTTATCTCTATCTATAATAATATTCAAGATAATAACCAAAAGCGGCAAAATTTCCTTAAAATTACCAATTCAGGGGCAGCAACCCAACAACGGGTTGTCAGATTCATCTGAAAATTTCAGGGCAGATAGATCTTGACCTGATAAACAATTTTACCCTATGTCAGATTTGCTCTAAATGCTTTGGTTTCAGAGATATAAGCCAAAATCTACATTTTTCCCCTATGTTCTATTTTTAGCCATGGTGGCCATCTTGGTTGGTTCGCCGGGTCACCGGACACATTTTTTAAACTAGATACTTGAATGATGATTGTGTTTAAGTTTGGGTGCATTTGGCCCAGTAGTTTCAGAGGAGAAGATTTTTGTAAAAGATTACAGACGACGGACGACGGACGCAGGACGATGGACGCAAAGTGATGAGAAAAGCTCACTTGACCTTTCAGGTCAGGTGAGCTAAAAATCAATTTTTCCATTTGTAAAGGGGCATAACTCTATAAAGGTAAAAGTGACGCCACCAAAATTCAAATCAATTTCCAGATGTACAGACGCACAAGGGTAAAACTCAATGCCCCCTCTGTAAAAAAATTAATATATTTCCATCACAGCAAACATAACATATCTTTGACATATAAAATATTTGAAGATATTTTCAAGTTAACTGCATTCCGACAACTCTGGATGACAAAATAATACAACTTTCAGTGGAAAATTAGAATGTTCACTGTTATTATAGATTATTGTTGGTCATCTCAACATGATAGTTTTTCTCACTTGAACTGGTACAGCAAAAGTGAGAAAAGCAATCGAGTTGAGATGACCAATGATAATCTGTTTATCGCTATTTTGCCTATGACAACGTTGATGTTTACATTGACAACGTCACGTGCGCCCTTAGTTTCTAGCGATAATTTTTCACAACAATTATTGTAGATTCATAAAAATTCATTGGATACTAATTTTGTGTTGGTTTGGCCTGTAAAGGTTATCACTAATGTTGGAATGCAACGTCAAGCTTCTTATAGAAATCTATGCAAAAATCAATCAAATCCTCAAATTCAAGCATACATGAAAATAGTAAATTCCTAAATCAATGAAAATTAGTACCCAAAAAAATAAAGAATTCACATTCTAAAATTACTTACAAGAATCCATGGACCTTTGGCTGCCCAGTCTCTGGAAGATCCGGAACCATACTCTTTTCCCGCCAAAATTATCACAGATTTATTTTCAGTCTTGTATCTCTGAGCTGCATCAAAGATGTCCATCTGAAAATATGTTGTTACAAATCACTTAATTTTAATACGAAACGCTATCAGTAGTCACTTATTGTTTAGCGACCAGCTGTAGCCCCCTCTGTGTTTGGGATTTTCTCGCTGCGTTGAAGACCTACTGATGGCCTTGGGCTGTTTTCTGCTCTTTGGTCAGGTTGTTGTCTCTTCAACACATTCCCAGTTTCAATTCTCTATTTTACTATAATAAGGACCAACAAATGGTCATCAAATTATTTCTAAGAAATGAGGAAAATAAACATTAAAATTTTTTTGACTTTCAGAATTACATTTCTACAATAACAACTAGCTAAAGTTTTATTCTACAAGTCAAGTAAGAAAGTACAAAATTCAGCGTAAAAAAAAAATATATATTAAAACCATCCTGCTCTATTTTCTAAAGACGGAAAAAATATCAGGGCATTGCTAATGATTTGCAAAATCCTAAGCAAGCATTGATGTTTAAAAAAAAATGATCAGCAATGTAATTTTGACAAATTCTATCGCTGATTAGTACTTTTTTCTGGAACAGTCCAAACTTATTCATGTGTAAGTTTGTTTACCTCTTGTCCTGAGGGGATATGAACTGTACGAGCTCCAGGTTTACCAACAAATTTATTAACTAATCTAATATTTGCAAATGTCCCTCTGGCCATTACATCATCATTACCACGTCTGGACCCATAGGAATTAAATTCTCTAGCTGTTAATCTGGGGAAAAAAAACAGTAAAGTTATGAGATGATAAACTGTTTATATATTTCTAGTTTTATTGTTTTATACAGAGCATTAAAAAGGTATCTAGTAAATGGAATGTACCTCACCATACTAATAATAAAATTTAATCATTTCACTTCTTTATTAAAATAAGAAGATGTGGTTTGATTACCAATGAGACAACTATCCGCCAGAAATTTTGAAGCAACTAAAGGTCATCTTACAGTCTTCAACAATAGTAAAACCACTACCAAATAGTGAGCTAAAAAATCTCTGGCATGACAAAATGTGAAACAATTCAACAGATAAACCAATGGCCTGATTTATGCTAAAACAATAAAAGAAAAACAAATATGGCACACAGCAAGCAATGAAAATCTAAGAGCTATTCAAGAAAAAAATATATGGGGTTGGAGGGTTGGAATGCACTTGAATTATTTTTGTATGGGTAGGGGCAGGTCACGTAGTTCAAATTGTGTGGTTATGTATGGAAAGTAAAAAGCAATTATATGATTGATGGCCATAATAAAAAGTGCCTTCCAACCCCCTAACCCCTATATTGTTTTTCTGGAATAGCCCCAAGCTGTTTCTAGCAATAATCATCCCTTAAGATTCAATGTATTTTGCCAACAAGGTTTTCTTCGCTTAACATTCAGCCATTTTCCTTTATAGCTATACTTGGACCAAGGGGTTTCAGGTTGGTGTATTAAACTCTTTTCATAAATTCTTAAAAAGTGAAAAAGCTTGTAAGTCAGTATAATATTTTTTTGTGAAACAAGTTGCTGGTCTATTTATAGCTACACATACTTTTTAGATCTCTAACATTACCTACCCTTTAGATCCTAGGTATCTGGCAGCTGGGCTGTTCCTAGCTATACTGCCAGCAGGGGAGATATGATCTGTTGTCACAGAATCACCAAGATTTAATAGAACACAGGCATCCTTCACACCCTCAACAACTGGAAGATCTTTCACCTGTAAATTTATTTACAAATACCGGGTATATATTTTCAAACAGGATTTAAATATTTCATTGCTTATTACGCCAATTATGAAAAAAATAATAACTGAATGAAAATAGTATTGTGGCTAAAAAAGATGACCATGAAATTGAAGTATTATATAAATAAATTAATCATTCAATGAACCCAAAGTCAATCATCAACATAACTGTTTACACCTTTTTGAAACAACAAAAAATACATATAATACATATAATAGTGTCTCCTAGATAAAATTATCTAGTACATTGAAGAAACTCCAGGTTCTGAGGCCCCTCATGGGGGTGTCCAGGTAATCACAATTCTTTTGCCAATATAATCACATAATCATTAATTATTTTTTAAACAAGATAATCAAATAATCATGAAATATTTGGTCTGGTAATCAAATAATCACTATAAAAATGGCCAAGTAATCACATTATCAAAAAACCCCATGAGGAGGCTCGGTACTGTGAGCAAAGCTCATAAATTGATCCTCCCAGGTTTACCCAGAATGCATTAGATTCAGAAATGGTTAATCGGTAACTTACTCACCATTGTTTCAAAGAATGGTGGTGATTTAATATATGTAGATTTATCATCCCATGGATAAATCATCCCCTCTGGAGCCTCTAGACTATTCCATCTGGTGTTCCCTTTCTGTAATAATAAATCGATAAAATAATATTTCACAAACTATGTTTAAGATTGTTAGAGGGTCAAGAGGTCAAGTTTAGAGTTTAGACATAAGCTATATTGTAATGCATGGGTGGTTGTAATCAACATATTTATTTGATAAGGGGTTTCACCAAAAACCAAATTAATTTATTGTTGTTGTTTAGCAATATGCTACAATAGAATTCAAAACTTATGTGACACAAAAACACATGATTCTAGCCATTTCCTCATGTCTAAGCTGCTGTGGACAGAAATTATATATCTAATCTTCCTATCTGCAAACAGATTTCTAATAAATAGAAATTGTAACTGCTTTACTATGCCCATGAAAAACACAAAAATATACGATTGAAAAATCTAAAACATTGAATGATTTTCGTTTCCTTTACATCAAATGGCATAAAATAAAAAAAGAAAGTGTGCAAATTCACATGGTATGAAGAACTTCTATAATTAATTATATTCCAATGAAAACGGTTGAATATTTTGTGCTGCAATTTTTATATGTAGAAATACTAAAAGCCTTTTTTCGCTGTAGATTTCTTCCCCACAAAAAAAGATGAAAAAATCAAAATATGGAGTTCAGAATAAAGTACTTGTGTCAAGTTTTGATCTGGACATTACTTTAATTATTTGGTCTATATTGGAATGAGTGACTTAATGATAAACAAATTCAAATGTCAGTGTGTTTTGACTTGCGTCTTAATTTTCAATATGTTCACTGTAGGCATTTTATTTACATAATTACTTGATACAAAATTCAATTTTTCATTTAAATGCATTGTACAAGACTGTGAAATGCAAACAGCGAACAAAGCAAAGATTTAACTTCAACTTACAATTTTATTTTTATCTGTGGTAACCTTTTCTTCTTTTTTACTTTTTTTTATTATATTTATTGGTAAGACAATGCAACATTGGATAGCATATTCCTAGGTTATTCAAAAAAAATACCACTAAAACATTTTTAATGATTTTCAACAATGCTGTTGTTAATTACCGAATAAAGGCTTGTATAGTCCACGGTTTTATTTTCCAAAATTGAACCTGCCAGACAGGGGTGCGGACTATAGAGTACTATAAGCAAGAAATCAGAGAAAAAATTCGATTTTCCAGAGGTAGTTTGTTTACGTTCCACCGTGTTTGTTATTGATATTGTAGAGGGCGCTCTTATCATTTTCAAAACTAATAATTTTACCTAATCCATATTTATATGCTACTTTTATTCAATACCAAATGTATACTGATAAATTTAAAAATTTAATGCTTCACTACAAAAATTTCTCGTTTCTTTTCACTGCATTGCTTAAAATAAACTGGAATCTGCTTGAATTTAACAGAACGAAAAAAGTCAAAAAGTCAACCAAGAACCAGCTTATGATGTATAAACTACAAAACATAATCTGTTATTCGTTCCGTTTTGGTGTTTCATACTTACACATGTGTTTTGTTTTAACTTAAGATCCTTCAAACATTAATGTGATAGATATATTAAACATTGTTTTACATAAGGATGGAACTGTTTTAATTTCAAAGTCGTATTCTAGTGATATCTATTAAGTACGGATTTTCCGTATACTCTCACCGTATTTATTTTCTTTTACACATGCTATTCAAACTTCCGGTTTAAATATATGAAAGTTTCCAAATTGTTTTTTGTGTGATTTTGACTTATTTTAACACTCTTGATGTGTTTAAGAATCATTCACAAGCAGTTTCAACGTCTATTTAATGATGGAAAAAAGGGTTTTCCATGGAAATACCCCAAACGACCACACACAATTTGAAATGACAGGAGTTTCATTAGTCATTTTCTAACAGTTACAAAAAGCTTTTTTACCTGAAATCTCGTGGCAAGAAGGGGGGTGCGGACAATGTACCAGTGCGAACTATACAAGCCCAATTACTGTACCTGTATTCTGGAATATACATCATTAAACATAGATGGCACCACTACTGCTTTTTCAACTTCCTGTATCTGACTCCTTGTTGGCCAGATGTCTTGCAAAAATATTGGTTTGCCTTCAGAATTTGTTCCTGCAATGAATATATCAATTTCTAAAATATTTTAACTTTCTTCTCACATCTAAAAACCATAATGTCATCATGCATTACTTTTCATTGATTATTACTTAACATGTAATTTTCAGGCTATCTTTCTAAAATAGTCGCTACCCATCAAAGGAGAAGGTCCGATAAGGGCTAATTTTGGCCTAAAATTCGAAGTACATCTGATGAAAGATTTTGACCTTTTTTATACAATTAAGTGTCTACTTCAGTCGATTCAATTAGTTTATGTTAAAGATTTTAACTGATTTGGTCATCAAAGAGGCTCAAATTCAAGCTTAAATATGAAAAATCTATCAAATACATGTATGCCATAAAACGTCACTTTTCAGATGATTTTTGTCTAAAATGGAAGTGGCCGCATTTGTGTTCAGTCTCAACATTTGTATATGTTTTATCAATAAATACAACATATATTTAAATATAAAGACTGAACACAAGTGCGGCCACTTCCATTTTAGACAAAAACTGTCTTAAAATTAGCACAAATGCTGAGATTGTGAAGATTTCAGTATTTTTGCATGAAATGATGCTAGTACCTGATGTATGTCCATTGTATTGTCAAAAACAGCCTGTATTTATGTAACAAAAGTATTCTACTTTCCAATAAATAACTAAAAGTTTACATTTTCAACAACTTTGTAAAATGCTGTATTTTGGTGCCAAAAAGGGATCTTACCGGACCTACCTACTCTTTTTCAAAAAACTCTTTATTTCCCAAAATTTGAGTATCTCAATTAGTACCATTCCCTTTTATGATAAGGACAAATCTTTTCCCAAATACTTTTTTAGAACTCTTTAATTTCTAAAATGTGAGTTTCCCAATTAGTACCATTCCCTGTTTATGACAAGTACCAAACTTAACCTACCTAGAGGTTCTGTTTCAAAGTCTATGAGAACAGTTCCAGCTAATGCGTATGCTATGACCAAAGGAGGTGAGGCTAAATAGTTAGCTCGTATCAGAGGATGGATTCTTCCTTCAAAGTTCCGGTTACCTGAGAGCACACCACACGTCACCAAATCTCCCTGTAATGAAGAATTTCAAAATAATCATTTTTATACTGCAGCTAGAAAAATTCTTGTTGTCTTTAGGCCGAACCAATTTGATTTGTAGTTCTTCGGACAAAAGCTCCAAAAAATATGGGGCGAACGAGCGAAATTTTTTTAATTGTATTTTTTTCTTGAAAATGAGTTTTTATGAGGCGGGTGATCTGCAAGTGAAGCGAGCGGTATATTTTTTTTTAAAATTGTGCGAATCAGAATTTATGTACATGCTAAAACTGGGTTACTTCATAGAAAAAGGAGAAGAAACATGCTCTAATGCATATAATTTGATGAATTGGTGCATGAACCATACCCAACTTTCTTGTCTCGCTGTGGTTTAGTTAATTTCGATTATTTTCGTCAAATAAGCTTTGTCTGCGTGAATTTGCATTAAAATTCATGCATGTGTATATATTAAGGAAGCATAGCAGATGCAGTTTAACAAGAGGAATTATGTTAGTTAGGTAAATGACATATGTTGAATAAATTTAAATATGTGTATGTATCTAAAAAAATGCCCCTGGAAAATATTAAATATTTTTTATATATAGTTGTTTTCATTATATCAATATATGGTAATGATTGTTTATTGGCTGCTTGATGTCCACTTGGAACTATTTATCCATACCTACTAATGATCAACATAATGAGTGAGGTGAATATTTCAACAACATTATGAGTAAGATAGTTATATTGTTATGCATGTAGATCTCAATGTATTAAAATATTCCCTTAAAATACGTATACCTGTCACCACATTCACATGCATTATTCTGACAGCAAAATACTCTTTCATTTTGTTCCTAAAGGCTGCAATGCATTTTAAACTCTTTAGCTTGACTAGAAGTGGTTGAACCAATTACACATCCCTAATTATTATGAGCATGCCAATCACAATACCACCTCTTTGGTCTCGAACGTTGGAACTGTTAAATTTTCCCTTACAAAAGAGTTCTGCTTGCATACCAATAGACTAACAAGGACATATGGCCATGGGGTTTCATCAAAATGAGATAAATCTGTGATTTTTTCTAAAATTCATGGGAATTCAATATTATTTCCATCAAAGATAGATAGGTCTATAAAATAACAAGCATTGTAGATAAATTTGTACATAATAGCAGCCGGTGTTTCAAAATTCCACGTAGCAAATCTGAACAACATAGAGTCAATATAAACAGTCATTCTTTGTAAGAACAATGTTTTATTGGAATAGACTCCCAAACAATCTCGTGTGTACCAAGACAATTGATAGCTGTAAAACTTCGGTTGCTCTCACATCGTGGGACTAATTTTCCATCGCCTTTTTTCCATTGCCATTGATGCCATATCATGGCCTTGCAACGTACTTATTCAGATTCAGGTCTATGTCTGTTGAAACAATGATTGGGGATGACGATGGTTCTAACGAACATTGATATAATCGTGCATGGTCATCTTAAGACAGATTTTAAATATTTGTCTCCTAGAACAGGTCTTCATAGATAAAACGAGATGCATTTCGGATAACTGTGTGTTCAGTAACTACCTCTCCACGGCAATGAGCTGACACAACTGCATGTTGGCATCCCGATTTTTTACCTTTTATTTGCAATTTGATTTATCACGCATGCGTTTGAATCGATTGGAGCAATAAAAATGTCTATGAGAAAAAAAAAAATTCAAAGAGAAACTAAATTTGGAGCGGCATGCGGCCCAAAAATTTGTGGAAGCGGTAATTATTTTTTTTTATTGAAAAGTCAATTTCTCCAAAACAGGAGCGGGAAAATCCAAAGAACTATTAATCAAATTGGTGTAGCCTTATCTTCCAAATATAGTAACAAAGTGATATATCTTGCAATGCTGATTTCATGTCCCGTCACTTTCTGTCCAATTTGAGGTTCTTTTTGGGATGATAAATGTGTTTTATTATTGTGTTATCATTTTCATAACTATACCCATTTTTAACTGCAGTATAAAAACAATATTAGACCAATGTCAGAAAAAAATATCAACTTTCTGTATTCAGCACAAAACAGTTGAAGGACTTGGAAAACCTGTCCCTTCCCAAGTTTCTAAGCCTCAACAAAAAAGTTGATATTTTTCAGACATTGACCAAATATTGCATATAAAGATGAAAGCTATGTAGATAGCTTATGAAGAAAAATAAAATGGTCAACTGAATCTGGAATAAGTGTCAAGTACAGTCAAACCTGTTAGTCTCAGGACCAGAGAAAACTTACCTTATATGAAAAGGACCTTTGAATTGAGGTTCAAAACGCATAGGTAATTTATACAGTGGGACAAGAAGATGGTGACCTGACAGCAGGTTTTTCACTTAATAGAGTAAATAGCAGGTTTGACTGTAGTTAGCTCATATAAACTCAATAAAACACATTAATTCATATGTAAGGTTCATCAATGAATATTTATATTTTAGTTATGTTTAAATCATGCTTGAAAAACCTAAAATACTTTCCTCTGCAGACAATTGGTACTTGCTATATAGAAATATCATGAAAGTCAGCAATCTGCTAAAAAGTACACCAATATTAACAAAATTTGACCACAAATATAAACCATTCATATTGACAGTAAATTACATTCCTAATCACTAAAAGTTGTTGACAAAAAAGTATTTCAATATTAACAATTATTTACCTAAAAATACTGTCAAAATATTGATCATATTACCACTATTTACAGTTGCTATTACTAATGTTCTACCCTAATGAGATTTCGCTATCTCATCCAACCCCTCCAGTTAAGATGGTACTTAACACTACAGGGAGATAACTCTGCAAAAATCAGCTGAAGGTTTTAATCATGTTCTATGGTTAAGGAATTATACAGCTTCTCAATGATCAAAATTAGTGTTTGTCAAACTGCTACATATCCAATGAACTTTTTCTGATAAAGTGTGTGGTTCAAGTTTTTTGAAATTTTTATATTTTTGTCAAAGGGTCAAAGTAAATACTTTGTCAAAATTTTATGAAAGTTAAACGAGTCAATTCAATTTTAGTCAAGGTGTTTGGTACCACTTTAAAAAAAACATAAACAACAATTTTTCCAATAATCTGTGTGTGTTGAATGTTGCATAGGTGAAAAAGGAACCAACAATTTTCTACAGTATAAGATAAGAAATTAAACAAAACAGAAAATTTAGTGTCATAGGTCTGAGATTTTGCCCTTCTTTCACAAGATAATCGTCTTAGAGAATGCTATCCTGAGAGAAGACAGTAAAGAAGAGAGATATTGACAGCAAACAGACAAACTAACCTTCTCAATGGCTTCTCCGACCTGTTCTGGTAATGGTCCACTATTACCAATACAAGTCATACAACCATAACCTACTACAGAAAACCTGGAAAACAAATATATAATACTACCCATTATTGGTTCTTATTGTACATTTATATATCATGTTCATATAAACTATATATTGGTAATATTGATATTTTGTATTAAACTTAAGAGCATGCTCAGTAAGTACTTCCTTGATGAAAGCATATTACCAGAAAACAGTAAAGTTCATTCAAAAAATATATATGTAAAAAAAATCTCATATTTTCCTGGTGTAATCTGATAGAATCATCAGGCCACTCATGGTTTTCTGGTTTATATTGTTTCACATTTTGTCACATCCGGGCCTTATACACTACAGGGTATGGGTTTTACTCATTGTTGAAGACCATACATTGACTAATAGTTGCTTACATCCTTACTTTCCCGAACTTAGTCAGTACATGTATATTTGTTATTGAATCTTTATAGTATCACCTGTACAACAGTCAAGGATATAACTCTATAGGGTTATTAGAGAAAAGTAACATACATTTGTTATTGTGGACTAAAAAATCAAAGAACTGTGATAACATATGTATGTTACATGTTTCAATGGGACAATATACATCATTAGTTTTGTTAAAATGTATACAAGTTCTATTGATATTACTATTGTCTTTATGTATACTTAACGATAGAAAGATATAACAGTTCATAGTTTGCCAATCATGCAAAGTACACCTATGTTATTACAGAAAAAATATGCCTATAATAACTAAAGGGTGTTATTACAGCATCTCTACATCACTCCTAAGCATTTGCTCAGACATTCATCATGCTTAATTACAATGAATTTTAATTTATTGTAAGAAATAATGATCAGAGTATGTAATGAGGTTCTGCGCAAGCTTCCCAGTAATTCCCAAGTGTCTCATATAACAAGTTACATGCCTTTAATAACTAAGCCCTTGTTATTACAGCTAAGTTTATCCCATAAAAGCCTCGTCTCATTGATTTACCATGGTTAATGAAAAATGTATTAATTTAATTCAAAAATGAGTTATCAAGGCTATGCATTTAGTTTCTGCGCAAAGTTTCCAGAGCTCCCTAGAGCCCACTAAAAATCAAATTATGTATGATTTATTTTTCAAATAACAAACATATGTTATTACAGATTTAGAAAATTTAAGGATTAAAGAGTAGACAACTCATGAAAGTTATCTGTAATAACACATGCAAGTTATTTTCTGTAATAACCCTATAGAGTTATATCCCTGACTGTACAACAAATGTTAGTCTTTATTTTTTATTTTCTAAAGCAGTAGAACCTGTTTTGAATGAAGTAAAAATAAGAAGATTACTGCAAATGAGACACATATTCATTAAAGATCAAATATATTATCACACTCCTTGCTGAGATTTTTGTGATGAACAACTTGATAGTAAGTGGTACTCACCCTAGTTTTTCCAAATATGGAGTAACACCACTATCTCTGAGGTAAAAGGTCACCACACCACTGCCAGGGGACAGACTAGTTTTGATGTATGGCTTCACGGATAGTCCTGCTTCTATTGCATTCTTTGCTAGAAGGCCTAAAAATAAAACAAAATAAATATATCTGGTACATGTATCTTTCTTCATATGTTTAAACTCATGTAATTATAAGACAGAAACAATACATTATTCTAGATCTACATGTACATCATATATATTTATACTTATTTTCACAGTGTATTTACTTTCATGTATTTAACAGTAGATGATATTTCATACCTACCAAATGAAATTGTCTATGTCTAAAAGCCATTATCTAGTGAAAAGAAATTAATCCTTAGTGAAATGCTGAATCCATCTTTATCTCGCAATGATACACTTATAGACAAAACATTACCTCAAAAACTACAATGGTTTTCAAAAAGGGTTCAGAGAACTGTTGAATTTATGAACAAGTAATACACATCTTCTTCTTCTTTATGTTGAAAAAAACACTTTCATATGTAACTACTGATAATTGCCATGACAATAGAATCATGTGACAATGTGTGACCTTTAATGTCATGGATGCAAAGAAAAGTTTTCCGCCTGCTCTTTACTTGTAATTATATGGCTATTAAAGGCTACCAAGACTATTGAACAGGTTAACAGAACAACTGAACCCTATGACAATGCTAACCATTTGCTGTCATAGATATAAAGGTAGGTTACTCACATGCAACTCATTTAAAAAAAATCTTACGAAAAAAAACTAGGTCATGAACATTTCAGTATGATTTACATATCAATGATGAGTTTATTTACAATCAAACTTTGTTGTAAGATTATTCTAAAACGAGCCCCTGGTCCCACATGACTGATGGATAACTGGTATTTAAAAAACATTTCACAGTTAGTTATGGCTGTCATAACAAAAAAAAAACCTATGAAAGTATTTGCTTGTTTGAATCATTTACATTTAGTCATTTCAGGGCCTTTTATACTTACTTTACAGTATGGGTTTTGCTCATTATTGAAGGCCATAGACTGACATATAGCTTACATCTACAATTTTTGGTCTCGGGTGGATAGCTGTTTCATTGGTTCTCTAAATAAAGGGAGGTTACTCATCACTCCTAATATGACTGATGGATTGCTGGTATTTTTACAGCTAGTAATTGCTGCTATGACAACAGAACCATGTGACTATGTATATTTTATACAAAGGGAGGTTACTCACCAGCTCCTAACATGACTGATGGATTGCTGGTATTTGTACAGCTAGTGATGGCTGCTATGACAACAGAACCATGTGACAATGTATACTCCTTGTTTTCATAAATGATTGGAACAGTTGTTGATTGTTTATCTGACGGTATTGCAAAGCCCTGAAAAAAGAACAAATTCAATATTTGTTTTAGGTTATTGTCTCAATGACATATATATCAAACATACCCTTTTATTCATATCAAATTGTTTGATTTTCATATATATTTTTTTGTAACATTAGCATAGCATAATCTAATATGTGTATTTTAAACCTGATACACATCAAATATATTTCGTTCTGAATATATGCATAAAATATTTGCCACTCCCTATTTAGCCACCAATAATCAATCAATCATTCATAAGTTCTACTATAAAACTAAATTCTTGTTAAAATTACATTTATAGGATCGTAAGGAACTCTATAAATAATACCTATACTTAATACCAAGATACATGTGCTTCAGTGACCACATCTGTAGAAGATACTTACTAGCATGATGGATTTATAGTGATCCCTTTCTTGAGCCGCACACTGTATCCTTTAGGAAGCTTTGTTAACTTGGTATTTGTTTTTGTGTCAGGTATTTTGTTTTAATCTTTTTCAACAAGGTCTTGTTTGCTTGGTCATTATGGTTATTAGTTAATATATCATAGACAATTTTTTTCTTTCTTTTCTTTAAACGGTATATTGCAAAATTCATGTGTGAGTCTTATTTTTTGCTTTGTTTGCTGTAGGCAATTTACAATAAAATTATCACTTTAAAAACATTTCACTGTCAATTTAAATGCATAATTCAAGGCAGCGATAAATGACCATAGAAAACAGCAAAGATTTAATTGCCTCTTCAAAGACTCCAAAAGAGAACAACACATGACTCGTAAATATCTCAATGCACTATTCTTTTTTCTGTCATGTCTGTTGTTTTTACCTTAAAGCTAACTTTATTATTGAGACATTGTGTAAAATCAGACTTCATATCTGTAACAGCCACTTTATCCTGAGGTCTCTTAGGCCCAGAACAACAGGCCCTCACTGTTGACAAGTCTAGCTCATAAACCTAAATAAAACCAAATCATACAGTTAATATCATCCATGTTTTTTAATTATAATACCTACATATTTTTCATTTAAGTTATATAAATTTTTTATGTTACAAATGCATATGTTGAAAAAACTGAAGATATGTTACCTGAAACTGAAAAAATATTCACTAAACGTTGTTCTTATACTGAAAAAGTGTAAAAAAATGTGTTAAAAGATGTGGTATAATTATGGTAATTCCAACACAATTCTAAAATATTGCACCATATAATATGCACAAATATATAAATAAAAAATTAAAAAATATTTCAAGAATACATGACAAGACCCCTTTAAGTTCTACAAAAGGAAACATTTGTACTAATAATTAATTCATGTTATACCTCTGAGAACACAGGATCTTCATTCTGATCATTATAATTTCTGAACATTGTGATAGATCTTAGATATTGCTCTATAAAGTTGATCTGTTCATTACTTCTCCCTCAAAAGATAAAGTAACATATATCCATTAATTCATAAAGTTCATAAATTACTCTAAATTCAGAAATTTTTGCAATATTTTTATTATAACAAAAATTACAACTGTATAGGTTTCGCAAAAATAATAACAATCATTTTATAAATTTTGATCTATCTATACGAAGATGTGGTATGAGTGCCAATGAGACAACTCTCCATCCAAGTCAAAATTTATAAAAGTAAACCATTATAGGTCACAGTACGGTCTTCAACACGGAGCCTTGGCTCACACCGAACAGTAAGCTATAAAGGGCCCCCAAAATTACTAGTGTAAAACCATTCAAACGGGAAAACCAACGGTCTAATCTATATAAAAAACGAGAAACGAGAAACACTTATGAACCATTAACAAACGACAACTACTGAACAACTACTGATAGCATTGTTTGTATGCACAATTTCCTGAAATCCCAATAATTAAACTTGAATTTTTGTTCATTGATAAAAAAATCTCAATAATAAATACACACAAAATTTTCTGAATTTACAGTATGTACAGTAATTGTGCTTCAACTAGTGTAGCTGCTGCCGCAGGTAATGTTGACTGTAGACTGTTTTGGCTGTTAGATTTAGGGCCTTTGGGTTTTGATGCTCTCAAAGAATTAATATGTTTTTTGGCTATCCCAATTCAGGTCAGGAATGACCTGATGAAGTATAATTTGAGTAAAATGTGTTATAGACTGAGAAATAGTATCTTTTGTTTTTTTTTATTAAATTGTGATTAAAAAGTCCTACAATTTTCTAAGAAGTAGGTGCAATTTGGAGGCAAATCGTCAAAAAGTAAATGTAATAAAAACATATTTTTGATCATGTTAATTTAAGGAATTTTAAATGGTCAATGTTTATACAAGTCGACATAATAACATAATTTCAAGGCAACAAAAAAGTATTTGAATCAGCTTTAGACATACTATCAAATATCATCCATTAAAAAGTATATTAGCAAATATAATTCATGAAAAAAATGTAATACTCACCTGTTTGTAATAAATATTCTAGACTTTTATTATCAATAGGGAAGTATCCGACAGTAGCACCATATTCAGGACACATGTTTGAGATCGTTGCTCTGTCAGCAATGGAAAGCTTGGAAACACCAGGCCCAAAGAATTCTACAAACTTTCCAACCACACCTATCTGCCTTAAGTGCTAAAAAAGACAAATACTCTTGGTATAATTCCTCTCATTGAAATGATAATAAAGAAGGAGATAATTATTTTCTTTCATTTCTACATCTTTTACTGATAAATGGATAGTATTTTTTGGCATTTTACATTAAGATTCAGTCTTTGGTTGAAGGTTTTCAAGGAAATAAACTACATTCATAAATAAATATATATGTTATGTTCTTTGACCAGTGACATTAGTGTTCATCACAAAACAGGGAGGGACACATTCTGCAGGGGTGAAACTTAACTTTGTAAGGCCAGTAGCCAGCTGGGCTACTAGACTTGAAAATCAGTTAGCCCAGACAAAAAGTTAGTAGCCCACTTTATTTCACTATGAGTATCACCGGTGATACTGAACTTGCTAGGGAGGTTTGGGGGCATGCCCCCCCCCCCCCCCCCCCAAGAAAATTTTGAAATTTTAGACTCAAAACCCTGCATTCTGAGCATACCTGGAGGTGATTTAGATGCTTGGGAAAATGTAAATTTTGTCTTATTTTTGTTGTTGACTTCAATCAAATTTAATAAAAAAAAAAATCATTTAAGTTTTTTTTTTTTAATATCTTTTTAAGACAACTAAAGAATTCTCTGTCCTTAAAAAGTTAAACATGTAGATGATCGACGAAATGTTTAATTTTATTTCTTTAATAATCTAATTTATTAGATATCTTGATCGATTTATTTTGCGTAACTACGTACATTTGTTAACAAATGACCCCCCTTTTTTCTCAAAAGACTTGTACACGAATTTCAAAAGCATTGTCATAAAATTGATATCTCCTCTGATTTTCTCTTTTTTTTTATAAACTGTTCAGTAAGTAGGAAACTAAAATCATTTTGAACTAATGTTATTTATTTGTGGTCGACAATATTCTACAGTCTAGTCACATAATGTCGTGGATACATAAGTTCGTGGACTTCCGGAAATCCCAAATATTTTGCATGCGTGTTATTGTTATGACGTCATCATTCCCATGTTTTGATTGCTATAGGATATCCCTACAACGTCAACATACAAAATGAATCTCGTCGTTTCAAGCAAGGTAAGACTTATTACTTATTCATTTAATTAGCAAAATGGCTGATTTTACTTATTTCCTAATTTGACTAATTTCCATCGACCTCGATACCTTTATTCCAAAGTTATTATCCAAAATCCAAGTGTCGTCTGGTTACTCTACTTTCCAATGAACAATATCACGTGACTAACAAGGAGATTCCCTGTCAGCAAAAAAAATCTATGGAACGCAATCAGTGTCATAATCTTATATGTTTTTGATGTATTTTAGCGAAAAAAGATGAATTTTGGTTTATCAAATGAACTTCAAAAGAGTTATTGAGCACAGTTCTTGTAAATTAAGTTCAACTTACGTTGATTACTGGGTAGTATAGAGGATTTGTATACACAATTTTATTTTATTGTGTATTTGTTTGTTTTGTTAAAAGTTTTGTGTATCACAAAATTATTAGTGTTATTTTTTTAATATTTTACAGGTTCAACTTAAAAGGCAGAAATACAAGTCGTATTCACCAACAAAACTGACTAATGCTTATCTGGATGTTACTGACAAGAAGCTTAATGTTGCCAAGGCTGCAAGAAAGTATTGTCTTCCTGAACAGACACTAAGAGACCGTGTATTGGGCCACATCTCTATAGACAACGTAAAGTCTGGACCACCACCAGTGTTTGACTGTGAACAGGAGGCAAGATTGGTTAAGCACATAAAAGAAATGGGTGCAGTAGGATATGCATACACCAGAGCTGAAGTGGTGGATCTTGGATCTGAGTATGCTGTTCACTTGGGTATAAAGACAAAAGACGACAAGCAGCTGTCATTGAGATGGTTTTACAGCTTCATGGGTAGATGGCCTGAACTAAAGGTATGGAGACCTAAAACCATCTCAGAACTTAGAGCAAAGGCAACCTCAAGGGCATCAATTTACAGGTACTTTGATGAACTTAACCGTATAATGGAAAAATATCAGCTAAAAGACAAGCCACAGAGTATATATAATGTTGATGAGAAGGGTTTACAACCAAACTATAAACCACCAAATGTTGTGGCCTCTGCAGAGTATGTACCCTCTACCTTGTCTTCAGAAAAAGGTCAAACAACAACTGTAATGGGATGTGGTAATGCCTTAGGACATCAAATTCCACCATATTTTATTTTCGCTGGTAAACGTATGATACAGGAGTTGTTAGAAGGGGCCACACCTGGTGCTGATGGGTCTGTCAGTGAAACTGGATGGTCCAATTCAGAGATATTTCAGTCCTACCTGGAAAATCATTTCATTAAATACGTCACTGGTATGCAGGACAAACATATTCTTCTTCTGTATGATGGTCACAGGACTCACATAACACCAGATATCATTGATTGGGCAGTAGAGAAAAAAATTATCTTGTATGTTTTGCCTCCTCACACCAGCCATGTTCTTCAGCCCATGGATGTTGGTTGTTTTGGGCCTTTCGCAAGAATCTACAGTTCAGAATGTCATAAATTCCAACGTACCCATTCAGCAGTAATTAACAAATACAACTTATGCTCTATTGCCTGCAAATCTTACAATTCTGCTCTTTCTCCTTCAAATTTGCAGTCTGCTTTCCGTAAATCTGGTATTTACCCGTTAGATAAAGATGCTATAGATCAGTCCTTGTTTTCTATTTCTGATGCTATTCATAGACAGAGCCAATCAGAGGAAAATACCAAAGTTGATGATGTCCCTGCCATTGAAAATGAAACAACTGAACCAGTTAATTTAATGTCTGATTCAGAGATCAATGCAGACACAGAACCTTTATTATCAAACCAGGAAAATGAAAACATTCAGATTTATGTAGCTGAAAAAATTACTGACGAAAAACCAGATGAAAATACAACTTTCTTCACTGCAAAATCAACAAATTTGTCCAAGAAAAATCCACCAAAACAGGAAAGACGTTCCATCTACAAGATAGTAGCAGGAAAGGCAATTACAGAACCAGAGACACGTCAAGAAATAAAGGAGTACATTGCACAGTCAAAGTCAAGGACCCAGTCTAAAACAAACAATAAATCAACAAAACATAACATTAACCAAAATGCTAAGAAAACAACAACTAAACGTAAACAAAATGGTTCATCATCTTCTTCCAGTTCAACAACCACAAACAAGAAATTAAAGAAGAATCAACAAGATTCACAACAGCCAGTTCCATCAGGACTACAAAAAATAGTTGTTTCTGACGGTTCAATTACAGATGAAGATGATCAAGATGATGATAACACATTGTGTTGTGTTTGTAACATGTGGCAGCCAAAGGAGTTACAGGATTGCATCTCCATTGTATTCACACAATGGGCCAAATGTGAATTTCTACAATGTGATCATTGGACTCATCTTAAATTTTGCTGTGATGTCTCCGTCCTACGCAGGTCAGATAAATTTTACTGCCCATGCCATGGCTTACCCTGCAAACAGAAAGAAACTGAAGAATAATGATAACGATATACATTTGATAATTGTTTGACCGTTTCCAGTTATTTATATTTAAAGACATTTACTGTTGCCAGTTCTTTATTAACAGTTGGAACACTTTTGAGTTGTGAACATTTGCTTGATTTTATAAATATGAACTTTATCTTCTGTGGAAAGAAATTAAATCATGATTCCAAAGGAAAAAATTGACTGAACTGTATCTTTAAGCACATTTTTTTTTATTAATGGTAAGTAAAAATAATTGTTATTAGCAACTTTTGATTTTATTTTGTTACTTATAATTTTAATAATTTTTTAAAAGTTAAAATTTTTTTTTTTTTTTTTTTTTGGTGTTTCCATTTTTTATTTTTGTAAGGTTTTCAGTCTCCAAAAAATTAAAATTAAATACTTAGTCTTTAAAAACAATGTTTTTATTTTTACTGAACTGAACATGTACAAAAATATTATTGTATAAAATTACAATTTTATGCTCACCACTGGACTTCCATACTCTGTGTTCTTCTTGTGTTATTTTTAGAACGAACTTTTCCCACGAAAATAGGTGACGTACTTGGCATCCAATGCCGATTTGTTTACACTAGAAATGTAGGTCATATCAAAGAAACTATGAAACGGAAAGAATCAAACTAACTTGTATTATTTTAATGAAGTTCTAAGGTAACATTATCAACATAAAAATCAAATGGCTATTTATTAGTTTTACCGCATTCCGTTTGAATGGTCTTATATCCACGAATATAGGTGACACTACCGTACTTTCGTTTTTGACCCTTCATTCTCTGGACACCACGTGGGCTTTGAAAAGGGAACTACAAAAGGTACTGTTTTCCAGATTCTTAACAACATTATATATTATACGTTCTTTTATTTGACTGATATTATTTCATAACATGCTATTGTCATCTTCTCTGAATTTCTTCGCTTTCTTGAAGCCAAAACCGAACAGGGTATTTGACCGCTTCATATTGTAAATGACTATCGGAACGTCTCTCTTGTTATCCTTGCAAACATACGATACTTTCCGGACTTTAATTAGATGACCAATCAGTGACCTGAATTAATGTGAACTATATTTAGTCAAAGGTAAACACTGATTTTACATCCTTGTTTATTGCAACTTTGCGACAATACGACTCTCGACACTTGCCTGTATACATTTTAAAAAGATTTTTTTTTCTTTTTGAATTTAAATTTTTGTCCGTGAAGTAGCCGGCACTTGGAGCCACGGTAAACAGCGGATTTCCGTCTGTCGAGTACTTTGTTTTCAATTCGCCACCTGGGCTACCACAACTGAATAAAAAGATAGCCCAGGTCAATTTCTGGTCGCCATGGGCGACTGGGCGACCGTTAAGTTTTTTCCCTGTTCTGTAACACTATATATAGCTAGCAGACATAAAAAAGACAATACACCATTTTGTCCCTTCTCCTTGAGTATAAAAGGCATAATACCATGAAGTGTTATACAAGTCCTTGTTTTTATTCTGGTTCTAGTTGCCAAGTTGGTATGTATTCTCATCAAGTCATGTCATCTGCCTCATGTTTTGCCTCAGACATTCTGATTGAACCCCTTACCTTTGTTATTGTTAAGACAACATCTGTTGATGTGGTCATTTGGTCAACTTCTCCGGTCAATTTGTAACCAACAACCTGAGGAAGCACCATACTAATGGACTGGCCTAACATAACAGCTTCTGCTTCAATCCCGCCGACACCTACAAAATAAAACGACTGAAAATACTGCAAGAATGGCATATTACATGACTGCATAAACATGAATGAGATAAAAGTACACTCAGACTTGCATATTACATGATTGCATCAAAATATATGAAGTACAGTCAGACTGGACTAACAAGATTTGCATAAAAATGAAAGAGTTGAAAGTACAATGTGACTGGCATATTATATGACTGCATAGAAATAAAAGAACATGAAAGCAGTCAAACTGGCCTGTTACATGACTGCCTCAATCCTGTCACTACCTTTAAAACGAACGAAAACCTGACAATACCAACTATACTCCCCCGAGCTGCACATTCATTGATAGAAAGCATGTTGACAATGACAAGCTTATATCACTTGGTCTCTGATGGAGATTTGTCTCATTTGCAATCATACCACATCTTCTTATTCTAATATTAACATGACAGCCTAAATCCAGTTTCAGTTCGAGAGGAATAACTTACCCCAGCCAACAACTCCTAAACCATTGATCATTGTAGTATGAGAATCAGTTCCAACTAAACTGTCTGGATACAATGTCCCATTGTCGTTAAAAACAACTCGGGCAAGAAATTCTAAGTTGACCTGATGAACTATCCCTGACCCTGGAGGTACAATCAACATATTCTTCAAAGCCCTTGCTCCCCACTGTAAAGAAAAACAAACTCATACTTTTAAGTAAGTGACAACACACATTTGTCATGTGTATTATTCTGACTAAAATAAAACAACTTGAATATTTATGCAGTGTATTAATTTTATCATGCCTCGTAAGACCTGAATATTAGTACATACATATATACATGTACATTTCAAAATTACAATATTCCAAAAACAGAACTTTAAATCTATAAAATAGGCTTGTAGCAAGGCATAGTTTCTGCCTTTATCCATAATACACTATTTTTCCAATAGCAGTCTTCATTACCTGCCTTTCATCGCAATTGACCGTCTTTGCTTAAATCTATGTATTGTATTTATTTTTCATTTGTTCTTGTTCTAAATATGCATGAAATATTTACAACTGAATGTTTAGCAAATTGCAATCGATAGATTACTGTGAATTCCATTTATTTTCATGTACCAATTTTTGTAGAATGGAGAAAATAGTATTTTCGTGGATACTTGATTTCTAGGTTCTGCCAAAGTCAGCATACAAGCCTATAGAAATGTTGTACTTTAAATTTAGTGAACATTTAAATTCATGGTTTACTTGTATCCATGAAATATCCATAAGAATTGGTATCCCATGAATAATAATGAATTAATAGTATGTTTAAAACAAGAATGTGTCCATAGTACACGGATACCTGACTCGCACTATTATTAATTTCTATGTTCAGTGGACCGTGAAATTGGGGTCAAAACTCTAATTTGGCATTAAAATTAGAAAGATCATATCATAGGGAACAGGTGTACTAAGTTTCAAGTTGATTGGACTTCAACTTCATCAAAAACTACCTTGACCAAAAACTTTAACCTGAAGCGGGATAGACGGACGGACGGATGGACAGACCCACACACACATGCACAGACCGAAAAACATAATGCTCCTAGGTGGGGCATAAAAAAGTAAATAGCCACAAAATGTATCCCATGATCACACTATAAAAATCGAAATCCACAAAAACTGAATGGTACTAAATTATGTTGCAACTTCTGATATTTTTTAAACAGCTCTTACAGTCACATGACTACTGTTGGAGACTGTATGTTAATCTCTAGATGTCTTTTGGCAGAGTTTTTGAAATAATTTTTTCCCTGGTGGTCCTTCAAGAAAATCTGCTGGTGCTCACAGGGCTCACGCTAGCAGGCGACTGGGGCGAAAAAGTCGCTTTCATGTCTGTCACTTCGCTTTGCCCAACCGTCAAACCAATATCTAGTCGCCCTGGTGTTTACAATAGTCGCTTGCAGTCGTTTTCGTCATTGGCAATTTCCCCTTCTTACCAAGTCAATGAAACAGCTTATTTTCATTTAAAAGTGAAGAAATTCAAAGACATAAACGATTAATTGTTAAAAAAAGATGTGAAAGTATTGACTTTACAGATTGGTCGTATGTTATTTCAAAGAAACAACTTTTATGAAGTATTTTCTTTAACTTCCGGTACTTGTTACTCGAGATCGTATATCAAAATATTCTGATTTTCGACAAAAATAAGTTTTTTACTTCATTAGAAAGTGATCAAAATTGCCTTTAGTTAATGTTTGATCCACTGATTGCATGAAAAGCCTCATATTTCTTTCCGAAATCGCTTATCAAACTTTGTTTATTTTCGTAAATTTTCTTCGACCGCCATTGAAATATTTGTACGATCAATGGATCGGAGGCAGGTTTCATCGGAAAAGGACCAGCTATGACCGAAATCCGTATTTTTACCATAATAACTACAGACGCCTGAATTGAACAGCTGATAAAAGAATAATGACCCCAAAAGTGAAAATTACACATTCCACACGCATTAATAGACTTTTGGTTAGATCTCCTTGCCAAATGTATATATTTCCATGTAAATGCATTGTTTCAATTTATTGATTAAAGTTACTTAACTTTGTTAAATTTATATATCTTTTTAATGAGAAACAGCGAATTTCATTAAGTTGATAAACAGAATAGTTTTTTAATTGCATTTTGATTGATATATGATACTTTCTTTGCCTTTTTGATATAAAAAAGTTCTTTTAGGTGCTAGATATTTAGTTGGTAGATTCTGACAAGATGATTAATATAATTATGCAACTATAAATAAAATTGAGAATGCAATGACTATATATTTAAGACATAAACTGAAACAACTGTTACTTTAAATGACTCAGGTATGAATTGAACACCTCTTTAAAAAAAAAGTACATATGGTCCTTTATATTATAGTAAAAATCAAACATTGTAGCGCCGTGAGCTAATGAGCACTTCTCTTTCAAATCTCACCACTTCTCCCTTCCAGTTTTAAAAAGAGAAGTCACTTCTCCCTGTGATTTTGAAGTAGTGTAAGCCCTGGCTCACATTTCTATTGCAAAATACCAAAATTGCGTAGGTCCTTTGCAAAATTTTGGTGGTCAGAACCTTCGAACCATCAATTTTCGAGAACTCTGCTTGTGGTTATTTGTGTCCTTGGGTTGCTGTCTCCATGACATATGTCCCACAACTACTTATTTCATACTTGATAAAACTAAAATAGAACTGACCTTTTGAAAGGAAATATTTCTTGATCAAATGAATGGGTTTGCTTGTAACAGTATAGCGTTAATTTTTCTTTCCTTCAAACGAATATTTCTGGTTTTTTTTTCATCTTAACTAATATCTATAGTTTCTAGGACGACCTTTAATTTCTACTCACCTTCAAAAATACAAATCTTTCTTTATTTCTTGTAAATTCTAATTCCTGATTCTGTTCTAAAGCATCAGCACTGTAATAAAGCAACACCATTAAAGTTAATATATATTATATCAAGACATCATTTCATACATAACCAACATTTTAGTAACAAGTAACTGTGTGTAGATCAAAATAAAATCAAGTTTTATAATATCTTTTGAACAATTTTCAGTTTTAAAAGATTTTCATTGACAATTTTTTTTGACAAACTTTTACTTTTAATAATTTTTTCTTCTTGCAAGTAGAGGTAAAAAAAAAATAAGTACATGAAAAAAGTAATAATGAAATGACAACAAATATGTGATACAAATCATGAGGAATTGAACTTGTAAGATGTAAAAAGAACAAACTAGCTCAACAAACTGAGCCAGAAAGACTGTATATTATTTCCCTTTAAATAGCATGTTTAGACTGCTGAAGACACACATGTATCATAAATATATAATTTCCAAGTAAATATTTATTTTTCCATTATATTGAAATAATTTTACCTGATCAAGTCTTATATTACTGAATTAATTTTACCCAATCAAGCAGAACCTAAACAGATATATACATGCATGTCAAAGCGATTTAAAGACATTCTGTTTATCATAAAATAAACATGGGCAGACAATTCCTTTATGATCATTTCAAATTTCAAAAATATATGTACATGATATATATTGCTGAAGTCCATATCGCTATTTCAGTCTACAACAATAAATCTTCTTCATTATATATATATATATGACAAACTTTATTATATATCTGTTTAAGTCATGCCAAATCAGATGAAATTTATAAAGTAATAACATTATCTGACATATGGAGAAAATCCTTTATATACAAAGATGAATCTGAATACAATGTCATTTGTCATATGCATGCTTGTGGGGTAACATCTTCATTGAAGTTAGAAAATCTCAAAATAAGGAATACTTCCAAGTCATAAAATTTCAAACAATTATGTATCATGAGAACAGTTTTGTCAGTAACTTTCAATGACTTTAGTTATATACACGTATTGCAAAGACTTTTCTAATTACCAGGAGAATTTTTCTACACTTCTTTCCAAATCTTTCTGACATTAAGAATGCAAGAATGCATTCTCAGCTTGATGTTTGAGGAAAAATATAACAACTAACCTCACTGTTCACATACTACTGACAATCAACCTTAGATTTGTCAAACTATTTCATCTTTTATGAAGATATTTCCCCAAATTCTAATTAAATATCATGTCAAAAAATTGATAAAATAAAACAACACTCAAACACCTTTTAACTATGGCTACCAACCTAGATGTTTTGTTGCCATGAAATGGACAAATTTTATCAGAGCAAGGACCTTCACAGTTCAAACATTTGGGCTGACCTCCTCCAGGGTTTGGGGAGAATCTCAAAGTACTGTAAGGAGAAAAAAATCTTAAATTTTACAAAATTAATTCTATTTCACTCTCATAAAATCTAAAATATTTCTTGATATTATTCTCTCCTATATCATGTATATAATTATTTCATACAAGAAATTTTTCAGATACTGTATATCAATATTCAATATTCAAATATTTATCATAAAAAAGTTTTATTTCAGAAACTAAGCATGATAATAATACAAATTATTGTGTCTTGTTTTTTTTTCTCTTACGAAAATTCAGCATATACATAAAGCTTTAAGATGATCATGATATAAGTATCAAATTAAAAAGAGGCTTAATCACAGTTAGTAAGGACACTAAGAGGGTCTTCCTATTGTGTTGTTACTATGTGGGGCTCCAGTAAGGTACCCCCTTAGGTCACAAGGTCATATTTAAAAATTGTATGAGGTCACCAGGTTACTTTTAACATGTTTAAGCAAATAAAACATTTTGAACATTTTGAAAAGTCCTTCTAAATGAGACATCATGTAACAAAGTTCTTGATATATTTCCTAAAATAATAACAAATTTGCCAGTCCAAAAGTTTTTTTTTATTGAATTGTTATGTTAATGGATATATGTGCCAAACTGAATCTAAGTATCATTCAGAAAATAAGCACCTTCTAACAATTATACTGTATGACATTTTATAATAATCTGATGGGCTTTATCTTAATAACTCAGTGTTTGGAAATATTCCTGAAAGCTAATTTTCAGGTACAATTATATTGATGTTGGATCAAATGAAAAAATGTTATTTTTCAATATTATTTTTCAATCTTCAAATCAGAGACTCATTATTTACTGAGATTCAAAAATGAGGAATATATATTTGTCCATTTCAAACACTGGACAAAACATTCTATGACTACTCTAGCACCAGTGAACATAAAAATAATCATTATACAGCAAAGTTATCAAGAGATAGAACATGCAAGACCTGGTTAAAATGTGCAGGTAGGAATTTACATTATTTTTATTTATATAAAACCTTAAGACCCTTTGAATTTGGAAAATGCATGATATACTGGATATCAGTTGGAAGATGCTAGTTTTGAAGTTTTCTGAGGGATTTAATGCTAAAAATGCAACCAAATTCAATTTTAGTTAAAAAAAAATATTGCCAAAAATTTGAAAAAAACTTAAAAAACAAGAATTTTCTCAGACTGACAGTTGAACTTTTTGGAACCAACACTTTTTTTCACTGTGTCAATAATTATAATTTATTTTTACAAATATGTACTGTTATCATCGTAACGGCAGACAAATATTCAATTCAATTCTCTATTTCAGAATCTTATACATTCTTGGTATTTTCAAAAGTGTTCCCAAAATCACAGTGCTTCATTAGAAACCTCATAAACAATGGAAATTCAACCAATGACATGACATTTTTTTCCTTTTGGGGTACGAACAAAAAAATTATGTATTATTCCCTTGATTCTGAAATGGAAAATTATGTATCTATAGGTGATAAACTGGTTATAGAAAAGAACATTTGGGATAGGTAATCAAGCATTATATTACATAGATAACCGTAGCCTATTTATAAGATGTTTACCTCCTTGACACATCCACCTGTATAGAGTGGTCAATAACTAGGTCAGCTGGACAGACTGGGTTAATTTTCTGTGGATCCCCTCCTAATCTTTTGACAGCATCTCTCATAGCAGCAAAATCTACCACTGCTGGTACCCCCCTGAAAATGTAATTAACAAGATGAAGTTGATATTGGAAATAAACTTTGACCCTATTGGAAATATTGAATGATATCCACTAAACATATTATATACATGTGCTGTGGAGTCTTTTATTTTCATTGGTTTTTAAATTTCATGGTTGGAAAAACTTGTGGTCTTTTGAGGGTAAAAAATTTGTGATATCATCATTTGCTCGTACAATAAAAGCACCTAAAAATTGATATATATATACTGTGGATTCATTTATTTTCGTGGGTATTAGTTTTTGTGGATTGAGGAAAACTTGCATTTTCTTGGATATTTGATTTCGTGGTTTTGCCAATCTCTGCATACAAAGCATATATTAAATTTGTAATTCGTTGAACATTTCAATTCGTGGTTCACTTGTACCAACGAAATCCACAAAAATTGGTATTCAACGAATAATGATGAATCCACATTATACATGTTAAAGCTTTTAAATTTTCATTCCCATTACCCACAAAAATTGGTATCCCAAAAATATTAACAATCAAGATTTCCTAACTAAAAAATATGTTATAGAGCAGTATTTTTCTGACTAAAAAGTATCAGCAGACTTTACCTTGACTGAAAAATGCTAATTGGAATAAACATAATAATTGTTGACACAATTGTAATGCATTTCTGTTATTCAATGTTTACTTATTTTGTGTTATATCACCTCTTACTATTTAATATGTACCACCTTTGATAATTATTTAGTATGACAATAAATTTTCACTTCTGTACTCGTTCTATGAACAACAAATTTATTTTGTAAAAAATGTTTCTGTACTCCTAACAACAAAATTATTATATTTAAATTTACCTGTGTACGTTACTTTATTTAAAGCCATTTTGTCCTAGGTTAAAGTTGTCTTTTTGACATTGATACATCTTCTTTATTTATATTGTGTCATAGATCAAACTTATTCGTTCAGTGTATATTTCAAAGATGCCAAACCCCTTTGAGTGCAATCAGTAAAAAGGCATTAATATTTACGTAAAATTTTATAATAATCATATAAACAATGGGCATACAGGGATGATTGATTGAACAGTGGTTGCTTAACGTCCAGTGGCAAATATTTCATGCATGTACAGGAAGAGAACAAATTTACAATAAATACAAAAGATGGGTCCTTTAGTAGAGGTCGTCCGGGATGAGGGTCGGTAGATATTTACACTGCCACTGGAAAATGAGGATATATGGGATACGAGACAGAAATTTAGAATTTCAACAGGCCACCTAAGGATCTATCAAAGTTGTTTCTATGGTTCTAAACGTACACAGTGTGTAGCTCTCTTTTTTCAAGATATATGAATTAATGTCCCCATTCCGACCGGACGTGGCTGCGTACTTGTATATCCACCACAGCAAATCAGACGTCACACTATTGCAAGAGTATTGCTGCCAATTGAAGTAAAACCTGTAGTGACCATATTTCTTTTCCTCAGTCACCCTTTAGGGCGGCACTCGGTGACAAAGTGATGTCCTTGATTTATCAGAACTACGATTCAAAGTTGATGAGCAAATGAGGAACACTGACCATCGCGCTAAATGGAAATATTTCTTATAATATATGCAAAAGGTATAATGAATTGTCCAGATTTCTAGGTTTCTTTCTTTGAAATTGAAATTAAAATTGTTCCACCAGACATTATAAAATTGAAAACAAAGACTTTTTAAGTTCATTAATTATTCAGAACTGAACAAGAAATAGAGATCGTTTTCTACTGGTAGTCCCAATTGATTTTTGGTTACTTAACGTCCAGTGACAAATATTTCATGCATGTTTGAGGACGAGAACAAAATAACAATAAATTCAATTTAGGAAGGTCTTACAATAGAGATCGGAAAATTCGGGCAACCACTGTAAAATGGGGGTATATTGGATTGGGACAGAAATGAAGCCTTGCCACAGGCCACATAAGGACCCTTCGAAGAGTTGTAGCATGGGTTTTAAACGTGCATAAAGCTTGGCACTCTCTAAACACAAGACATCGGATTTAATGTCCTCATTCTGACTGAACGCGGCTGCGTACTTGATACATCCCGCACAACTAAACGGACGCCCCTCTTTGACGAGGGTTATACTGCTGGTCGACAGTGTTAACCATATTTCTATTCCCCAGGTACCTTTATAAATGAAAGGGGTGGTAGTCCCTATTGTTATTATATATGTTACTGTTACATGAAATCAAAAATGAAGCGTCACAATTATCAATAAAATGCTCCGCTGGGGCGCAGCTTGATACGACCGCAGAGGTCGAACCCTGAACAGTTGGGGCAAGTATGGACACAACATTCAAGCTTGATACAGCACTGAATTTGGATTGTAATTAAATATTTGACACAGCATAGGTTTCTGACACAGAATGAAAGTGGTCTAAGAACTTAAAAATTTTCAATTTACCTATTCATACATGTGATGGACTGTGAAACTCAGATCAGGAGATTGGGAAATTTTGGTCAGGAGATTAGGACTCAGATCAGGAGGTTTTTAATCGACATTAATTTTGTTGTAAATGTAACCGTGTGCTGTAAAAATGGTCTTTAAAAGTGTGTTTTCTTCAACTTTCCAACCAATTTATTATGTTTATAGTACCCTTGTACTTTCTCCATCTTTATATTCTACATGTTCAATCTAACATTGTTTTTTTCCAGTATGTTCTTTAAATTTTTTACTTCATATTCTGTAAAACAATCATTGCAACCAGAACATTTGTTTAGCTGTCTGCAAATAGTTTTTATTTTTTTTTTTTTTCTCTTGCAAATAGTTTTTATTTGCAAACTCAGAAATTCATTCTATCTGTAAAGTTAGGGTCATAGTTACTATATAAATTTCAATTTAAGCCTTAAAAGGAAGTATAGAATCCTCAAATAATTTTCAAATTATTATTTTTTTATTTGTCCTAAGACATTTAAAATCATTTAATAACCATCCTTTTATGATTATTTGTTCAATTTATATTTTATTTATATTCTTTTAAAAATTTTCATTATTAAAAGGAAAGTAACTTAAAACAGGATAAATCAAGGGAAGTAACCCAATAAATACACAGTTTTTGTTACACAACGGCAGTTAGCCTGAGGTAAAAATCGTTGCTTACCAGTATGTTTGACACCCAAGCTGACAAGTGAAGCCATATAATTATGCATGTTAATTGATTTACAGGTAAAATATAACTTCAGGTAATGTCAGTTACACCAGATGCCTGAGATGTTATGTTGGGCAGAAATTTTTCATTCATGAAAAATTTCATACACGGGATTTTTTCAACGGGAGGGGGGAGGAGACCCCTGAAAACAGGATTATTGTACTCCCGTCGGGAGGTTCACATGTATGCCTATTCAAACCATATCATTATTATTTGCTTTTATATATAAATCAGAAATAACCAATTTAAAATGGAAAATGTTAAAGAAAAAAAAGGAAAAAAAAAATCCCCCCCCCCCCCCCCAATTTTTTGAACCCCCTTATGATTCATCGCCCCCAAACTCAATCCCAGCTTTCCCTTTGTGGTATGGTACCTTGCAGTACAATTTCAGAGAGATTCATACACTTGAACACAAGTTATTGTCCTGAAACTAGAAAAATGCATGTTTTTTTGCCCTTTTATGGCCCCTAATTACTAAAATTTTGAGGGAAAACCCCCAAAATCAATCCCAGCCTTCCCTTTGTGATATGGAACCTTGTAGTACAATTTCATAAAGATCCATACACTTACAAACAAGTTATTGTCATGAAACTAGAAAAATGCTTGTTTTTTGCCCCTTTTTGGCCCCTTATTCCTAATATTTGGAAGAAATTACCCCAAAAATCAATCCCAGTATTCCCTTTGTGATATGGAACCTTGTAGTACAATTTCATAAAGATCCATACACTTACAAACAAGTTATTGTCATGAAACTAGAAAAATGCTTGTTTTTTGCCCCTTTTTGGCCCCTAATTCCTAAAATTTGGAGACAATTACCCCCAAAATCAATCCCAGCATTCCCTTTGTGATATGAAACCTTGTGGTACAATGTCAGAGAGATTCGTACACTTACACACAAGTTATGTCTGGAAGTTACAAAAATGCTTATTTTTGGCCCCTTTTGGCCCCTAATTCCTTAACTGTTAGTACCATAACCCCCAAAATCAATCCCCACCTTCCTTTTGTGGTATTGAACCTTATGGTAAAATTTCAATGAGATCCATTCACTTAAACTAAAGTTAGAGTGCGAAAACTAATGTGTATTCGGACGACGACGCCGGACGACGACGACGACGACGACGACGACGACGACGACGACGCCAACGTCATACCAATATACGACCACAAAAATTTTTTTGCGGTCGTATAAAAATGAAGCGTCACAGTTATCAAAAATGATTTCTAAACGGAGAACTGTTTTGGACAGGTTATGAATCCGTAACAAATAGACTGTTAGTCGTAACACCGTAATTTTGGTCCAAAATTCGTAACAATTACGGGAAAATCGTAACGGTTGGCATCTATGATATTTACTTGTTTTTGTGTATTGTCTTTTTGATCGAGTTAAGCCATTTCAATTGATATTTTATTGTGTGTCTTTTTATGTTGTAATGTTACACCACTGTTTCAGATTAGGGTGAAGGTTGGCAACTGTTAAAACGTTTAAACCCGCTGCATTTTTATGCACCTGTCCTAAGTCAGGAGCCTGTTGTTCAGTGGTTGTCGTTTGTTGGTGTGGTTCATAAGTGTTTCTCGTTTTTAATATAGATTAGACTGTTGGTTAACTTGGTTTTCCTGTTTGAATTGTTTTACATTAGTCATTTTGGGGCCCTTTATAGCTTGCTGTTCGGTGTGAGCCAAGGCTCCGTGTTGAAGGCCATACTTTGACCAATAATTGTTTGCTTTTTACACATTGTGGCTTGGATGGATAGTTGGCACTCATACCACATCTTCTTATTTATATAATTGGAATAAACTAACTCTAATTTGAGTGTTTATCCCTCATTTTGTAAACAAAGTTAAAAAAAATTACTGAAACAACATACATAAATCTAAATCAATTTAATAACATTATATTAGGTCAATAAGGTATTTTATTTAACATAGCCTGGATGTTATGAATAAAATTTTGAAGTTCATATCAGATATTTATTAAATAGAATATTTTTTCCATATTTTTACTTAAAATATTGTAACATAACTAGTAACTACTGCCTAGTATAAATTAAATCATTTAATTTTTTCAAGTCAAGCATTTCGTGAACCATTTGAAATTTCTTCCTTTACTTACGTGAAATCCTGTAGGATGACCCTGGCTGGTTTAAATGGAATTTCAACATTTTTGGTCTGATTTTTCTCCCAGTCCAGAATGTGTTCCACATCTTTCTGTAGTACCTGGAAATCATCACAGTTCCTGATGGCTGATTCCAATAGCACTCTGATGGAGTACGGAAGCTTTTCTAAAAAGTAAAATTTGAATATCATCATCAGTGTTTCCTTTCCACCAGAAATTGATGTGAAGGATACCTTGAACAATTGAACAGAACTTTTGATGCAGTGACCTCTTCTCTCTTTAATATTAAGACTTTGGCTGTTATCTGCTCTTTGGACGGGTTGTTCATGTTGTTGTCTCTTTGACATATCAGTGTTTTCCATTCGGCATTTAAGCCGGGTGTGCCAACCACCTTCTTTTAAAAGCCGACCATGTTTCCATTTTAGGAGGTGGTCGGCTTTTTTTCAAATTCTGGATTTTTTTCGGTTCCGAACCGTAAAAATTTAAATACTAATTGCGCCTCGCTGATTGTTTTCATTGACAAAAATGGCGGATCATCAAATTTCAATGTTTTCTTTTATTAATCGGGGGAAGAGAAAGGCAGATGACGATGGTGATAAGGAAAATTCTTGGCCAAATAAGTCAACTAAAACGGATAGTTGTATTGAAATTGTTGAAATGGAATAAAAAGTATCAAAACAACGGAAAAGGCACAGAAGCGATCGCGAAGATAAACACGTTGGGAAAAGTTTACGGGAGCCTGTATGATTTTACATGATGGCGGACAAATTTGCATACAAGTGTAAATACGTCTATCCCCCAAATGAGGGATATCTCTTAAATGAGGGACTTTCTCTCTGGCAAGAGGTTAAAAGAAAAAAGAAAAACTTAGATTTTTTAACTTAAAAGGGGGAAAAATCATTATACTCGGACCAATTTTTCTAAAAGAAGGTCCCATTATTTTTAATGATAAAGAAGATATAAGTCCAGGAATATTACAAAATTTTTGGACATGTTTTGACCATATAATACCAAATAGATGTATAGTACTTTGGGAAAATTTTCTGTAAATAAAATAAATATGTGCTCATTTGTATCTCAAAAATGTACCCCCTCATAAAAGAGATCGTCATTACATTGAGAGGTTACCCCTCATTTGATGAATATGAACAGGACTTTAAATGGCTAATCGTCACAGAAGGAGGATATAACTGCTTTGTGTTCCAAAAATACAGCACTAAAGCGAGGAACAGGACAGAAATAAACTTGGATCGATAAGCTATGCATATGCAGGAGGAGGGAGTCCTACAAAAGACATATCCGAGATCCGCAAAACTAATTTGTCAAATGAATGGCTAGCAGTGATAGCAGAAGAACAGTTCAATTTTATTAAATGTGTATACAATACTAATCCTTCTTTTTGTGACCCCCTCCAACAGTAAAAAACCCGGTAAGAAATGTTAAAACAATAAAAAACACCCGGTTGTAAGTGATTTTTTCAAAACATCCACCTTACCTTAGTGAAAAATGGAGAACACTGCATATTCCCCATTTCCATTCTCAATTTTACATACAAGTTATATATATAGCACACCTTTTACAAATTAACGTATCTAATTCACGAAAAGCGTAGCTTTGAGTGGATTAAATACGTTAATGAGTAAGGCGTGGCTATATATGATTTGTAACATTAATGGGCTATGACACACGTCAAAGGTTAAATGCTGACAAATAAAATTTTACTGTACTTTTCAATATGTCAATCAAATAGTGGCATGATACTATATCTGATTTCCGGAAAATTAACACATGCAGCAGATGTCAGTTGGATTTTTGTGTCAGATACAGGTACATTTAAATGAATTGTAGCGTGGGATTCAGGCTCGATAGCCATTTACGTGTTATAGAATGTTTTTCCTCCCCCAAAAAAAATGGGGGGTGGGGTGATGCAAAATTTTATACGATGTTTATTTGCTCTCCAACTCGAAAATGATGTGTAGTTTCAAAGGAGTTTTATCGTTTATCGATAAGAAGGAAACATTTTATAATACCAATTATGAAGGTAATTAATACTATTCTTCCATTCCCAAGAACTGGAAAAAGATCGGTTAATTGATTGCAATGGTTGCATGTTGAATGCGTGTAAGATCCAGGGACAAATATTTGAAGCATGATCAATTCACAGAGGTAGGCCTTTATAGAATGAAGAAAATTACTAAACATCCAGTGACATATATTTTTTCATTAATTTCGACACGATAAATGGTCATTAAATGGAGGAAATTAAACGATTAAAATTCCAGTGACAATTTTTTGGGAATATCTATATTGTCACGATAAAAACAAGTATCCAACAATTTATCAATATCGCCTCTTTGTTTATAGACCACTTTATTCCTTTTTGTAGCTCTCCTCGAGCATTCACAGGGGTTAAAAAAATTTGTTATTGCTCACTAGCCCAGGACTTATTGGTAGCAGGATTTTACTAGCCCTGTTGAAAGTGCTGCTAGCCCATCAAAACTGACCTGCTAGCCCGAGTATATCTTTTAAATTTAGAGTGGGTGTCCCTTGTTTTGAATGCGGCATTATACACGGTATTTGATAAAATAAATCAAATAAATTTTTGTTTTATTAATTATAACAAGGATCTCTAGACATCTTTTTGGATATCCCTTGTACTATGGGTTGTTAAATATTTTCGGGCACAGAAAACATGTTCATTGATATTGTCATGTTAAACCAGTGGTTCAATTCGTATATTTGTTGTTCCCACATACAAAGCAGACTTTTTATCAGCGTGATCGGGAAAATAACGGCAATATTCACAAAACATCATCTCTTGTTTATCATCAGTAACAGTCGACCTTGCCCATGGGGAATCTTTCTGTCCATGACACTATAAATGTTTTTTTTCCGCTTTTCCTGGTCGTATTTGGCATTTTTTGGGATAAATTTTCAGCCTCATTACCCCCTTCATCTACCGTTTTTCGTTTTGAAACTGACAAAGTTCCTGTGGTGGCCGTACTAAAATGTTTAGAAATAATTTGTGCATGGTTTCAAGCTCAAATTAACAGCCGTCCGACAAGACAGGTCAATATCGATCATTACATCATACACCCAAGTACCATTAATTGAAAATCTCGGCATAAGCAATGTACAATACCCCCTGTACTGAGAAATTGATATTGAAAGTACATGAATTGCGATCAATACATGATACCGGTCCACCCAGAGTTAGTTGTTCTATTTTTAAAACATGTACAAAATCGGTTCAAATTCTTGGAATCCCGGATGACGTACGTAATTGAATCTGATTGGCTAAGATAGAATAGTGATGAGGGGATTTTCCACTTACTATTTTGGAAATGCCAAGAATTGTTTGTTACTAGTCCGTCGGGCATATTCGGTTACAAGTTTTAATTGCCCGAAGTGTAAAAGTCTAGTCCCGGGCGTCATTTGTTTCAAGTACAACAATGTATAGGGAACTATTTTTAATTTAGGGTTAGGTTTACAAGTTTGGCTAGTGTTAGGGTAAGCCCCCTCACTCCCCCCCCTCCTCCCCCCCCCCCCCCCCCCCATTTCTCTATTTGTTTTTGTTATATTAATTGTTGTGTATGCATTTTGTTTACATTTATTAGGACATTTTATGATCGTTGATTTCATAGTTTATAAGGCCAAGGAGACAGATAGTGAAATAATAACTTTTGAGATGGAAGTTAGAGCACTGGTCTAAGCTCCTCCCATTCTTTGCTTTTCCTATGACAAGCGACACACGGCGGGACTGGAGAGTGCAATAACTAAAAAATCATTCAGTTAACGCACTCCTCTATAAATAACCGAAGTTAACTCACTCGAAGATCAAAGGAAAAATTACCATTCATGTTACAATACCTCAACTATTTCATTGAGAATTTTAATTTAACTACAATGTATTTCATGTATTTCAACTACATGTATCTTAAAAAATTACAATCATGTCAGATTACTCTTGAAATGAATGAAATAATTTTGTACTCACAATATCTTGTAGGACTAACATAAAACGGAGGCTTTGGTGCAACACTGAACTCTCTATTTTCAATTCTGAACCGACAATAACATAAATAAAATGTTGAAGGGTTTTCATGTAATATTGATGTAACATTGAATTGTACTCACTATATCTAGGATCATTTAATGCTGATACATTGAAGAATCTGTAGTCTTTGCCTCCAATGTTAGCTGTTTGCACCAAATGCTGGAAGGGATTTTCTGAAGATAAAATCAAAAGATATTGATATATATACATGTATACCATGTATACAGGAAACCAAACTTATTTTTCCAGGTTACTTTCCCGTTTAGCCCTGTCTAACCGACTTCACAGTGATTTGTTCTTTGCGATTTTCTAATATTGTCATGGTGTATTTATACAGGGAAAGATCCAATTGATACATGTATATATTCTGGACACTTTTTATTTGCGATATTTTTCTAATCTGGAAAGTTACGAAAATAAATCTCTCTCAAAAATTAGTTGTTTTACAGTATATGTGATGTGTAAATAATGAGGATGTCTTCTTCTATTCAATTTTAGGTAAACGAAGTGACAGTAAATGGACCATATCACTTGCATATTGCACTTGAACATAAACTTATCAAAGATTTTAATTAGATTTTGCATACAACTGCAGTATGAACTAACAAACAAAATAATGCCTTTATCTCTTTTATTTTCTGAAATGGATTCTATCAAAATAGACGGACATTTGTCACATTTGAATAGAAAGCAGGCAAAGTAAAAAACATTCTTAAAATTGTCCTAAAATCATCAAATACATAGATTTTCCTAAAACATATAAAACTTGATATGTTGTAATTACCATGTAATTTTCTATTTAATTCATATAAATAAAATCATAGGGTCACCAATATATATATTTACCATCTGCTACTGTGTTTGTAGTACAGTAGACTCCACCTAATCGGATATCGGCTAAACGAATATATCGGCTATTGTAATATTATTTCAAAACACCAAACCCTTCCCTATATGTTTAATGTTAATTTTATCGTCTAATCGAATATCGGATATAAGAATATATCGGCAAATCGGATAAGAATGTTCAGGTCATTTTGTTCAAAACCATGCACAATCGGATATTTTCAATGTTTTTCTGACAGGAAATGGACCCGGAAGTTACGAATTTACAATCTTGCAGACAAGAAGATTTTGTTTTTACTAAATATAAATATATATATTTACCATCTGCTACTGTGTTTGTAGTACATGTACTAAAATATTGAAAACAACCGCAATGGCACTATGTTTATTGACATTTTGTTGTATTTTCATCTAGAACATCACTTTCACCTTTGAATACCCCCTCCCTAAATGAAGAATTGATGACTAAATTATTTACATCATTCAGATGCGGATTTAGGGGGAATGCTGGGGCCTCCCCCTTATGGAGCTTCATTTATGGTAAGTCCAGACGTACGGTTTTACCTTTTAATCCAGTAAGCGTCAGCTCTACCAACTGAGCTAATGGAGTACTGAATGGATGGTGGTTATATATGTATTTACTAGGTATGGGGAAGCACCAATACACTTCCCCACCTCAATATATATGCTATAATGATGAAATTTATATCACTTACCCTGGTTATGTATCATTTCTCTGAGTGTGGGTTTTTAAGGGAGAGCATGATTTGACCTCTAAAATTACAAATGCACCTACCAGGATTTTATCCTGCAACCCCTGGCACAGTAAGCCACTGTATACATTTAAGCTAATGGAGATTACTTATATGGGGATGAAGTCCCCAATTACGGTAGAAAAATCAATAAAAAAAAAAGAAAACAATCTACTACTGAACTCAAAATCGTTAACTTTTTTTTCCAGACTTTTTTTAGTTTCCCACATCTGTGCAGAAATCTTTTTCTTTCTTCTGGTCTCATTTGTCACGAGACTTAAGAGTAAAATATATATTTATCAGTCTAGTAAAATATGGGAAGAAGCACAATAATAATTTCATTTATTCATTCTTTGATACGTTACTAGATAATAGCGCTTTTTGTTTACATTGAAAATGACGTCACAACAAAATTCCCCAACAACAGGACCAACGTCGGAAACATTTCTGTATATCTGTTTCTTTTTTAACAGATTCTGAAGTTAATATATGCTTGAATTAAAAAAAAACTAATGTATACGGACTTTGTCCCCTTTCACAGGTAACGCCTGCCTCATATATTATATATTTATCTATTACATGTACATGTAGGTAAAGAGAAGCATCGCTACACAAGAAAAGCAGACACTATAGCAACATGTATTATTTCTACAGTGTTGATGTGACAGTGTCTTCCCTAGAAAATTTTTCATGCATGGTGGGTCCATGGTGGATTTGCAACACGGCGCGCGATGATTCTTTTTCAGAATTAGGAACACTACATAATTTAAATGTTTAAAGCCATATACCAATCTAATTGTTTTATTATAGGTAAGTCATGGAACTTTAAAGTATTTATTACAGATGAGAGGAATTAATGAAAGACCTTATAAACAATAATAAAAATAATCCAGTCTGCACTAGTTATTTACAAATTAATGTCATGTACACATTATTTTGTTGATATCTTTCTCCGTTTCAACTTTCCAAAGTTCACCACACATTTTTCAAAATCAAAATCTTCCTCCTTTGGTCCTTCAATTGATATATGCATTAAGCAATTCAGCACTTTTTGGCATAGTCTGTTTCTCAAAGGTGTTTTAACTCTGTTTAAACATGAAAAACACCTTTCACAATCAGCTGCTGAAACTGGCAAAACAAGACCAATTGCTGCATACTTAGACAGACATGGATACAAAGTTCTAAGACTGGCAACTATGTTCATTGTCTGCCTAAATGTCATGTCTTTACATTCTTTCACTAACAGTGTCCTCAATTTGCTGATAGAATGGTTTCAGCAGTAACAGCAAGTTGTTAAATGAAACTTTGAATGTCTTCATTGCTTCACAGAGATTTTACAGGGAACAATAATAAAAAAGTTTATTTGCGTTAGGGACGACATCAAAAGTTCATTGTAGGATAAAAAAAACTTAATTCACATAGTTTTTTCACTGACCCCCCCCCCCCCTTAACTTACTTTGGGAAAAATTGATTAATTGATTGACCAATATGGATATATGTAAAGTCGATTTTGGATAAACAAAACTTGCAGCAATTTTAACCCCCACCCCCAAACTATTTGATTGAAGTATTTTTATCCTACATTGATCTTTTGATGTCGTCCCTTAATTACAGAAGTCGTCAATGAAGAATACCTAACATACAGATGACATATTTGGCAATTACCTGTTTGGAAGCTAACTGACATTTTATTTCATGACAATTTTTAAATACATTCCTGTCCGATTTATTTATAACGCTTCATAATTGTAAAAATCCTATCTTGCCGAAGTGAAAGAAAAATTATTTAGCCCCACTTGTGTAAAAAACGGCAAATGAATCCGCTATGTGACCCATTGAATTAAAGATAGAACAACACTAGTTAATTATATTAAAAACAATATTTCCGTAAATAACTTCGTATGTTTTGAAAGTTTTTCCATCATTTCATAAGACACGTCTTTTTCTCGGCACGGTTGCGGTGATGTGTATTCTTTGATATAATCAATCAACCGCGACTAATCTAAAAATAACTGATTGTTGTGACCAATCAAAAAATAGTTCATCGATGTAAATATACATTGATATAGCTGATGAAAAAACTGCGAAACTTTATTTAAAAAAAAGGTTTTGTTCATTCTCGGTGAAATTACGTTAGTTTTATTTTATGATATCAGAGACTATACTAAATTTTAAATTTCTACTTTTTAAAGATCACAGTAAAATAACGATGTCAAACTCCCGTTTTTTGGTGAAATTTATACTGGGAAAATGTTAAAACTTTTTATTTGGCACAGAAAGATATGCATTGGAGATTAATCTTACTATTTATTTATCAGCTAACTGGCAACTTCTATTATGTAACCGAAGTCTCGATGTGTAAATGTATACAACCATGCAACTAATCAAGAAGGTTATAAAATCCCGGCACGCGCGACGTGATGCATCCAATTATGAGTCGGATGAGTTTAAAACACCTGTGGAGTGTTGTCACTTGTCACTTCACTTTCAAAATATCGATAATAAATATTTTACACAGTTATTATTTTCACACATAGCGGGATGCATTGCGGCAATGATGAAAGCATGGCGGTCGAAATTTATGCGTAGCGGTACCGCAATGCTTGAATAGCCTACGGAAAACACTGTGTGACATCTATAGGTCATGAATTGGATTGAGAGACTTGAATCAAATAATATCAAAACAATTAACTGATTATGTTTTATGCTATTATAGAAGCATCGCTACACAAGAAAAGCAGACACTGTAGCACTGTATTATTTCTACAGTGTTGATGTGACATTTATAGGTAATGAATTGGATTGAGAGACTCGATTCAAATTATATCAAAACAATTAACTGATTATGTTTTATGCTATTATAGAAGCATCGCTACACAAGAAAAGCAGACACTGTAGCAACATGTATTATTTCTACAGTGTTGATGTGACATCTATAGGTAATGAATTGGATTGAGAGACTCGAATCAAATAATATCAAAACAATTAACTGATTATATTTTATGCTATTATTTAAGTCGACATCTCCAATCTTATAAATTTTAAAGACGACCTATTTTATGACCTTGCGATTGTTATAACAGGATCTATGGAAATAGGTGTTGACAGGTGATATGAATATATATAAAAATACGTGTAAGTCTTAATGTGGATAAGATGAACTACGGTCGAATAATAGGGAATATTTTAGTTTTCTCTTAATACAGAATGGCAGAAAATTAGCAAATTTTTAAACCTGTTGTAGTCGCCATTTTCACTTTTGCTTTCGTCACGTGTGACAATGTCAGATGGATAAACGTAAGATTTCTTTTCAACAAATTCTATTTTGGGAATGGACGATTTTATTGTCCGAGAGGGAAAAGAACGAAGATTAATCAAATAATGATTAGAGCGTAATTTAGTTTTATAAATCAAATAATTAATTGGTTGATTGATTGATTGATTGATTGATTGATTGATTGACAGTGGATATTAATACCAGTTGACTCACTAAAAATAGGCATCGATAGATTCGATTGACATCAACTGTTAGGGAGCTACCATTTGATTTTTATGGGGGGGGGGGGGGGGGGGGGGGGGCTAGGATGAAAAATGTTATCCTGCATATTTTTTTAGTTGGAATCTCGATCTGTCCTGCGATTTTATTTTTCACTCCATTCGGTCTTGCCTTTTTTTATTAGTTTATCCTGACTTTTTTACATAAATTGTCATCCTGCCTTTTTTTTGCCAAGTTGCTCATCCTGCCTTTTTTTTTACTCAAAACTCCTGTTCTGCCTTTTTTTCAAATTTCATCCTAGCCCCCCTTCCTCCCCATAAAAATCAAATTGTAGCTCCCTTAGCTCAACGAACCCAATAAAAAATTGCAATAGCCTCTTAGTTTTCGACTGATCACGAATTCACATGGTGCTGGTAACCAAGTTGATGTCGCTATCCTGGAATTTTCGAAAGCATTTGAGGTGACACACAATAAATTATTACACAAACTAGATGAATATGGTATGAGAGGACCATGCACTAAATAAATGGCTGGAAATGGATCTTACCCTAGTTGCCATTGATGGAGAGGAATCCGGCAGTCGACTTAGGAGTTTCACATGGAACAGTACTCGGACCCCCTCTCTTCCTCTGTCATATCAACGACCTGCCAGATGCAGTCAAATCAACCGTTAGACTTTTTGCTGATGATTGTCTGCTATACAGAAACATAAAAACACAACGAGATCACACACCACTGCAACAAGATCTGGTTAACCTAGAAAATGGGACAAAGACTAGGAATGCACTTTAAATTAACACAAAGCATTGCAACATTCTGGGCATTAAGAACGAAAACCAGAAATTCTACAACCTAGATGGACATATACTCCAACAGGTTCAACACAATCCATACCTAGGGCTACAAGTATCTGAAGACTTAAAATGGACAACACACATCTCAAATGTAGCCAAGAATGCAAATTTGACACTCGGCTTTCTCAGACGCAACCTACAATTCTGCCCAAAAGACTACAAGAAAACCACCTACATCTCATTAGTAAGATCAGAGACATATTTGTATTATATGTCTCTGGTAAGATCCACAATGGAATATGGGACAAAAGTATGAGACTCATATACCACAAATAACATCAACCAACTACATTGTAGAAAGGGTAGAGCTGCACAATTTATCACAGGAGGTTACAAATCTAGAGAAGAAGGATCGGTCACCAAAAATGCTTACCGTCCTTTAACTAGAATTAAGGACAAGCCAAAAGCTGGTATTTCTGTCCAAATACAGACAATATTTCAAAGATGAATAGTATGAAATTTTATTGTTAAAGGGAGGTTATCCAATGTTATATATTGTATATATTGAGACAATATTTCATTGATGGATTGTCATGAAATTTTGTCTTCTGAAAGGGAGGTTATAAACATTTAATATATTACTGATATCATTGAATTGTTTTATTTGTTTGATTATAACAAACAAACCTGCATAATTAATTAGTGCAGCAATTTATGGTTATACACATACTTTTCCTGAAAAATATTTTAAAAATTCCAGAAACGCCCACAATTTCATGGCAGATGATTTCTCAGGGGAGACATGATTGGATTAAGAAATATTTTCATGGACAGAATTTCACAGTGAAATGTTGTCACCTGCAGTATTTTATAGAGAACTATTGCCCAGAAGGAGGTGACAAGATGGACAGGGACACTATTTCATAATGAAATCTTGTACTGGACAGTATTTCATTATACAAATAACTCCGGGCATAGCTGTCGGACAAAAGGTCATGTAAAATATTGTCTGCAGACACTATTTCATAATGAAATACTGTCCCGGACAATCTTTCATTATGAAATAGTGTCCCACCTCCTTACAATGAACTAATTTACATCAATAATTTTAAAGAAAGTGGTCAAGTTCTACGTTTTGGCCTTTAATAGAACTGTTTCATAGACTGTCAAAATAATGAATACATCTTCTCTTGAACTGAATTTTAATGTGCGTATTGTTATGCGTTTACTTTTCTACATTGGCTAGAGGTATAGGGGGAGGGTTGAGATCTCATAAACATGTTTAACCCCGCCGCATTTTTGCGCCTGTCCCAAGTCAGGAGCCTCTAGCCTTTGTTAGTCTTGTATTATTTTTAATTTTAGTTTCTTGTGTACAATTTGGAGTTTAGTATGGCGTTCATTATCACTGAACTAGTATATATATTTGTTTAGGGGCCAGCTGAAGGACGCCTCCGGGTGCGGGAATTTCTCGCTGCATTGAAGACCTGTTGGTGGCCTTCTGCTGTTGTCTGTTCTGTGGTCGGGTTGTTGTCTCTTTGACACATTCCCCATTTCCATTCTCAATTTTATCTTACTTCACTGTTGAAAGTTCAGGCTAATTAGATATGTGTGACCAAGGCCGTGACGTATTAGATGTTAAAAAAGAGGGACGAAAGATACCAGAGGGACAGTCAAACTCATAGATTGAAAAGAAACTGACAACGCCATGGCCAAAAATAAGAAGACAAACAGACAAATAATAGTACAGATGACACAACATAGAAAACTAAAGACTAAGCAACACGAACCCCACCAAAAACTTGGGGTGATATCAGGTGCTCCGGAAGGGTAAGCAGATCCTGCTCCACATGTGGCACCCGTCGTGTTTCTTATGTTATTACAAATAATTATAAGTTAAGTTATACGTCTTGGTGTGATCTGATATACATTTTGTCCGCGAGCCATTGCCTTCTTGGAGAAATTCAGTTTCGTGACGGTTCAGTTTACGTTTGAGCCTTTTATAGTAAGTCTATCAAACTTCATATATTTCTATGCGCTTCGATTCGTTTTGTTCGTTAAGTTTCGTTTCGTTTATTGCGTTTCGATTTCGTTTCTCGTTTTAGCACAACCCAGTTTACAGCTCCATGATAAGATCTCTCCTTTATTCAGGATTAAACTTCCGTTGTGGAAAGTTGTCTGCTAACCCAGCTAACCTAATCTCAGGGTCAGATTGTTTATATATAATAATATGTTACAGGCCACATGTTTATAAAGCACACAGAAAAGAGCGAAAGAATAGTACCTCTGTTATAAAGTAACACATATAATAGTTCTATAAAACTATTAAAAGTTAGTCAATCTAAGGCTGTCATCCGAAATCAACAAAGGAGCTTCGTACACAATTTAACTGTCACAAGTACAACAAGAGTGATACAGGGAAGAGTTACATAAGAGACTTATAAATCCCTTTCTGATTTGGTTTCCAATGTGTTTTCCTGTTTTGTGTAACTCAGAAAAACTCATACCCTTAATACCGATGCAGGACGTTTCGGCCACACTGCCGTTTCGGCCAAAGTCATTTCGGCCCTACAAGGCTACATCGTTTTTATTGTAAAAAGAGAGGCAAATATAATGGTTTTTAAAATCAGAAATATTAAAAATTACATTTTAATCATTAATTTATATTCATTGGTAAAATTTGTTTTAATTTAAGGTTCATCATACATGTCATAACAAATGGACAAAAATGGCCGTATTTACACCTCAAAAACTACTCTGTGTACAGACTTACCTGTCCAGTTTGGAAAGTTTTAAGGCCTGGCATCCACTAGATATATAAAAGTTAAATGCATTTTTTTGTTTCAGAAAGATATAATCATTTTTGGATTTTGATGGGCATTTTTTTTCCTTTCTGCAGAAGGTGTAAAAATAAACAAACACCTGAATTGCTTTGATACTGTCCACTCAGTTAAACCCTTTAACTCACCTATAATTGTGTAGATACCTATTGTCTGTGTCAATCAAGGACAATCAATACAATACTATATAGTTTTTACCTGAGAGGGAGCATCTCAAAGTTTTATCCCAACTTAGTTTATTTTTACACCTTCTGCAGAAAGGAAAAAAATGGCCATCAAAACCAAAAAAGATTTTATCTTTCTGAAACACAAAATGCATTTAACTTTTATATATCTAGTGGATGCCAGGCATTAAAACTTTTCCAACTGGACAGGTAAGTCTGTACTCAGAGTAGTTTTTGAGGTGGAAATACAGCCATTTTTGTCCATTTTTTATGATGAACCTTAAGAATGTTATAAAAATATTGTTTAAAAAATGTTGACTTTAAAATAAGAATGATATTTTTATAACAAGATATGATTGTTTAAAATGTTAATGAAAAGTGATATGTTATCAAAAAGTGAAGAAGATTATTGTTCTTATCATAATTAACACATGATTAAAAACCTTTATCCCTCTGCAGCGGGTTGTACGAACGTGGCATTAGCCTAATGAGTCATTAAGTCTTCATTAAGCCTTTATGATGCATTAGGCTAATGAAGACTTAATGGCTCATTAGACTAATGACACTTTCGTACAACCGGCTGCTGATCATTTGTTAATTGTTAATTATCATTTCTTTGATATATCTAAAGTATTCATTATGCTTTTGTCAAGTAATTGTACATGATTACCATTGAATATATTACTATCTATAAAAAATTGTTAATCAACACACGATAATTATATCAAATGGTGCATGTCGTTTAAAGTCCTATTAACTCGGAGGTGTTAATATGATAATTAATTGGATTATCTGAATTGGGATGCATATTTAATAAATAGAAGACTCTGATTCTATTTTGAAATATATATTTTTCATTATAACATTTTTGTATTGTGGTCATGTTTCTCATACTTGTGTTTGTAATGGAACAAATGTCTCAGTCTGTTATATAAAATGAATTAATCAAACCAAAGTCGAAGGGAGACATTATGAATGTCTTAATCATGTGTGACATAAGAAAGTCGTGTTTCACAGCAGTTGCACACTTTATGGTCAAATTACTGTACTTTTTGTTATGAAAAATTCCTTTTCAAAACAAACTTCTGTCAACATGGTCAAACCAATTAATGCATAGGAACAATATGGAAAAGTATTGCCAAATTGACTGTGGCTGAAACAACCTGTGGACGAACTGGTAGTGTGGTGGAAATGTCTCAAAAGCCTTAATTATATATAACCTTTTTGAATTTTTCTAAGTCTGATTCTAATTAGGGACAAAAGGAATTAAGGGATTTTCACAAGAAATAAAGTAACCGCACCTAACTATCTAGATGTCAGGGCTTGACAATAACGCTTGTCGGATTGTCCGGTACAAGAAGAAAAAAAGGTCGGACAAGTAAAAGCCATATCAAGCTTGTCCGACGGGAAAAGTAAAATCATTCTGTAGAAAATAAATTAAATCCAACTTTGATGATCAAAGTAATATACAAAAAACAAGAAAAGAAGATAAAAACAAATATTAATTGGACATGTTTACTTATGATCGATAATTTAAAACTGGTTCTTTGTCAGATACTTTATAACAGATAAAAGGCATACTAATCTCGAAACCAGTCATCAATCGGAATCAGCTCAGCGCTCCATGTTTAATAATCAGTTCTGAAATTATTGACCATAGAATTCAGAAAATCATATTTGATCATATTTAGAAAAACAATATTTGATTGTGTTTATATTGTATGTTTCTCTGTAAACTAGTATTTAGTTTTAAGAGAATAAAGTATCTATCTATCTATCTATCTATCTATCTATCTATCTACGTACAATTATACCCCAAAATCTTCTAAGGGTCGAGCTGCAGTAAAGGTAAAATTAAATACATCTTAGGGGTTGAAAAATGCCTCGGTCAGATCTTTGGGGTGCCTTTTTTTGACCTACAGATAATTTTATTTAATAATTTGGGATTGCATTTATGACAGAATTAAAGTAAGTCCACAATACAGTGTATTAGTATTTATAACAGTGACAGAATTCTTTTTCATGAATCAACGTGATTTTTTAAGGATTTGTATCAACATACATAGATACATGTACCGTATTTGAATGTTTGTGTCAAGTTTTTCAAATAAAAAAAAACAGTGATTGCAGAATTAAATGGGTCATCCTTTCCATAAATATATGATAGCCAACTGCTACCAGACATAGAGTTAATTACTGTGAAAGGTACATTTATTTCTGTTTGGAAGACGAAAAATAAATGGATCCCAGACAAATTTAATGCCTGTCAATGAAAGTCTAATCAGTATAAAAAAGTTTCTATGTTATAGCAGACAACTATCTAGAGTAATCATTTTACACTCCTGCGGCTTTGACACTGCCTTCCCTTCATGAGCACCTTAAATCATCCTTTGTTTTGGGCAGCCCGTTTTGAGTCTTTAGTTTTCTATGTTCTAAGTAACTTTTGTGTTTTGTGAACTTGTTGGTCCTTCCCTTGTCTTTTGTATTTTTTTGCAATGGAGTGGTCAGTTATCTCGACTTGTTTTGAATGTCCCATTGGTATGTTTCACCCCATTTTGAACTGTTATATATAGCTATAGGTTTACACAGGAACATATATATTAAATATACTGTTCCCAGGTTTGCAAGACTTTCTTCTTTGGGTGAAACTAATTTGAAACTTTGATAGAGTTTGCAAAATGAATACTAGTTTTGCTTTAATTAGAATCTTACTGTATGACTTCTTGGAATAAGAATGTGATTGAAACAACACAAACATTTTCTTTTGCATCACAATACCAATTAAATGACTTTTTATGGGTATTCGAAGTAACATTTACAAGGTTTATAATTTTAAGATTTCTGAAATATTGCTGTACTAAAGCACTTGCTGAACTTATTTTATTTCAGATATATGCATTATTTAGACCATACAAATCGCAAATTATGTATGAAACGATGTAATAAAGTGACGAGTAGGCACCTAACAAACAAAAGGAAAAAAAACCCAGTAAACTGTAAAAATGAAACAATATGAGTAATTCACCAATATAAATAATATAACTCTTATTTTCCATTGCATTTTTCTCAAATAGAATTTACATTCACATGTTGTTGTTTTATATATAAATATTGTTTTATATTCACAATTACTTCAGTCTGGGAGACACTGATTTGTTTGTTAGTTGTAATAGGCATCGAACTAGCTTTCAAATACTGCAAGTAGTCTTATATTAGTGCTTTATGTCTATTGTTTTTTATGTAAGTTGTTTTTGGAAAGTTTGCTATAGCTTGCTATAGCAAAAACTTTCCTAAGGCATTGGCCTCAAACCGGAAGTGACAGACTATCTTACTTTAAGATGTGTGTTCTACTCCTAGATAATGTAGTTATAACTGGTGTTTGACAACTAATTCTAGGAAGATGCTTTTGAAATTTTGAGTTACTTCTATTATGATTAGCTTACAGTTTGAATTAAAATGTACTGAATGTTCATCGATAATTTTTGAAGTTTTATTGGTTTTCTTATGGTTGCCTTTTACAATCTAGGCAATTGGTATATATATATACTTGTATAAAAATTCCAAAATCTCACTGTACATGTACTTTTGAACTAGTTTAGCAAGTTATCCAGCTGAGGGATGTATAAATTGCTCTTAATAATCTATGCTGTACCACAGAAGTATGGTTTTACCAAAAATGTCCCTTTTCCAATTTGAAGAAAAAAGGGGGGACAATATTCTCAATTATGTCTTAGGTTTGGACTAATATATTTTTATTAAATGAACAACCTTTGGTAAAAATATGACTATTGGTAAGCACATTACTTTCCTAATAGAAATTAATAAATAGAACAATGATATTGAGAATAAAAAAAGAATATTGGCCATTGGTAATATCCATATGCAGTTTTCTTTGAATAACCCATATGTTACTACCAGTCCAATTTGAGCTTAAAATTAGTCGAATAGTATTTGGACTAAAGCTTTATATGTTTTTTATTGCTTGAAAAAGATCATAGAATGAAATAAAGTAAAGCTGAAGTCAATATAGCAAGTTTTGTTCTGTTATAGGTGTAACACCACTAATTCGGCCCGGCCAGAAAGCACATACCAGAAAATAGTATATATTTAACACAAAATAGTTCCTACGCATGAGTGTAACTTTCAAAATATGTAGAATATCCAGGTATTTTTGGTATCAAATGAAAGCTGAATGACTGGTGATCATTGTAGAACACTTTTTGACTTATAATTTTGAATATTAAAAAAACTGCACCAAAATTTAAAAAGAGGGTACATTTTGCCTGTTTGTCAGATCTGAAGTACCTGTTTTGGTACATCCAAAGTTCAGGGAACCAGTTCTTTCTTATATGCCATTAAAGTTTTTTATTTAAAGCATTATGTTGATTTTTTCAGTACAAGACAACATAAAGTGTTGCTTTGACATGCAATGATTGCCACTTTATTTGAACTTAAAACAAAAGAGCTGTGCCTGCTTGAAATTGAAAATTTAACATAGAAAGCAATGGGGCCATGAATTAGTGGTGTACTTCCTACTACAATTTTTACAATGTTTATTAAAGAAGTAAAAGCCCGAGTGTATCGAAAGTATCCCGGTATCTCATCTCGGCCCAATAATAAACTCGGCCTATTACATAATCGGCATCAGAAAATCGGACTATAACAAAATTCGTAATTATACTACTTGCTATTAAGTCTCCCAAACAAAGTTTGGAGACTTATTGTTTTGCTCAGTTCTTTTTATTTTTCTTCTTGAGATCTATTTAGGGGTATTTTGAGGGGCCAACAGAAGTGTGGGATTTTTTTTTTTTAATTTTCAAATGACTATAACTTGAAAATAGTAAGTGATAGACACACGTGATTTTCAGTAAGGATCACTGTGGATAATAAAACAAATCAAATGAAATATAGTGGGAGTCCCTCTGGATCAGCCCCACCCCCTCCTGTTTGAGAACTTGTAAACTGTTGAGATCCCCACCCCTAAACCATATATATTCTTGTATGGGACAATAAAACAAGTCAAATGAAATATAGGGGGAGTCCCTGGGTGTCACCCCCACCCCATCCTGTTTTGAGAACTTGAAAACGGTCAAGATCCCCACCCCGAAACCATATATATTCTTGTACGGGACAATAAAACAAATCAAATGAAATAAAAGGCGAGTCCCCTGGGGTCACTCCCACCCCTTTCCTGTTTAAGAACTTGTAAACAGTCGAGATCCCCACCCATAAACCATATATATTCTTGTATGGTACAATAAAACAAATCAAATGAAATATAGAGGAAATCCACAGGGGTCACCCCACCCCCTTCTTTTTGAAAACTTGTAAACGGTCAAGATCCCCACCTCTGAAACCATATATATTCTTGTACAGGACAATAAAACAAATCAAATGAAATAAAAGGCGAGTCCCCTGGGGTCACTCCCACTCCCTTCCTGTTTAAGAATTTGTAAACGGTCGAGATCACCACCCCGAAACCATATATATTCTTGTATGGGACAATAAAACAAATCAAATGAAATAAAAGGCGAATCCCTGTTGTAAATGCAACCGTCTGATGTAAAAATTGTCTGTTTTGTGTGATTTTTCTTCAATCTTCTATCCGAATACTAAATATTTGTAAACAGCATAGTAAAAAATGGCATCTGAAAATTTCCATTCATTTTTTATACACAGGATTTTTTTCTATTCAACGGGAGGATGGGAGGAGACCCCTGAAAACAGGATTATTGTACTGGGATGTTCACATATATATGTTGACTACATTGCTCTAATAGAGTGTTTTATTGTCTGTAATTAATAGTTGTCTTTACTATTCTTAAAAGTATGATTTCATGGACAATGTACATGATGAACATCTCATTTGTCTGTTATCTTCAAAATACTGCTCATTTACACGCCTTATTAGGAAGCTATTTTTGAATGTCTTGCACAGTTACCTTACATCTGTGCTCAGTAGATTTCTTTTTTTAGTTCTTGTTATTAAAGGTTGAATTCTGATTAAAAAAAATTAACAAACCTGGAAAAAGAATTGTAGGCATGTTCTGACCTCTCAAAACATGAGAATTTAAATGATTTAATGGGTTGTAAAAACAAATAACTTGTACATGTATAAGTAAATTTTTTAATAAGATTATCATTAAGGGGAGACTATCAAAGCATGAAAATAAAATTATAATCACAAATTTACCCATACAACATGTACAACATGTCCCATACAAGCATACAAGTAAATATTACTTACATCTTCAAGTAAATAAACATGACTTGTATAAGATTTACCCATGAGTGATAGACGACTTTCCAAATTTGTGCATATTTCAAATGTCACAATGTTTATATTATTATGTCACAATGATTATATTATTATGTCACAATGCTTATATTGTTATGTCACAATGTTTATATTATTATGTCACAATGCTTATATTGTTATGTCACAATGTTTATATTATTATGTCACAATGCTTATATTGTTATGTCACAATGCTTATATTGTTATGTCACAGAAAAAGCTGATTGTTCAATGATACTGAATAACCTTGGTTTAACCAGCCTTACTCATTTATAAAAAAGAAGTTAGAAAATGCTCTATAAGGAGTGGTGCACAGTATATATATCATCCAGGATGATCCTATTTCGACTCTTCAAAATTCAAGAGTCTAACCTAAATTGAGGTAAATTATATGGCCTTCCAAATACTGTTTCGATTCCTTACATACTGAAGAGACATTAATTGTCGAAATCCGGATATGGTGTACAAATTTTTGCACCTCATGTTTGCCATGTTTGCTGTACACCATCTTTTCTGCAAGTTTATTGTTTTCTGTTTGGTATTAAATTAATATTTAAGATTCATTTTGTTACATCTGGTGATCAGTTTATTTGGCAATTGCCATGACAGTCAGCAGGGTTTAAGAACATCTGTTGTTCGACCTGCTAGTCAAATGCGTTTTGTTAAAATATACTTTTTCACTTTTTTGGTCTTTTGGAAAATGTTGTTGGTGCTGTATTTAGACCCCTCTACCAAGAAATTTGTTTTGCTTGTACACATATAAAAATTGCAGTTTTTATCCAACGCAATCATAGGTTTGAACGTTGTTTTCAATTTAGACTTGTATATACAGATGTGAGATATACACGCTTCATACTAAAAATGTACTCACAATCAATGTTTTTACAACCCTATTAAATTATCAAAATAAGCATTTAATTCTTTTATTTACATTTTTATGCTACAACCATGAAAGTAAGAGTAATATCAGGCTTTTTGCAAATTTAGTTTTTCTATGCATTGTTTTAACTTTGTCACGGATAGCACTTGCAGTCATAGTTGTTGTATTATTTACGTTAATATACAAAAATAAAATATGATATTGAAGTGCCTAGGGATTGTTGTCAGCAAATAAAAATTACAGATTCTTATGAAACATCATACATGTCATGTAATTATAGTAAAATGATTTAACTATTTCTATTTGTTGCTTTTTAGGATATGTAATGAAAATTTTGGCAGAAATTTTAATTTAAATTTCTTCTGTTGCAGGTATGAAAAGCTGTTTTAAAAAATGTTCTGCACGCAAGCAAAGTTTAAAAGAATATCACATACTTCAAACAGTTTCATAAAGAAAGATACTAGTTCAGTGGCATAGAAAAGAACTTGAATGAAACTAACAGCTGTAGAACCAACATTCAAGGATTGTCTCTCAGAAGATTTAGTAGAAAAATAAGAACTTTAATTAGGAAGATATCTTAAAGGGCAGTAAAAAGAAATTTTAAACAAATTTCAGGCATAATTGAAAACGCACACATTCAGAATATGTACATGAAGATTTGAAGGCAACATCCAGGAGCAAAAGTGAAAACTATAACTCTGAAATAGTATATTTAGGGAACCAGTATGGAGAGGGCTCTTCACCTACCCATATTGTTATGACTTTTTGATTATCAGAGCATAAACAAATAAACAAAAATATAAGCAGACAAGCTAATTACCTTTCAACCAAAATCAAAAGATAAAGTCAAAATATAAACATTACGTAGAAAATTAAATATGGAGTTAAGCAGAGATCTAGAGAATGAGATTCATGTGATTGAATTCCACATGCTGGACAAAATTAAATTTTATCCATTAACTTTAATGACAAGTTTAAGTGTACGTGGTTTACTGTATCCACTGACACTGGTAAGGACTCGTTTACAGACACAGACTGGTAAAACAGTGTACAAAGGAATGTTTGATGCCATTGTAAAAATCGGCAGACGTGAAGGATTTCGTGCATTCTATCAAGGATTTGGTGTCAGTTGTATACAGATCCCTTCTTCAGTGATTTATATCACTATTTATGAAAGTGTTAGACAGTACTGGACGGCAAGACTAAATAACGGCCACATTTCTTCAATGATAGCTGGTTTCTCGGCTTCATGTGTTAATCAACTTTTTATAGTTCCATTAGACATTGTGTCCCAACATTTAATGTTGATGGAAGGAAAAAAATCTGCTACAAATAAACGCATTGAGGAGAAACTACAGAAGTTACAAAAAATACATATTAGTGATGAAATAAAAAACAGTAAATTTGGTGCAGTGAGGGCAATATGTAGAGAGATAATGCAATCAGAAGGTTTACGTGGATTTTACAAAGGATCTGGTGTATCTTTAGCTGTATACTCTGCTGGAAGTGGATTTTGGTGGCTCTTCTATAATATATATGGAAGTAAGTTCATGTATAGAGAGTTTCCCTTAGAACTAGATGTCGTTAAAATATACCCCTTCAATCAATTTTTAGGTTTGACAGTTCAACTGCTGACATAAGAAAAATAATTATGACCAAGTTTTAGTATTTGGGTCTTACACTTTCTTGAAAGAAAGTTAGTGGAATAAACAGCGTAAGATTACCAGTGAATGAAATAATGTCTGTTTAGAAAATTTATTAGTTCCCTTTATTATTATTTTATATTTATTTTTGTTTTTGCAGCAACATTTTTGATTGGCTGTTTATTAAACAACCTCTTCTGGTTCCTTGTGTTTGTCTAAAGGTTAGCCTTACAATCAACATAGAAATGGCAAACAGAGTTTAAATGATGATTGGTTAAATATTTTGTAGGTTGGATGATTGAATTTTTTCCAGTATCTACATCAAGACTTGCACTTAAAATGGTGGCTGCTCCATTGGCTGGAATCAGTTCTGTTGTGTTGACCAATCCATTTGACGTATTAAGAACAAGAGTTCAGGTATGTCACTATTTCCTGTATTGACCACTCATTTGATGTGTGAAGAACTAGAGTCCAGTTATGTCCTGTATTGACCAATCCATTTGATGTGTTAAGAACAAGAGTCCGGGTATGTCCTGTATTGACCAATCCATTTGATGTGTTAAGAACAAGAGTCCAGGTATGTCCTGTATTGACCAATCCATTTGATGTGTTAAGAACAAGAGTCCAGGTATGTCCTGTATTGACCAATCCATTTGATGTGTTAAGAACAAGAGTCCAGGTATGTCCTGTATTGACCAATCCATTAGATGTGTTAAGAACAAGAGTCCAGGTATGTCCTGTATTGACCAATCCATTTGATGTGTTAAGAACAAGAGTCCAGGTATGTCCTGTATTGACCAATCCATTTGATGTGTTAAGAACAAGAGTCCGGGTATGTCCTGTATTGACCAATCCATTAGATGTGTTAAGAACAAGAGTCCAGGTTTGTCCTGTATTGACCAATCCATTTGATGTGTTAAGAACAAGAGTCCAGGTATGTCCTGTATTGACCAATCCATTAGATGTGTTAAGAACAAGAGTCCAGGTTTGTCCTGTATTGACCAATCCATTTGATGTGTTAAGAACAAGAGTCCGGGTATGTCCTGTATTGACCAATCCATTTGATGTGTTAAGAACAAGAGTCCAGGTATGTCCTGTATTGACCAATCCATAAGATGTGTTAAGAACAAGAGTTCATGGATGTCCTGTATTGACCAATCCATAAGATGTGTTAAGAACAAGAGTCCAGGTATGTCCTACATATTGACCAATCCATTAGATGTGTTAAGAACAAGAGTTCATGGATGTCCTGTATTGACCAATCCATAAGATGTGTTAAGAACAAGAGTCCAGGTATGTCCTACATATTGACCAATCCATTAGATGTGGTAAGAACAAGAGTTCATGGATGTCCTGTATTGACCAATCCATAAGATGTGTTAAGAACAAGAGTTCATGGATGTCCTGTATTGACCAATCCATAAGATGTGTTAAGAACAAGAGTTCATGGATGTCCTGTATTGACCAATCCATAAGATGTGTTAATAAGAACAAGAGTTCATGGATGTCCTGTATTGACCAATCCAAGGACTTCTTACCTTGTTAACATTGCTATTTGTTTACATAAGTCAGTGAAGTCATTTTGATGGGAGATAATTATAACTCCTGTATAAATCGAGAGGCTTAAAAGGTTATTCATGAAAATTTAAAGTTGTAAAAAAATATTACTTGTATTCAAGGAAACTTTTGGAGACATGCAAGTGGAGATAACTCAAATATTCAAAAGAAAATTAAACTTTGGCAAATTTATTTACAAGCATTTAAAAAAAAACATAACTGACATCTTCAAGTACATGTATATAACAATTTCTATTATTTTATACCTGGATTGGCGGTAGGTACGTGTATATTTGAAACTGAATCTTTGTAAATAGTTTGTAATATAAAGAGTTTTCAGATTCTTCATATATGTATATGTATGGTTGACCTGATAATGATGTTATCTCAGGGATCTGTGAAAACCCGCAAACCTGTTGAAAATGTTTTATAATGGGTTTCTAAAATGAAACGGGTTTATTTATGGGGGAACAAATGAAATTTAACTTTTTTGTCAATATGATATTTCAATATGGTTGCAAGTGACATAGATATGACACACAAAATTTAGTTTTTTAATAATTTTATTGAGTGAATATACATGTACTCAGATGAGCCAGATTAGACTTGATATTTGAAACCCCTGCTTCATTTTCGAATTTTTCTAAACAAAGTTTCAAAAAGGAGTTTTCTGTACATTTAAGTCCCATTTTGACTGCCAAGGTTCCATATGAAATAGGAAGATGTGGTGTGATTGCCAATGAGACAACTATCCAACAGAACCCAAATGACATAGATTTAAGCATTTATAGGTAACCATACAGCCTTCAACAATGAGCAAAACCTATACTGTATAGTCAGCTATAAAAGACCTGACATGACAAAATGTGTAACATTTCAAAGGAAAAAATCAACTGCCTGATTTATGACAAAACAATAATGAAAAAATAGATATAACAGACAGCAACTAATGACAACCACTGAATTACAGGATCCAGACTTGGAAAGGGGGTGAGGGGGGGTTAACATGTTTGTTTTGCACTGAACCCTGTAAGTGCACAATGTAAGAACAAAATCTGTAATGGCTAGACTCACCATGCTCTTTTGAAAACCTTAGCCATTAGAAGAATATTAGTAAATACTTTTCACATATTGGTACAAATTGTATGTGTCTACATTATACATCTAGAAAACAGGTGAGCTAGCAGACTCATTTAAACCTTTGTATTTCCAGGTACTAGGTGAAAGTTATAGCGAAACATTAAAGATATTATGGCGAGAAGAAAGATGGAATATACTGACCAAGGGAATTTCCGCAAGAATGACTACCAGCTGTTTATTCTCTTTGATGATTGCTTTTGGCTATGAATCAGTTAAACGTTTTAGTTTAAAGGAAGAATTCAAGGCTGATGTAAGATGGTGATGATAGAGATTTTTAGGTTATTTAGATGTTTTATTCAGGGTGAATGTATGTGATTGTTTGAAGATAATGGTGATGATAGTGATGAGTGGAAGATGTGTAAGATAGGGATGATTTTAGTTTTAGGTCTAAAAGATGAATGATTTATTTAAGGATTACTTTTGTTTGTTTTATTTGAAAGAATTGTAAGTTTTTTCTTCTGTAATTATAGATTTATTAATCATTATACTAAACCAAGTCTTTTCATGCAACTATACATTTGTATGGCCCATATCCTCACTAGTTAAGGTTATATGTGCCCTTGCAGGAAAGAATCTAGCGTGACTGTTGCTTGTTTAGGTAAATGAAAAACAGCAAATTATCTGCTGCTCGACCATATAAACAAATAATTTTACTTAAGGATATTTCAAAAAACATGCAGGGTAGGCAATTCAAAATTGCATAACTATGGTGTCAAATACTTTTCTGTACAGTGACAAAACCATAATTGCCTTTATATCTATCATGTCTATAGGCTGTTGCCTAAAACATGTAAAAGAATAAAAGATTGTGAAATAAAAAAAATATTGCATATTTTCATGAGTTTTAATGCAGTCTATGTTAAAGATCTCAATATTTGCTTTTCAGATTCTGATTTGAGTAGGAAATGAAATAAATATATAAGAATGTTTAAACTATTAATATTTTTAAACTTGCACACAAAATGTATAGGGAAATCATATTTGTATGTACTCATGTTCTAAGATATTTATTTTTTATGTGTCTGATTTTTGTTTGTTGGTTTCATTACACATAGATATAGTACTCCATTTCTTATTTACCTAATTAGTTATAAATGCTAAAATCAGGAGAACTGAACATTGAAAAATAATTGAAATCAACACTTTATAAGGAAATTGCTTGATTGAAAAAAGATTCTGTTTTAAAAAGTCAGTCTAATCAAGATTTTTATTTATTTAAAAGATGAATATTTTTCAAAGGAGATTAAAATACACTAAAAGTCAAGTTGATTTTGTCATATCCACCTATGAGAATGCAGGGCACAGAGTCCCCAATTCTCCTACATTGTCCCCTTTTCCGAATGTATAGATTACATGGAACTTGCATTTCTCTTCTTCATCAAATGAATTGAACCTGCAATATTGTGGAAAAATGAGATAATTTGTTTTATTTAATATTTAAAAAAAGTATTTAACCACATTGGGTGTATGGAAATAATAAAAATATTAACAGAATCTTTAGAGTGCTGACCACATTGTGTTGATGGTAATAAAAAAAACCCACCTCCTTAAACAGATTTATTTTTCTATTCTCAAAGGAAGTTTTTTAATTGATAACAATTAATTATTGTTTGTGATCTATGAAACCTCATTGTAATTAATCAGAGCTTTGCATCAAGTGTTTTATAAACAGGATTTTATGGAATGTAATCAGATAGGGGAGATAAATCTTGGTGTTAAGAAAATGAAAGCCAAATTTATTCAACTATCTTTTACAAAATAAAGACCATTAAAGTGCTTAAATTTGATAAACAATCATTGAAAATTAATTAAAATTAAATTATCATCATAATAAATGGCATAGTATAAAAAGTTTCTGTTTCAGATTTTTAAACTCCTTGTCTAAGTTTGTCCATTTATCAAAAAAACTTATTCTATTTTCTATAGGCTTTACTGAATGTTGGGTGTTGATATTACAAACTTGTAGATTTTGATTCGAATTTGTTTTTTTAGGATGATGCAAATTAAGACTTTTATAAATTGACTCTGTATAGAATTCACCACATGTCACATGAAAATATATATGAATTTTTATTGCATTTAGTATTAACTTGTGAAAGGGGAACCCCATAAGGGAAGGCAGATATAATTGAGAGCATTTTTATATTATCTAGAACAGGATTTGTTTTAAGTTTCAAAGCTTGTGTATACTATGTGTGTGAATAACATATGTATTCATTTAATTTTCACTTAGTTTCATATTTAGGAAGATATTATATATTTATACATTTGTACAATTTATTATGTTACATAATTGTTGAAATAATGTATTGTTATATGTAAATTAAAATCAAAACAAAATGTTTACGTCTTTAATTTTGAAAATGCACTGTTCAGATTTTTTATTGTGTTTTTTAACACTAAAATCTATGACAACAGGGACGATTTCAACTTCCCAATTATCAATTTCCCACTCCTCAGCAGTAACATACCCTCTGCTCCGTTGTATGGTGTTTACATATCTCAATTGATATGTTATGCTCATGCATGTTCACACTATACTGACTTCATATACAGGAGTGTGCTCCTTACGCAGAAACTGCTCCAACAGAGTTATGAGGAGGAAAGATTTAAAAATGACACTCTGTAAATTTTATGGACACCATCACGAATTGGTTGATCTATACAATGTGTATGTGTCTAAACTAACTAATGACATTTTTACCATTTCTTAGATTGTGGTTTAACATCTATGTCGCTGTCTGCTAAGTACCGAACGCTACCTAATCCCAAATATGACTGTTATACCGAGTGTGAATTTGCATTGCTATACGACGTGTCTCGGTATTTTGTACATCCAACATTCATGTATTTATTATTGATGTTTCTGTTATGGTTTCGGTTGGATAATGTGTTATGTCTTATCGTTTGTAGTCCAAATAATTATAAAATAGCCTTTCAATACCATCATTGTCATGAAAATTGTTTGGACTAGTATTGTGAAAATAATTGTATAAAGTTCGAGATTGCATGTTCGTTACTTAAGAACGTCACTGTTTGTGATGTCCTGTGGTGTCTGTCATTGATGGAAGATATTTGCTGTTGTTCTGTGGTTTGCATGTTTTGTCAACTATCATATTATTTGTTGGTGCGTTTCTCTGTGATGAGTGTTTGTGCTGTATTTCTGTCACATAGTATTGTCATTTTAGCGATATATTTTTTAACATTGCTATGTAAGCAGGAGGTTTGGCTAGCCATGAGACCAGGTTCAACCCACCATTTTTTTCTTAAAATGTACTGTACCAAGTCAGGAATATGGCAGTTGTTATCAAATAGTTCGTTTCTATGTATGTTGGCATTTGTTTTTGTTGCACTTCAGTGTTCCTGTTCTCCCTTTGTTTTCCTCTTATTGTTGATGTGTTTCCCTCGGTTTGTAATCTGGATTTGTTTCCTCTCAATTGATTTATGACTTTTGAACACCGGTATACTACTGTTGCCTTTATCTAAGTTTTATGATGTAGTGTTTAGAAAGGCAAATGGCATGTACAACTGGGCTAACCCCACCAAAGTGTGTGGGGGGTATATAGGAATCAGCCTTCTGTTTTGTCAAGACCAACTTTTTATCTTTTGTTGGATTCTCTTCAAACTCTGAAGAATTAAAGACCATGATACACAAACATTACCATGTGAAGGAATTTTTATAATGTTTTTGACCCGTCCTTCTGTCCGTCCGTCTGTCCGTCTGTCTGTCTGTCCGTCAGTCCGTCAGTCCTATTTCTTGTCATCGCAACTCCTCTCTAACCACACAACAGAATTTCATGAAACCTTTTCAGATAATAAGGACATACTACGTAGATGTGCATATCGATAGGAAATTACGATTCTATTTTTTTTCCAGGAGTTACGCCCCTTTGAACTTATTTGCTCAATATACTGCTGCAACCTTTTGTCATCACAACTCCTCTCAAACCACACAACAGAATTTCATGAACCTTTTCAGATAATAAGGACATACTACGTAGATGTGCATATCGACAGGAAATTACGATTCAATTTTTTTTCCAGGAGTTACGCCCCTTTGAACTTATTTGCTCAATATACTGCTGCAACCTTTTGTCATCGCAACTCCTCTCAAACCACACAACAGAATTTCATGAAACCTTTTAAGATAATAAGGACATACTACGTAGATGTGCATATCGACAGGAAATTAAGATTCAATTTTTTTTCCAGGAGTTATGCCCCTTTGAACTTATTTGCTTCAATGTACTTTTGCAACAGTTTGTCATCACAACTCCTCTGAAACCACACAACAGAATTTCATGAAACTTTGTAGATAATAAGGACATACTATGTAGATTTGCATATTGGCAGGAAATTATGTTTCAATTTGTTTTTCTTACACTTATTTTATTTCTCCAATGACAATGTGGGGACGTGAGGTATGTGAGCGCGCTAAGGTTCTTTAATTATTCTGTATGGTTTATTGAGAATTGAGTCCCTTTCACCTTAGAAATTTTTACTCTTTCCAGAACCAGCTGTGTCATTGCAACTCCTCCTATATGGTCTATTGCATCTACATGAAACTTTGTACAGTGTTAGATCCTAATATGTAGATATCACTACAAAAGTCTAAAAGTCTGAAAAGACCAGTTTTTGTCTTAATTTGCATGAACTTTTACTCGACATTCTCCAAAAGTATGACTTGTGTCTTAATTTTTCTTGACAAATTCTCATTTATATTAAATTTGTATGAAATTTACTCAACATATTCTCGACATTCTGAATATGGTCTTAAAATTTCTTGACAAATTCTTGACATTTGAATACTGTCTTGAATTTCTCGATATATTCTCGACATTCTTATTTTTTCTCAGTATGGCTTGACATATTCTGAACATTTTGAATTGTGTCTTAAATTTACTTGACAGTTCTAAATTTTTACAAATCATGACCAATATTCATGATATAACTTTATTTCTCTTTATATGATATACTGTTGTTTCAAGTTACACTTCTTTACAACAAAAATAAAAGTTGGGCATGTAAAATAATTGAAAATTTGGGTATATAAATATTTTTACAAATGCAATTATGGCTATGAAATCTAAAGTATAAAATAATTCAAATGTGGGTGTGTTGATATAAAACAATTTCAATGTGAGTTTTTAAATAATTACAAATTTTGATTCCTAAATCTTATAAATTAAATGATTCAAACCAATCATACTGTAGACACATTTCATTCTACATTCATAATATTCAATGTTGATATGGTAAATAATTATGATACCAAAATGTGGCTTATATAAATAGCAAATTATGATGATATACAAATCATTCATTTAACAGAAGAAAAATTTGTGTAATGTCATCTGTTGGAATATATTAAGTATTACACATGGACAGGATGTTCCCCATAAAATTAAGGTATTCCACACCCCAGAGTACACGCAACTGTCAAATAGAAGTTATTGCTTTACCTGTAATCAGCCATACAACTTATCAGTTGACCGACCATGCCACTATAATTTAAAAATTTTGTTGATAGATGAAAATGAAAATCATCATTTTGATGAAAAAAAATTGAATTGAAATGGATTTTCTTCATCAAAATTATGAAGTTAATTATTTAAACATTAAAACAAATTGAATAATTCCCAAAGATTAAAAGAAAATTATCATCTACTCCAGGAATAATAAAAAAAAATGTATTTATAATGGGTCCCATCAATGATTTCTATAGAAATCATCGGTCTTATGAAATGGTTCTCAAACAGACATGCATAATATAGATCTAAACATTTTTTTTTTCAGGAAGGAGTTATCACAAATATTTATTTTTGATAAAAAAATTATAAAATTCAACACTCAAATTTGAATAAAAAATGTTTTTGTGTTGTTCTAAAAAATGAATAAGGTTTTTGAATCAAGATGGGAACAAATTCTTTGACCTAAACGAAAGACCCCCCCCCCCCTCTTTTCTTAGCCACACACACCCAAAAGATGAATTGTGGGGTCCAAAAGAGATACAAGACACCTATTTTAGTAAAGCAAATTTGACTGGCAGTTTTGCGAACGGCAAAAATCTAAATGCTGTTTGTCAATACCTTCGACTTATATTCCAAGTGAAAACAATTACTCAAATGTTTAATAAAAATAAATCAAAATTAAACTACATGGGGGATTATTCAGGGTATTCCAACTTAGTTGCACCAAAAGGGTATCTTACTATACCAAATTAATCCTTGATTCTTCAAAGTTTAGTTTAGCCATAATAAAAAGGAGTATACAACAGCAATAGAATGTCATAAACAGTGCAGAATAAGTCTGTTCACATTTCAGGTGAATTTTATACTGTTGAGATAGTGTCAAGACATATTTAAGACTGTCAAGAATGTGTCGAGACATATTCAGACATTATTTAGAATGTCAAGAATATGTCAAGACATATTCAGACATTATTAAGAATGTCAAGAATATGTCAAGACAGATCGAGACAAATTTAAGACAGTCAAGAATTGGTCGAGACTAATCCAGACTCTTATCAGATGATACAGGAAGTGTCGAGTAATTTTAAGACAATGTTCATACTGTCAAGACACTTGTCAAGAAAAATCAAGAACCTTATTAGACAAATTCATACTATGTCAAGAATTTAAAAAAATTATTCAGACAAATTAAGAATGTCGAGTAAAAATTCATGAAAATTCAGACAAAAACTGGTCTTTTCAGACTTTTTGACTTTTGTAGTGTATGCATGTGGGTAGGATTTTTTGATCCATTGAGTGCTTGTTAGTTATGCCCTTGCAACTTAGAAATTTTGGCCGAACTGGCTTTGTCTAACAACACCTCCTACATGGTTTTATCCTATAACAGATATTCCATAACGATCAACCAACTCGTGATGGTGTCCGTAAAATTTTCAAAGGAATAATTTCAACTACATCACTTGAAACTCTTCTTTAATAGCTTCCTTGTGAGCAGCAAGCTTCTATCAAGAAAATCATGATAGAAAATGCAAGCGCTGGAATATCGTATCAACTAGGATATATATATTCCATATATACTGGCGCTGCTGGAATGTTGCATCATTGAAACCGAAAGTTCACAATTGGGAAGCTGCAATCGTCTCTTTTGTCGTAAAGTTTTGTTTTCAATCGACCCTTGTAAATTTCTAGTAGTAGGTAAAGATATGAGGCAGACTTAACTGTATCCGTTGTATCTTTATTTCAAGTTCGATGGAATAGACGCGTTCAACATAGTCACCAAACTTTCAATTATTTAGTGAGAGGACATGATCACCTATATAGTGGAAAGTGAAATTAAGGGATAATGCTAGCTTCTTTTCATTCTTCTAAAGAAGCTCCAGTATGAAGTCAGCCTCATATGAATAAAGGAACAAGTTGGAAAGAAGAGGTGCACAGTTGGTTCCAATGGGAATGCCGATTGTTTGCTGAAAAACACGTCCTCCAAACCTTACAAATATGTTGTCAACCAAGAAATCAGGCATTTTGATAATGTCAGTTTCGGGGAATTGTTTGTTTGAATCCGAGTGATATCTTACAAAGTATGATTCATCCCTCCCTAAGACACGATAATTCAAGTTGTATCTACGTTGGCCATTATTCTTTATGAAACAATGCAGGACAAATTCTTTCAATTTGTCTTTTAGTTTGGAATGGGGAAAACTTTTAAAAGGGAAGAAAAGTCAAATGATTTAATACTAATGCAAGATGAAAGAGTTTTAGATTTTATGTCACCGGGAGGTTAGGTATTTTCACAATAGTTCTACAGCCTAGCTTTGATTGCTGATTAGATTGAAGTAAATAATTTAAAAAGAGGTTTCACTTATGTAATTTAATACAGTGACGGAAGATTCATCTTTGGTTGAAATTCCAAAGGAACATAGAACAGACCTTTGCTTATCCAGGATCTCCTCCGTGGTAAGTGTCGTGGGTGTATATGTTGAATTTCCATGTGAATTGTCAATGCTAATTCATTTATCAAGCAGTTTATATAATGTGATTTACACACAAACACGAGGTTGTTTGGGGCTTTATCTGTGAGGACATTAACATATTTGCCATGGTGATAGGACAGGTGCTTTGCAACATTTAGGCTTTTAAAGATTGATGTAGCATGCGTATTCATAGACCCATACAGTTTTTAAAATCTGATTTCTGATTTGTATCAACGACCTTGGCCTTAATTTTTTTCTGAAAGAGTATCTACGTCTTCTTTTTCGCGTTAAGCCCATTGCCTGGCATACTCCTCGACTGTAATATTTACCATTTTAACGTTGAGCATCAATCAAAGCATTAATCAATCTACTGTTTTCTTTATAGTATTTATAAAACATTATAAAATAAATCATTATTTAACTTAATACCTGGTCTAATTTTTCGGAGAGAAATACTAGCAGTAAGAATTCGAAATAAAAATGAACTTAACTTCAAGTTATTTTTTTGTACATTACCGAAGAACAAAGTCACTTGCAAAAAACTGGAAAACATTTATCATATCAGCTGAACGAACATACGGATAATAACTGTTCCTAGACATTTTTAAGATGCAGAAAAATAAAAATAAATGGAGTTAACAGAAAAGTCTAAAGTACATAATATGAAACAAATTCCGGGATATAATTTGCAGTAATTATTGTTTCAAGTTTGTAATCCAGAAGTTTTCATTGGTTGCTGTCTGTCATATTTGTTTTTCGTTTATTGGTTCAATCATATGATTCAGTGGTTGTCGTTGTTGCTGTCTATCTGAAATATATGTATTTTAGTTTTATTTTAGTTTATGTTTTAGCAGAGATCAGGCCTTAGTTTTCTCGATTGTTTCGAATTTTGTCATGCAGGGGCATTTGTTAGTTAACTTATTATTTTGTTTTTGTAATTTGTTGAAGACCATACAGTGACCTTTAGTTGGTTATCTACATACATTGGTCTCATTTTTGGATAGCATACCCAACTATATCAGTCCTATTCAGGACCGATAACTCTGTCGATAAATATTGTCGGGTATACAATGTTGTTGAAATCAGAGCAAATATTGTTTTATATGTCTCTGTTCAAATGTATACAATAACAAATTTTTTTACACAAGTTTAACTTTATATCGATTTATTGAATGCCTGGATTTTGCTTAAAATATTGAATTAAAAAAATAAATAATAAAATCATATTCAATGAAATCTCGTTTAATTTTTTACGAAATAATACAAAATCCATTTAAATTAAAATTTGAATCAAAATATTTCTTTAAAATAATTATAGAAACAGAAATATTAGTTTGATTATCTTTTAAAGCAAAAATTTTTTTTTTAAAAGATTTTTTTTTATAATATTCATATTTTCTTAAAGTTTATTATGATACATACTTCTTCTGGTTTGACACGGGGAAGATAAGATATTTATTTGTACAGTTATGAAAACTTTTGTATATCACAAAATTTAAACTCTGGTAATACATGTATACACAGGATGTTTAATGTCACCTGGTTGCTTTTGGTTTGCACGTCTACCTGACAATATATTGTTATGTAACATTACATCCAAAGTCAGAGTTCACCTGTTCGTCAAGTGATGGGATTTTGAAGGTATGGAATATTTATCTATAATAATTGTTGGGATTTTTTTCTCTCTTGGGAAGTAAATATTTTTTTGTTCTAAAAGGAATGTATAAATATATTTCTAAAGAAAGATAAATTATACAGAAAACAGCAAAAAAAACTTTTAAAAAAAGAAGAGAAAAAATTTTATTATAAATTTTATTGTTAACTATTTTCTGGTAACAGTATATCCTGGATATCTGTCAAAATAAAATGTTCCCGTGTCACACTTAAAATAATATTTTTTTAATCAATAAATTTTGAAATCAATCATATCGAAATATCACCAAAGAAAATAACAGAAACATCAGAGATTTGATGCAACATTTCCATATACATCATCCGCCATTTTGAAAAATCCCGAAATATTCACTTTTTTAAATCGATTTTTGACCGAAATTGCCCAGAAATTAAACTGTTTTAAATAGTATTTTTCGCCAGATATATGTTTGAATATACTTAGTCGATTTGCAAAGTTTAATTTTTATTAACGGAATTTCTTTATTTGTTATACAAGTAGACATGGGTATCGGTACATTTAGCATTGAGTCAACGGAGAAACAACGAGAAAAAGTACATGTTTTTACGATTCTCCAGTGACAGAATTTAATCAAAAATTAAACTGTTAGGACCAACATTGTTTGATAGAAATATGTTTGAATATCAAGGATTGATTTGCAAAAGTTAGAAAACGGGTCAGGTTCATGAGAAAACTAAACTTTATTGAAGCACCTATGCATTTTATATGGGGCAATATAATACAAAATGGCGGCTAGTATACGTCACAACAGTCACGTGATGTCTGACTTAGTTGGATATGTTGTTTCATTGGCAATCAAACCATCTCATTACTTTCACATAAAAACGCCTCTGACCATACATAAACACCAAAATTTGTCAACTTTGTCGAAAGGAGGTGCAAACTCAGTTTGTATAGACTACCGGGTTTTCTACCCATTGATGTCGTAAAATATTTGCCGCGAGCCGCAATGTGAACCTTTTTGGCAAGTGAGCGCAGCGAACGAGAAAAAAAAAGCTTCACATTGTGTCAAGTGGCTGATATTTTACGACATCTATACGTAGAAAACCCGATAATCTGTTTATCTTTTTATTACTGATCTTTTTTTTCCCTTTCTTTAAACATTTTTATGCTTGACAAAAACAAGCTTGCTAACGTATACAAACAAATAATACGTGTGACTAATAAAAATGATTATGTTCTTATTCGTCTACTCAAACAAACATAAAATATTTATAAATAAAAACCAAACACTATTTGGGATATCAGCTCGCCTGGACAGTACAGTTAAGCAACTTTATTCATTTTATTTACAATGCACCAATGTTTGTCTGCACGTCCTTAGCCGCTGCTTCAACATAACATTAACCAATACGCAATCTACAAAAGAAATATATTTTGTTAACAATCTTTTCAAGCATGTATAATCTTAAAAACGTCCACTCCAACCATAAGTATGAATAAATCAATTTACAACATTGATAAAATATAAGTGGTGGGTGGGTGGGGTCAGAAATGACTAGACTGGACTGTCCAAAGGCAAGCGTCGAATGACACATAAATAAACATAGATTTACCGTTACAGTTCTTCCCGCTTATTTTGGCTCGTGAAATACTCAGTAATTCAGAGTAGACCTTATATCTAGTCATGTGACAAATATCAAAACAAATACACGTGTTCATTATAACATTTATAAATACATTAAACAACAACACAAATAAATTGATTTTAATACAATGATTTTAGCCGAGAAAATGTTTTTCGAGGTTTAAAGACCATTGATAATCTGTTTATTGCTATTCTGCCTATGACGTCGTTGATGTTTACATTGAAGGCTCGTTTATTATTATATTGAAATTAAAAAACTTGAGTTGATATCAAGCTATATCAAATTCTCACTCGTTATGGTATCTATAAATCTCGAGTAGCATGATATGACAAATTATCCCAAACAAAACAATCAAAGGAAAAATACACCAAATAGATACTCAATAAATACTCATATAAATCCATTGTGCTCGGTGAGCTTATCAATATCGGGTCTTGAAAAATTAAAAATATGAAAAAAGTTTAAATAAAACTGTAAAACAAAAGAAATTAAATGTTTGACATGATTTAGGAAAATGACTGAATAATCACATATTATATAAATATGTACTCTTAACCAGGATTTAACCACTTAGAGCAGAATGCATTATAAATTAACAATATATAAGGAAGTGATCTAAAATATGTCTTAAACCGATAAATGTATATAATGACTGGACCTTTGCCATAAACGGAAGTATGAATTTTGTTGACAGTTAGGATATTATTAGCTTTCATTAATTCGGTTGGAGTAATTGCATGCAAATACTTATGCGTATACATAATGTAGATAGCAATATTATGTGTGTATAAAGTCAAGAAGATTTCTACTTAAAATGAATTATGTTAGTATTATAATTATAACTGTTTCGATATGTATCGAACTAGCCGGCGGTTTCTTTGCAAGATCATCGCGAGATGGAAACTGGAAGACGAAAAGCCACTTAGATATAACAGCAACGGGAACAGTCAGAGCAATTAGCAAGTATATCAACGCCAATAAAGGAGTCGGATCTATAGAAGATTTCTTTAGTTATGGTAAGATAACATTGATTTCTTGACTTATAGTAACCTTATATGACAATCTAATGTTTAACTAGACGTTAAACTCTCAATACTCAATCAAATCAAAAGAAGTTTATATCAAAACACATGATAAATCATGGAATATTTGAAGATATCAATGATAGTAAAGAACAAATAATGACATTTCATTGTATCATAGATCAAATTTATTTGTTCAGTGTATGTTCACTGGTTTTAATATGTCTTTTGATTGAGTTAAGCCATTTCAATTGATATTTTATAGTGTGTCTTTTTATGTTGTGATGTTACACTATTGTTTCAGATAAGGGTGACGGTGTGGTACCATTACAACGTTTAAACCCGCTGCAATTGTTTGCACCTGTCCTAAGTCAGGAATCTGATGTTCATTAGTTGTCGTTTGTTGATGTGGTTCATAAGTGTTTCTCGTTTCTCGTTTTTATATAGATAAGACCGTTGGTTTTCTCGTTTGAATGGTTTTACCCTAGTAATGTTTTGGCCCTTAATAGCTTGCTGTTCGGTGTGAGTCAAGGCTCCGTGTTGAAGACCGTACTTTGACCTTTGATGGTTTACTTTAATAAATGTTTACTTGGATGGAGAGTTGTCTCATTGGCACTCATACCACATCTTCTTATATCTATTCATTGTTGATAAAACATCATCATATTCGAGGGTGTCGACGGGGAGTCCTTCATTTCTTAATTCATTATTTTTTAGCCCATTTACCTATATTCTTTATATTTTTGGTCCATTGTTCTCTATTCTTTATATTTTAGCCCCTCATTATTTTCTATTCTTTATATTTTAGCACCAATTATTTTCTACTCTTTATATTTTATCATCCAATTATTCTCTGTTTTTATTTTTTGCCCATTTTTCTATTCTGTAAGCCCCATCAAAAGAACCTTATTTGTGTTCATTAATGCACTGATGTAGCATTATCGACACCTATTAAAATACCACTCATAAGGAATTAAGGTATCAAATTTTGCTCCGTATTTTAAGACTCATTGTGACTTTGAAATGAAGTAATAAAAGGGATAATCCTTTGCTTTGGGTTTTGAAATATGATTGATTGATTGATTGTTGGTCGCTTAATTTCCAGTGGCAATTATTTCATGCATGTTCAAGTAGAGAACACATTTATAATAAATACAATGGGTAGGTTCTGTAATAGAGGCCGTCCGGGATAAAGGTCGGGGGATTGAAATATGAGTGCACAGATTTCGTGTCGAGCATAAATACAATATGTTCTTTCTTTTCTATTTTAATTGAAGAGAGAAAGTATTTTTAAGATATTACGATTAGCTTAATGTTGCATGCACCAAATTAAATATATTATGCTGAAATATTTTGACAACTGACCTGGGATGCATGTTTCACAGTCTTAAATCTTGAAACACCAGAACGGTTCTCTGATTTGTAAATATACTGATTGTGGTATATTCCCAAATCCCCGTTGTGACAGTTTTACTCAGCCTGGATTCGTATGGTGGGTATATTCATAGAGAAGACGCATACCCTTTCGACGAACCCGTTCACGATTCATTCATGCTATTCCGTCGGTTTTTTTTCTGTTGGTTTGAATGTTGTGTCTATATACCATGATGTCAAATCTAGATCGCACTGCATCTAGATCGCTCCGAGTCTAAAACATCTAAATGAATTAAACAAAGACTACTATAGATCGTGTTAACTTATGTTACTAAATTTTAAAATTACAAACAAAATATTTTTAAAATCTGTTTATTTTGCTATTATAACATATTGTATGTATCAACAATTCCAAAATCTTGCAAACAAAACCTAATACACTTATATTTAGATCCGAATGGCCAACAGAGAATGATGCAGAAAGTCCACGCCTTGAGAACGGCAGTTGCTGATACACAGAGGAACAAGAAGGATACAGCATATATTCACTGTCAAGCCGATCAAATTTTTCTCGGTAAATTATAAGTTAATATTGTTCTGTTAAATAACAAACAGTCCGCAGTTAGTCTCTCTGATAGTATGTGTCCTTTATTTTTCATAGTATTGGTATTGTACACCAATTAAAAGTCACACACCCTCACCAAGGGGATTTTCTTTGTAATTAAAAAGCAAAATACTATATCTTGAAAATATTAATAGAGCTGATTGTGTGTTAAATCATGTTAATTTAAATAATTTTTGAAAATCATTTACTCAAACCTGCAAAACATGAAAAGCCTCAAAGTTTTTGAATTCTTCAAATAGAAAGGAATATACACGCTATCTTCTGTTTTCTAATAGCACATACACCCAACAGACATTGTGAAAATTTTAGATATGTGACTAATAATTTAATACACCACAATATATATTTGTTTATAAGTTAACCATAACACATTAACCTTCAGTCTTACATTATACGACTTTAGAGTCGATAGGTTCACAAGTGCCTATACTTCCCCCAAAAATATAATTAAAAATAAATTAGCTAATATTTTTCACAATTCCTACATACTTGGTACTTATTTATCATGATAGTTGTTGTATGTCATTCACACACAATTTGTTTTGATTTCAGCGCATAACTTCGTGAAATCTTGTAAACAGAAATTGATTGCGCGAAAAGATGACCTTGACGAATTCATAATACATCTTGGTGAATGCCTCTATACAATACAGTCCTTCTATAGTAATACGAACTGGGTAGAAATGTATGGTGGGGTTGCGTATGAAGATTTTGGTAAATATGAGCAAAATAAGATGTTGGTAACAAGTCAATGAGGCAGAAATCCAGAAAAAAAAAACAACACTCGAGCATTTTTGGGTTCATGAACATTTAATGAAGAATTTGTAATTAATTTAATTTGACAGAATATGATAGAAACGAATCGAATCACAGAACTAACTTTAATTCATGATCATCATGATATTATAATTTTAAAACTAACTATAAAAGACCAGTGGTGGTTTCGGGGAAAAGGCCGAGGGGGTACAAATAATACCCCGAATTACAAGACAAATTATCCCAGCCACTTACAACATATTTTTTTATAATAGGGATAAATGATTTAATGGACGTAGCGGCCTTGGAAGAAGACACCTGTTTGGATAATGCGGATTACAAGTAATATGTATTTAACGTTTTATCAGAATTAAATATGTTATCGATTACCTTAAGAAATGAATTTCATTTAAATGAAATTTGAACACATCTATTTTATTCAACGACTTGTCTTTATAAGATCTTTTAAAAAATGATTTTGATACTGTTAGTGTTTTGAAGTTCGTACTTGTGTTACAAATATACAATACAAAAATCATTAGAAAATGTGTTATAGGTAAATTGACGAATGACGAAATTCATGATAGTATAAAATGAAAATGATATACTTCATTATTCAATTTTCAACTTGAATACTGAAATAAAAGCTATTTCGTTATTCATGATACATAAAAAAAGAACTTTTTCATTATTCATTATTGAATTCTTGAAAATAATGGACGTACTTCAACGGTTTCAAATAACACATATATTTACTCAATGCGAAAATTACTTTTTTTTTTTTAAATTTATGAATAAAATATTAATCTCCTATTTCGACAAATACTTTGAAATTAATTTAAAAAAAAGAAAGTAATTAAAAAATCTCAAATCAATGATAATAAGAAGTAAACGAAGAAAAATAAAATTGGTGGTTGTTAACCGTGTGGTTATGGACACTTCTAAAACATGTGTCTGACTGAGGTTAATTAAGCATTTGAACCGTTGAACTAACCGTTTATCCAATTTTGTGCTTGCATTGATCAAGAGCCTAAATTTAAGTGTTTTCTGTTTGTTTGTGTCGAGCATTTACATGTCTTAAAGGAGATTTTTAGTATATATAATCAAGACAGCAACCCAATAAATATGTATGGCAACGAGTACTTATTAAGGATCATGAATTAAATATATGCCTTCAACAACAAATCCGAAAAATCCCGCGACCCCACCCCCTCGAAAAACCACCAAAAAAAAATAATCAAAGGCTCACAAGAGCCTGTGTCGCTCACCTAGGTCTATTTGCATCTTCAATAAGGGACAAGCTCTACCATTGTGGACTAGAATAGAATGAAGGACAAAAATCTCTCTTTTGTTAATTTTGTATTGCTGACCATTTTTTTTCTGTTTCCAGTTTCTCTCTGTCTTCTTAAGTTTTTACCCAAAACACAAAACAGGTTAAAAATTAACATTTTATGGCAATCACTCCTATAAAGTGTCTATTAATAATTTCGGCAAAATATGACTTATTTGTAGATCTTGTATTGCTGATCATTTTTGCTTTTCAGAGTGTTTATCTATCTTTTATAATTTTCAACATAATAGACAAAACAAGAAATAATAATAAAATAACGAACATAGTTTTCAAGAAACATGAGCTAATTGGCAAAAGCGCGAAAATATCATTTAATAAAAAATACTCCAATCAGGCAAGTCTGAAGGCAGCAAATATGATCAGAATATTAAGATATATATATTGCGGCCCACTTTCATCAAAACTGTTAATCGACTTCTTCTAGGATTTATTGCTCTTAAATGACGAATTTTACCATTTTATTCTTTATCTTTTCCAATTATCTAATCGATGTTCTTTTTAAGTAATGTGTTGGTTTGCCGGCTATATTATCTGACACATTTTTAAAACTAGATACCCCAATGATGATTGTGGCCATGTTTGGATACATTTGACGTTGTAGTTTTAGAGGAGAAGGTTTTTGTAAAAGTTAACGGACGACGGACGCCAAGTCTTTAGAAAAGCTCACTTGGCACGTTGGTCCAGTTACTATGTTGGAAAGCCATATGCGTGACTATTTGGCTTTTGAAAAAGCTTTCGTCGACTATTACCCGATACCCTGAAAAACAGTCAGTGAGAGTTGCATAGATCGATATATAAAGTATATCCTATTTTTATCCTTTCCCTTTGAGAAACACTATATGTTCATTCCATATTTCTGCCTACCTTCATTCTTGCTGTTTTAGTTCTCAATGTAAGAACAACATCAAAGTAAACGGTAAACTGACCAGCGGATACCATCAAGGAAGAGGCAGCACCAAACCTGCAAGTAGGTAACCTTTTTGATAACTTTTTGAAAATTAAGAGACAATCACAAAACAACTTACGTCATTATATAACCTATTATTTGAGTTTTGGTGATAAAGTTTTAAATTTGTTATATACATAATAAGTGTTAATTAGGTGGATACTATGATGTTTGACAGGAACAGTATTGCAGTGCATATCTATTTTTATCCTACACTCTTCGAAGGCAAACATAACATCAGATATTTAAATAGATGAACCAAAAAGAAATTTTGAAGCGCCCGGTTGATTACAATAATACTTTAATAAACATATTATTCGAACATGCGTTTTTGTAGAATTCGACTAAAATTAGATAACATTTTCAAATATCAAAAAGTTTGACATTTCTAATTCATATACTAGTATATGCAATTTAGTTGCTTTAATCATAAAACTTGAACAAAAGACATTATCAACTAGTATGTGAACATAGTTTTAAAACTGATCATTTTTGTATTTCCTTTTAGAGGCAATTGGTTCATCAACTGGTAAATGTAGTCATGGAGGTCCTGACGATGACAGCAGAAAGCTTGTGGCCAGATGTGGCATCAATAAGGACTCCATTACTCCTGAATGGTCACCACATTCTCATTTACACAAACAGGCATATACGGCCGCTGTCCAGGCTACAGAGAACTTCCTTGTAGCTAATGGTCAGTAAAAAAGCCTGATTTGATTCACTTTTAAAATGGTATCATGCGATCAGTTTTACTTTACAAATTACTTCATAACAGTGTATACATATTCTCTTTTAAATTGTTTGTAAACTATTAAACTCATGGCACGGTTTGCCTTTTTATAACTTTTTTTATATAAATGAATCGAGATGTAAGGTATGCATAGTCAATCAGACAGCAGCACAAAAACAAATGTTGATGGTCAACACCACAGTACGGTCTTCGACAATAGTCAGGTGTCCATAAAATATGTTTTAATCTATTTTCTACTCCGAGTCTTTCTGTAGCCTTACAATGTTCTGATGTGCCTATTAATAGTAGAACACCCTGTTAAGGGTTGACTTGCGCTTTATCCTAAAGTTTATATCATGTACAAGAGGGGGGATGTATCAAAGGGATATATAAACTCATAAGTCGAAGACCAACTGATGTTGCTGAAATGTTGATACATAGAAATGGAAAGTTCACAATTGATGAGAAGCTAAACTCAACTCTTCTGTAAATTTCTGCTGTTAACCGACCCTCATCATCAATTTCTAGGTGAGTCAAGATAGTAAGGAGACTTAACTGTATCTGTGTTATCCTTTGTTTCATGTTCGGAGGGATAGATGCGTTTAGCATAGTAGTCCAACTTTGAATTGTTTAGTGAGAGGTCATCGTATATTTAGCGTACGTGAAAATAAAGGATAATGCTAGCTGCTTTTCGTTTTTCATAAGAAGCTCCTATATATATATATATATATATCTATTTATATACAACCAAGTCTAAATTGAAAACAACGTTGAAACCTATGATTGCGTTGGATAAAAACCGCAATTTTTATACGTGTGCATGCAAAACAAATTTCTAGGTAGAGTGGTCTAAATACAGCACAAACAACATTTTCCAAAAGACCAAAAAGTGAAAAAGTATATTTTAACAAAACGCATTTGACTAGCAGGTCGAACAACGGATGTTCTTAAACCCTGCTGACTGCCATGGCGATTGCCAAATAAACCGATCACCAGATGTAAAAATGGATCTTAATTTATAAATTAAATACAAATAGAAAACAATAAACTTGCGGAAAAGATGGTATACCGCAAACATGAGGTGCAAAAATTTGTACACCATATCCGGATTTCGACAATTAATGTCTCTTCAGTGATGTTAGGAATCGAAACGGTGTTTGGAAGGTCATATAATTTACCTCAATTTGGGATTGACTCTTGAATTTTGAAGAGTCATAATAGGATGAACGGATCATATAAGCCCGAAAGCAAATATAATACAAGCCCAAACGAAAAAATATAAACAAGTCTAAATTGAAAACAACGTTCAAACCTATGATTGCGTTGGATAAAAACCGCAATTTTTATACGTGTGCTTGTAAAACAAATTTCTTGGTAGAGTGGTCTAAATACAGCACAAACAACATTTTCCAAAAGACCAAAAAGTGAAAAAGTATATTTTAACAAAACGCATTTGACTAGCAGGTCGAACAATGAATGTTCTTAAACCCTGCTGACTGCCATGGCGATTGCCAAATAAACTGATCACCAGATGTAAAAATGGATCTTAATTTATAAATTAAATACAAATAGAAAACAATAAACTTGAAAAAAAGATGGTATACCGCAAACATGAGGTGCAAATATTTGTACACCATATCCGGATTTCGACAATTAATGTCTCTTCAGTGATGTTAGGAATCGAAACGGTATTTGGAAGGCCATATAATTTACCTCAATTTGGGATTGACTCTTGAATTTTGAAGAGTCAAAATATGATGAACGGAACATATAAGCCCGAAGGCAAATATGATACAAGCCCAAACGAATATATATATATATATATATGAAGTCTGCCTCGTATGATTAAAGGAACAGGTCGACAACAGGAGAATCACCGTTGGTACCAGTAAGTCCTTAAAGCGTAAAAAGTCAAAAAACAAAAGTACCGAACTCCAAGGAAAATTAAAACGGAAAATCCATAATCAAATGGCAAAATCAAATGTGTTATCAATCATCTTGACAATGTCAGTTTCAGAGAATTTGTTGTTTCAAGTAGAGTTTTTTGGTTTTATAAATTATGATTATTCCTCCCTTAAACAAGGTATATGTTTCTACGTTGACCATTCTTTTTTTATGAAACAAAGCTAGGCCGAATCTTTTAATATGTTCTAAAATTTTTAATGTGGAATACTTGTGTAAAGGGTAGAACAGTCAAATGTTTTTATACTATTAATAGATAACATATGCTTATATTGTATATGCTCTAACAGATCTTTGGACTATCCACATCTGATTCACACCGTCCCAAGACTAGATAGTCTAACATCACCCTGAAGCCCGGCTTTGATTGCTGATAAAATTGGTGTTAATAGATTGGTAAGAGATTGCATGCAGTAAGTAGCAGATCCAGCAATACAACATTGTTTGTAGGGACACTTGTAACTTTGGTATCCAATTCAGTACAAAAAGATCCAGTTTTTCATCCTTGTTTTAAATTCAAAAGGAACAAAGAACAGACCTATGATTATTCAAGATTTCCTGTTAAAAGTCGTGGGGATATATGTTGAATTTAAAGTAAATTTTTAATACCTAATTCCTTTATTAACCATGTTTTTGTAATGTGATTCACACAGAAAAATAGTTTTGTTTGCTTTATCTACGGGGACAATAGTAGGAAATATGTGTTGGTCTATGATATTCACAACTTTTGGAACACTTGGGTGGATTAGAGATTGGTGTTTCTTGTTTAGTGTTTTTGCACCCATTGAAAAATTCTTTAGATCTCATTTAATTCATATTCTTTCTTTGCGTAAACACAGAATAATTAAGCAGAATATTACCACTGTTTCGGTTCTAAATAACTTTGCATGGAAAGATGTAAATTGGAAATACAAATGTTGCAGTAAATTATAATGCTGTCGATATGTAGATAAATGTATTACATTTTGTTTGGTTTCCTTGCTATATTTATACTAATAATCAAATTGATAAAGACAGGCTGTGATAGAAAAAAAAAGTAAAGGTGAGGGTTTAATGGATTTGTTCTGCAAAAGATATTGTCGCAGTCTTTAAAATATAAGCCTTCGTCCATATCGTTTGCGTTCTACTTTTGTTATCGAATATTTTTTTAATACCACTGCTCGTGGTTCAGCATAGCTAGGAATAACAAATATCCGATAAAAAGTCTTATATTATGAGACTAGGCAATGCTCCAGTCTACCTTTCGTCGATTGTTACTTACTTCTATAGAACTTTCCAATGAAAGAAGAGGTTCCGACTATGGGTTCTTCATAGATTTGCTAGTGAAAAATTATGTCAAATATGCTATTTATGTTTTATCAAGGAACTGGAGTGCTATACATTATTGGGCCAGAATTATTTGAAGATGTATTTCATGTTAAAAGACGGAGGAATATGACTCTAGCAATAGCAATAGACTATACGGCATCTATGACAGACGACATTGCCGCTGTGAAAACAAAGGTGATAGAACTGTTAACAGACACCGTCGGATCTGCCAATGAACCTGCTGATTATGTTCTGTCTTTGTTTCATGATCCAGGTAGGCATTTTATGTATATTTCTTTTTCCTTTTACTGTTTTAGATTGTGCTATCTGAAATAGACCAAATGACCAAATTTAGCTGCAGTTAGCCTCTGAGATCTAGTATTATGTAGATTGTTAGCCTTTTTATCTAGGCCATTACTATTAGAGTCAACAGAAAAAAATATACTATTCACAATAGTAATTGAAAGGAAAGGTTTACAAATCTTGAATTTATGGACTTACTGTCTGTTCTTATCAGTTACAATTTCCCGTTGATAAATTTAAATTTGATTAAGAAACTAAGGTTCCAGCTACCTCATTGCAAAGTTGACCATAGGTGAATTTGACTATTCTCAAATGGCTTTTAACGTTTCGTCGTATTTATACATCATCCATGGGCTTCAAATATATAGTGTGAGCGTTCCTGATATAGTTAAATCAAGGCTCACGGAATTTATACTGTTCTTTTTTAATTTAGCATTCAGGAATTAACATATTTAGTCTTTTATTTAATGTTTTGTCCTTATTGTAGTCCAATTAAGTCTGACGTCCGGTGTGGCTTTTAAATTTGTTTCCGGACACCTTCCTTCGTCAATAGGGCAGCATCAAAGCAAAATAGCTGCCAGGACGTCATTATTATTTGGATTATCCAAATAGACATCTAATCATCTACTGAATCGGATACGATTTAACTTTTTATAAATATCCTTCATCCTATCCCTGCCAATATCTTCTGGGTGTCACTTTATAATATCGAATCTTCCTTTTTCAGAAACATTGAATTCGGCCGATACGTATATTGATGGATATGCAATGATTAACAAAGTTCAAACACTCAAAACAGTTCGCAGTAATGACAGAGACTGTCCTGAATACGCAGGATCAGGGACTTTAGCAGGTACAATAGGGACGTCACATAAAAAACTACTGTTAAAACGATATCAGATAAATTTACAGTAGAAAACATTTTTTTTTATTTACATTTTAGACGGACGAATATAGTGGTGATTGCTTCAAACATGAAAACAAACATGTCCAATGACAAGACGAATGCAATGCTAACATATCTTAATTTGGAGGCAAAATGAACGCGTTATTTATAATCTCTTTAAATTCAATTCACAACTCCCCTAAAATAGGGAAAATTTGGAGATTCAAATGATTGTTGACGACAGCATGTTTCTTCGCATTTTTTAAAATTTTTGTTTAGCTTTCCCGTCGGTACATATACCCGTATAATTTTTATTTCAGACAGATTTGTGAAAATTTAAACAATCCAAATAGAAATCAAAAGCTTAAATAGTATGCAACCTATGTTCTCTGGCAGGACTAGAGTACAACAGTACCTAATCCAGAAGTTTTCATCGTATTGTCTGAAATTGACATGGTATACCTTATAATGTTTTGGAAAATTTTGGTCAATTGGGATTCATTGTCTCTTTTAACAGAATTTTCAAATTCACATCGATTTTAATTATCCCCCTGTACAGAACCCCTTCACCTTTAAAAGTAGAATACGATTTTCTATTTCAGTTCTGTTCATATTTGATATGTTCTGCTAGACCAATATTTGGTTAGATTTATTAAGCTCGTCATCGGTTGTTAATAAAATACAATATTATTTGTCCAGTAATGCACTCTGTTTACTTTCTTCTACAATAAATGCACATTATCGACGGTTTGAGTAAAGGTTGTATCTCAAGACGATAAATTCATTTTGAAAATGTTATCCTGAATAGTTATTGGGTTATTCTAAATTTGTAACATCTGTATTCAACATTCTTATATCATATGTGTGAGAATAACGGTATTTTACCTTTTGCCTAGCAATAGAACTGATGAGAGATAACTCGCCTCTGTATGTATTTACTGATGCAGACGCAAAAGATGCTAATCGCCTTCAAGAAGTTTGTAATGCAGCCAAAGCAAAGAATATACCAGTCTCGTCATTACTAACTAATCAATGTTCTCGAAGAAAACGATCATCGTTAGGTTGGTATATTCAAGTTACAAATAAAACTGGGCAAAGGGTAATCGCTTCATTCCATTCGTCTAAAACTTTGAAGGTAGTTATTAATGTCATGCGCATCTCAGACGTTTTAACTAAAATTATTTAAACAATGCAGAGTTGTTGCAAATAGGATTAAAATGTGGAATCATATTTCTGACAGATTTAATTTATTTATTTTCATGCTATGGACAACTTTCGAGTTCGTTGCATTTCCGTCAAAAACTCTGGTTTTAGTGACTATTATTCGTGCGTTTAGGGGCATCGTCACTTCCTCCCTATGTTGAGCGAGTGGTTGAAAAAATATGATGCTATATTGCACGAATTATTCGGCAAATTAAGTTCTTATAATTGATAATCAACACGGCTGTCATTAGGGAATATGATTAAGAACCTACGGAACAAACATTTTTTCTAGTTTATCCTGCATAATGACAATTACGAAGACGCTTGATGAACTTTAATAGTGCAGGGATACAGGCGATCCCCTTTATCTGGTAAATGACGTCAAAAAGTCGCACATAATTGATGAAATTTTCTGGTGAAGGATATAACTCGAAAGTGGTCTATTCTTATGTGGAATTAATTAGGTTTTGTAACTGAATGCTGTAGGAGGTACTGCGTTTGTGTTATCGGTAATGTCATTGAGTTTCTTTCAAATTATTTAAGTTTGCATTTAGAGCCTAAATATACACATTATAGCTATATAAAGAAACCTTTCTAAACGAGAGATAAACGCATCATATCATACAAATCTTACCATAATATAGGGTTATTGCATGAATTTGGGTGAAAATTGTCCCGATTCAGGAAAAACACCATTCATCGATCTCAAATCCTTGGCAAATATGACAATTAGAAAATCAGTCAATGATTACGTTACGTTATATGTAGATAACATTATGTTGCTTTACAATAATCGGTTATATCGGACTTCATTGTTGAAAAAATAAACCCATTTCTTAGTCCGAGAACTTTTTCTAAACTACCATGGGAAATCATATTTATGCGTTTAAATTGGTTGCACCTGACAATTGACGAAAATTAAACACTAGAGACAAATCCTTCTATTCAGATCTACCAATAATATCTTCATTAAATTTTATTTCCACTTTTTTCTTGGACAAAGCTTTAAAATGAGCCAAAACATGGGATCACCGACCTCGATATCGATTTGAAACGCCATCTTTTTCGAAGAATTTGGAAATCGGGGATTGTAGTTGTTTGCCAGGTAAAATTTTATAAAAAGTCCGAATCACTTGAAAATTGCATCTTTTGTTAAATTTATTGTTTGCAGAAACTATATTATTGATATTTTGATTTAAGAACAAAAGATAGCGATAAGTTTCTTTAACACTTTTCACGCCTTTTTTATGGTGAAATGTCGATGTTAAATTCAGTAATTTAAAAAAAATTGGCCAATGTTTTTTCTATAACAAGTATGCACACGCTGAAATGTCTCGCCTGCTTTACTGACTATTGATTTTATGCTGATAGTCGTAAATATAAAGTTTTACTACAAGTATCACATCAATTTAACATGATCAAAGAAAATAAGGCCAAGGTCGGATAAACCATGCCAGAAATGTACACCTTAAAATCATTCCATATACCAAATATAATTGACCTATTGCTTATAGTATACAAGAAACAGACCAAACCATGAAAACTTTATATTGAGCAAAGAACCATGAACATAAGGTCAAGGTCAGATGAACCCTGCCAGACAGACATGTACACCTTACAATCATTCTATGCTTTAAATATAGTTGACCTATTGCGCATAGTATCTAAGAAACAAACTTAATTAGGAAAACTTCACATTTAGCAATGAACCATGAAAATGAGGTCAAAGGCAGATGAACCCGGCCAGACAGATATGTACACCTCACAATCATAACATGCTTTAAATATAGTTGACCTATTGCATATAGTATCTACGAAACAAACTTAACCATGAAAACTTAACATTGACCAATGAACCATGGAAATGAGGTCAAGGTCAGATGATAGCTGCCAGACAGACATATACACCTTACAATCATTCCATACATCACATACAGTTGACCTATTGCTCATACTTTAAGAAAAACAAAGCAAAACACAAAAACTTAGCATTGAGCAATGGACCGTAAAAATGAGGTCAAGGCCAAATAAAACCCGCAAGACTGACAAGTACATCGTAAAATATTTTCATACATCAATTATAGTTGACCTTTTGTATACAGTATTAGAAAAACAGACCAAAACACAAAAACTTAACTTTAACCAATGAACCATAAAAATGAGGTCAAGGTCAGATGACACCTGGGTTAGGGACTTATACCATGCACGTTATTTGATTTTTCGTTGTTATTGTTTGTTTTTTTTATTTACAATAAACAAATATTAATATACACACGGCAGTTAGTTTTGATCACAGACATGTTTACAATAAAGCAATATATGCGGCGAACTAATACCTCCATGAGTGTTGTTTTGCTAATTATTTTTTTGTGCTTCGTGCCGATCTTAAGAGTCATCCTTTTCAACTGATTTTTCTAGTTTGATCTTTTGATGTGCTTTTACATCACTTTTCAAGTGAATGGGGAGAGTTGAGCGCTTGCAATCATGTCTAACCATTTGTCATATTTTGTTTTCATTCTTTTATTTTTCTCGTTTGACTCAATTGTTTTTACATTTTGTCATGCCGAGTCTTAAATTATAGCTTACTATACGGTATGGGTTTTGCTCATTGTTGAATGTCGTGCGGTGACCTAAAATTATAACACTTTCAGTAAAATATCCTAATAAATCACCGTAGTAATATGTATTTAGTCTACATTCACTACGGAGGTACTAAACTTGTATATGTCAAATTTGAAGTTCAAAGCTACTTAAGTTAAAAGTATGATACTTACATAGTTTGGAAGTAAAAAAAGATCCGTACTATATCATCAAGGTACATTTTAAGTACTGTAAATGACCAGGTTTACTGCTACAACTCGGTTGCATTTACCCCACAACTGTCAAAACCACAAGGAGGCGATACAAAATAGATTGAAGTAAAGGAAGTCGTACAACACATACCGGGTTTGTGGTAACATGGTGCAACAAGACGGGTGCCACATGTGGAGCAGGATCTGCTTACCCTTCCGGAGCACCTGAGATCTCCCCAGTTTTTGTGGGGTTCGTGTTGCTTAGTCTTTAGTTTTCTATGTTGTGTTTTGTGTAGTGTTGTTTGTCTGTTGTTCTTTTGTTTTGTTTTTTTTAGCCATGGCGTTGTCAGTTTATTTTCTACTTATGAGTTTGAATGTTCCTTTGGTATCTTTCGCCTCTCTTATACAACACAGAGAACTAAATAAATAAGAATCTATTATAACAACAAGAAAGAACATAGAAAATATACCCACGCTCAGGAGTCATCTTTTCTGTTAAAAATCGGTCTTCATCGAGAAAAAAAGTAAACTAATTAGTAATTCTAACTGAACAAAAGGCTGCCTTTCTGACAGAAACAGACACAATTTAAAAGATAATGTTTATCTTTTTTATTAAATAAGGTAATCCGAAATCTTTGTAGCTACTCCTCTTCAATCAGTAACGCGAGGTTTTCCGTTTGTATTCTTCTCAGCCAGCACTAGTCTAAGATTATCTATATAGCAAAAGTTAAAGAGGCACATCAGTTCATTGGTTTTCTCGCTTGAATTGTTTTACAGTCTGTCATGTTGGTGCCTTTTATAGCTCACTATATGTTCAGGTTTTGTTTATTGTTGATGACAAAAAGTGACCTATCGTAAGTTACTTTTGTGTTATTTGGTCTCTGGAGGATAGTTTTCTCATTGGCAATCTACCGTTTCTTCTTATTTTTATATACCTTTCATAATAAAAAGGTTGAAAGAAAATGACCACAAAACAACAAATTTAAGCATTTCCGCTGACCTTTTTTTCGGTTTAAAATGAGCTTAGAGCTATAGCCAGTAAAAAGTGTTTTGTTCTTATCACTTGTAACCCTGTAAAAAGTTTTTGAAAACTAGATCCGCAAATGATAAATAACGAAGTAAGATTTAGTTACTTTGAAAAAGAAGCATTCGTCTCCTCTTCTTATGATCTGTCAAGGGACTCCTCGGTAACTTTTTTAATCGATGTTGAAACTTCTTTTTCACGTTTCGCCAATGATGATACACTGATTCCAGGGATATTTAAATCTGCTAAAAATCTGTTTGGTTTGTGTTCTCCCAAACCGGTGACGTACATCTCTGTAAAAAGAACAAGAGTACGCACGCTGGAATGTCTCGCCTACTGTTTATTAAGTTTTAAAGATAAAGGTTTTACTACAAGTATCACATACATTTAACATTTTTAAAGATCAATGACAATGAAGTCAAGGTCAGATAAATCCTGTCAGACAGACATGTACACCTTACAATTATTTCGTACATCAAATATAGTTGACCTACTACTTATAGTACTTGAAAAACAGACCAAAACACAAAAACTTAACATTGACCATTGAACCATAAAAATGAGGTCAAGGTCAGATGAAACCTGCCAGACTGACATGTACCCCTATCAATCATTTCATACACCAAATATAGTTGACACTTTGCTTATATTTTCTAAGAAACAAAGTTCAGCATTAAAATATAACATTGACCAATGAGCCATGTAAAAGGGGTAAAGGTCATATGATACCTGGCGGACAGACATAAATACCTTATAAATATTCCATACACCAAATATAGTTGACCTATTGCTTAAAGTTGAAAAAAAATAGACCAAAACACCAAATTTTAACACTGAGCAATGAACCTTGAAAATCAGGTCAAGGTCAGATAAAACCTGCGAGACAGACATGTACACCCTAAAATATGTCCATACACCAAATATAGTTCACCTATTGCATATAGTATAAGAAAAAAGGACCAAAACTAAAAAAACTTAACTTTGACCACTGAACCATAAAAATGAGATCAAGGTCAGATGAAACCTGCCAGACTGACATGTACCCCTATCAATCATTCCATACACCAAATATCGTAGACCTACTGCTTATAGTATTTGAGAAACGGACATAATAATCTCGTAACTTTAACCTTGATCACTGATCCATGAAATGAGGTCGTGGTCAGGCGAACCCTGTCTGACGGACATGAAAACGTTGCAAAGAATCCATATACTAAATATAGTCATCCTAATACTAATAAGTGAGAAATTCACATGACAAAAAAAAAACAATTTCAAGCAGTCACTTAACCACAAAAATGAGGTCAAGGACAATGGACATATGACAGACGGAAACTTCGTAACATAAGGTATCCAGGCTTCTACCTTCTGAAATATAAAGCTTTATACAAATAGTTTACATCGCCGCCGCCGCCAGATAATAATCCCTGTCTCGCATACTGCGATCTTCGTCGCAAGCGAGACAAAAATGGTTGGTTCAATGTTTTCATCAATAGAACAATCATATATATACTTGCATGCAGTACACGGTTGTTGAATAACAACATAATGTTTTATAGTTAAGGACCAATTTTCATAACTTAACTTAAGTGTTCCGTAGTGTTCCAATTCTTTGGATTATCTGTCTCTTATTTTTGACAGAACTTTTTTTCAATAAAACATGATTTTCCCACACCTAGTAGAAAAAAAAATACCCTCTAACTTCTATTTTTGAAGAATTTTTGATGAAAATGTGCCGTTCGGTCCAAATAAATTGTATGAAGCTTGATGAAGTTTTTCAAGATTGAAAAACTTCATCAAGCTTCATACAATTTACAAAAACCCATCTTAGATGCTTTTAAAAATATTTGCGCATATATAAACAAACAAGAATATGTCCATAGTACACGGATTATCTTTTCTATGTTCAGTGGACAGTCAATTGGGGTCAAAACTCTAATTTGGCATTAAAATTAGAAAGATCATATCATAGGTAACATGTGTACTAAGTTTCAAGTTGATTGGACTTCACATTCATCAAAAACTACCTTGACCAAAACTTTAACCAAAAACTTTAACCTGAAGCAGGACAGACGGACGGACGGACGAACGAACGGACGAACGGAGGCACATACCGAAAAACATAATGCCTCTAGGTGGGGCATGAAAAACGCGGCGTATTCAATTCAATGAAGCTTGAAAGATCGAGGAGGTCCCTCTACATGGGATTTTCGTCGATTTTGAATAGCAGAGTAATCTTTTCAGACCTACATAAATATCAAACTTGAAATGTTTCCAGAAAATTTTTTGAAAAATTGCGTATCTAATACCAGTTTACGGGTAATCTAAATTTTATTGACAAACAAATACCAGGAAGGTCTCGTGGTCATTTAAGCGGTATTGGTATCTTTTGCAGTATATTTCTGATATCAAAATGGCAATTTGCGCCATTCGTTCACATTGACAAAAAGTTCTAATAAATTCCTTTTGATTGTATATCTTTATCGAAAGATCCGGACGGTCTAGCATTTTCGTCAATTTTCAATTATGATATTAAAGTGACACTTTTAGCCATCCGTGTATTTCGAAGATGAAATGTACTAGGAAATCTTTTTATATACTAGAATCTGTGTTTATACCTAGTCTAGATACAGCGGTATACGGTAGTCTTGAATGTCAAGTTAATAGAAAAACTTGTGTATACTGTTTGATTTAATGTTTGATGAATTTATTCTGATATTTTAGGTCGGGATGAAAGATCTGCATCGTCATTGTCATTTTACCAACAAATAGCAAACGCAACAGGTGGAACTGTCTATGAAACAGACAAAGAAAACATTGGCAATGTCCTGGACACTGTAATAGGGGTAAAACCTAATTCTGTTTAGTTATTTCTAACAAAACCAGGTCTTACACTATAAATTTAGTATTAAGAACTCATGAAAAGTATATAAAGAAAAAGATTATCTATATTCATGGTTTGAGGTTATTCTAATGGTATGATGGTTTAATGTAACGAAAAAGGAACAGAAAGAGTTAAATTTAGAATAAAAATGATGTTTACTTTAATTCTAGAATCTGTTATTTATTGGACAAAAACAAAACCTTTTTTAAATATTGTAGGAAACATTTCCGTCTAGTGAAATAATAATAGACTCGCATGACTGGTTGGCAGGCGAAACTGGCGACCAAAATGTAACCGTTGATAGTACTATTACAGTGCTTAAGATAAGTGTTACAGGTTCATCTGCAGAAACAGATGTCGATATATATTATACTAATGGTATGTAATATTTACAGTAAGTTTACGGATAAGTGTATTTACCACTCGAAATTAATTCTACTACATTTCAAGATGCGAGTTTTGAGTGGCAGAATATATATAAGTACATTTAGTGCCAATTAGTAGAAGACGGCAGATGAAAAGAATTAACACGTCACACACACGCTACTAGATGATGTAAAGCGTGTGTTTCAACTTGTCAAAATCATATACTATTTACAATAATGGTTTCATAGTTGCATCTGCTGTTCATGACATTATTTTTCATTCATTCAAATAATACATCAAATATTTTTTCTCTATTTTTAAAGTCAAATATATTTTTATCGTTTATGGTGTTATTTTTTACTGACACGTATATATCAGCTGAAAAATCCGAATAGTACACCTGCAAAATGATCCAAGAAGCATAACTTACAATTATGGCAAAAGGTACAACTGAACAATAATCCCAAAACTACTCTTCCGGAGAAGATGAGTTCATCTGCGGTATTTAGTGGGGTTCATGTTGCTGAATCTATGGTTTTCTGTGTAATGTTTTGTGGACTGTTGCTTGTGTTTTTGTCATTATTAGGTCTGTTTTCTGTCTTTTAATGTCTGCCCCTTGGTATCTTCTCCCTCTTTTAATGATTAAGCAATTCGAAGTAAAACGGCACAAAGATCCAAAAGATACAACTGCAAATTCGGTATGTAAATGACATCAATAATTAGTTGCTTGTTTAACGTCAAATTAATACCAATATAATATATATCCAAGGGTATGTACCTTTACACTATATTCATTAGTACGATTTATAGAGTGGAAAACCTGACCAAGTTGATGATGAATTTGAGAGTACTCTGGATATCACTATAGCGGAAACTTTGTTGAGATGATGGTCTACTCATATTTACATTTTTTCACGTGATTCATGTCAGAAACCTGTATGAGTTTGTGTTTCTAATTTTGAATATATCCAATGATATGTACCTTTACACGATATTCATTGGTACGATTTATAGAGTGAACAAACCTGATCAAGTTGATGTTGAATTTGAGAGTACACTGGATCTCACTATAGCGGAAACTTTGTTGAGATGATGGTCTACTCATATTTACATTTTTTCACGTGATTCATGTCAGAAACCTGTATGAGTTTGTGTTTCTTATTTTGAATTTTATAATAGGGACGTTGGAGACATACACATCTGGAATGTCAACAAGAATATATACCTCATCAGGCAAAACCATTATATCAATCCAGGTATAATATTAAAAATGTAAATATGCAGTACCCTGTAATATAAAAAATGGTGTAAAAGTAAAAGTAAAAAAAAAAAGAAGGTAAATATTACGGCATATAGCAATCTCAAAAACGTTTTTTTAGGGTGTTTACAAAATACATAAGAGGGCATGATGCGTAATCATTAAGAGACAAGCGTATGCACAACAAGCCAAACTCTGATCCTTTCAACAGAGACCAAAGATGCGAGATTTATACCAAAGCTCAGGCAAACATGCCATAAAAAGACAGCTACAAATATTAATTGAATTACTGAACATGAACAACACATGAACAATAATTTGACGTGAAAAAAATCTGTTTTGTTAGAAGTGAACTCTCTGGTATTATCTCGATCTGTGAATGAACATGAAAACAACATTTTTATGGCCAATACCTACCAATGTCTAGTTCAACTAAGTATTAAAAAGTTACAAAGATACAAAAACTTTACATTTGGGAACTGAAATGTCAATATTGAGATGTAGAACCCACTTAATATACTACTATACATATTTTTATTTAGTATCTAGCAGCTGTATTCAATCCGTTTTTGCCGGGATTCATTTGGCTTAATTTTTCAGTTTTCTATGATACTTTTCGAGGACTGTTGGTTTTTTTCCATTTGGTTGTGAAAGAGTCTACACGGTCTTGTGATGACGTGCTCACCTCGAGTGTGGGATGTTTTGGTTAAATCCCAGAGTTGGATTTGTATTTGTCTTTGGCAAGTACTCGGCGTTTAGTAGTGAAAGAAGACTGGTTGTTTTATATTACGCAAGGGACATGAGTCGGTTTTGTGTTAACGTATTTGGTTGGACAAAACTATCTTAAAGAACTTTACTTTGCAATTTGTTCTCCGGCATTACAATTTCATTATAGTGGTACAATGATAATATTCTTTTTAGCATCCTCCAGGTAGTATCATGAAATTAAGAAGGAATGTCATTAGCGATTGGAAAGTGAATATTACAGCACAGAGTGCTATCAATGTTGACGGTGAAATTTTGGAGCAGTCAGATACTGGTGAGATGTTCTCTCTGAAAGGCAACCCAATTTCGGGTAATTATTTATTTCAAATAGTCATAACTACCATATTGATTATCATAATATCATTGATTGGCAAAACGATTGTCACTTTTTCACCATTTCTGTTGTCGGATAATGAAAATCTGAGATTGTTCATATGCGAATGCATACTCGTGGAATATCAAAGAAATTGTTTTTTTGCACCCTCACACATCTTGCCATCAAAACTTTTTTTTTGTTCAATAGAGTCAAACTAAAGCCGATATTAAACAACGTCTGGTATGTGTGAAGTTTTACTCTTCGTCGCAAGCAGTCAAAACTCTTCGCCTTTGATATGTATTAATTAAAAAAAATATGATTGGTAGTCTTTTAAATGTTTTTTGTGCTATATATTAATTAATTCCTAATATTTCCCATCGATTCACAGATAACAACTATACTGTTTCTTTGGTCGTGTATAACTTGGGACCAAATGGCACATGTCACAACATTGCATTGACCGATAGTACCGGAAATGTTATATCGTCACACGAGGCTTCACAGCTGCAACGAGATTTCGATACTTTGTGTGCTGCAACTTTCAGAACGCCATATGCTGTAAGTTTATTTTGTAATAACGAAATATACTTAAGTATAAACATTTCAGTAAAAATAACAACTTGTCTTATTCCATGTATTAAAGTAATTGAATTTTGTAAGGATGAACGGTGTATTGAAACTTGTCATAAGTACAAAATTTCAAACTCAATACACTAGTCCCAAAATGAATTGCTCTGATTCTTTGCCCAGGTTTGGCTTTACTTTTGGTAATGTGTTGTTTAATCAGCCCTTCGTAGTTTGTATAACGTGTATAAGGTTTTTAATTTTAAAATATTTTGACATCGAACATCTCTTAAGAGACATTAATTGTTTAAATGCGCATCTAATATTTCGGACCTAATTTCTATTTCAAAAAACAACGGAAGACATTATCTGTTAACAAAGCTCTGTTCATTACCGGTTAATAAGTTAAATAAAATTTTAGAGGATTGTAACACAATTTCATATAGCAGTCCTAAGTATGAAATCGTTCAAATTATAATGGCATATTGTTATTCTAAACTGTTTCCCAAAATTGATCGCCCTGAAGATCATAAAAAACAGTTTATTAAAATAAAGTATGTCAATAAAGGTTTTGATTTTGTAAATATTGCCGGTATTTTTAACGACCATTCTGTTAAAGAACAAATTCCGGGATATTTTGATAATACTGAGCTCCCTCTTATTTGTTATATTTACAAGAAATCTACCCGGAAATTTGTGTTTAATTATAGCCAATTGTGTAAAGATGTTAATATCAGTGAAAATACACCTACTTCATGTAATTGCAGTAATTCCGAATACAATTATGGACCCATTTCCCATGTTATAACAGGAGATCTTAACATCGTTCAAGACCGAGAGTTAAAATCATTCCTCAGTAAAGGACCTAAATATCGTCCCCCGTCAATTATTAATTGGAATGAGTGTCGTAATATCATCCACGACTCACTCCATACTTACTGTTTGAAATGGATAAAACGGGAAAAAGCTGACAAAAAATCTCTGGACTCTTTTTTTAAATCAGTAATGAACATAGTTGATATACGTATTCAACATTTTAAAGAACATTTTACTCTTAACAATAACCACAATAAACCTATTTCTCGTATCAAACATAAACTAAAAGAACTAGCCAAGGAATTTGTTTTTGTCCCGGCCGATAAAGCTGCTAATAATATTATTAATGTTTGACGTAAATTTTACATTGAGGTTCTGAAAAAAGAAATCACCAATTCACCAACATTCCAACTGACTCCATTTTCAGAAAACGACATCTGTAACAAACATAAACTTTTAGCTACCGCTTTACAAGCAGAACCAAATACAATGAAAGTCCCAACTATGTATTGGCTTCCGAAGCTACACAAAACACTTTACAAATATAGATTCATTTCGTCTTCAAGCCATTGTTCCACTACTAAATTGTCTATTCTTCTTACCAGTACACTTGGTACAATCAAAAACCTGATAATAAATTGTTCAAATAAGGCCTTCGAAAATAGTGGAATTAATTACTTTTGGAGTGTCAAGAACTCGTTGGAAGTACTTGATAAATTGCATGCATATATTGGTGATTTTGAATCTGTTCAAAGTTTTGATTTTTCTACCCTATATACCACATTGCCTCACATTCTCATTAAGAAAAAATTCACACACCTAATTAAATGGGCATTTAAAAAGTTAGAATGTGAATATATATGTTCAAACTCTTTTAGGTCATTTTTTAGTAGCAATAAACAAAAAAACTATGTCAATTGGACATGCTTTGATACTATATATGCCCTTGAATTTTTACTAGATAACATTTTTGTTCGCTTTGGAGATTCCGTATATCGTCAGGTTATCGGAATTCCAATGGGGACTAACTGTGCACCACTTATTGCGGACCTTTTTTGTATTGCTATGAGTTACAATTTATGACAAAAATCAGTAAAGACCCATCGAAACAACATCTGATACACAAATTTAATAATACTTTTAGATATTTGGATGATATTTTGGCTCTCAATAATGACGACTTCAGTATGTATACTAAAGAAATTTATCCTGTTGAACTTACTTTAAATAAAGCTAATACTAACAATGACCACTGCCCTTTCCTCGATCTTGATATCTATATCATTAACGGAAAGCTGAATACTAAAATATATGATAAAAGAGATGATTTTTCATTTCCTATCGTTAATTATCCATTTTTAGATGGTGACGTTCCCTTGTCACTATCTTACGGTGTTTATATATCTCAACTTGTACGATTCGCTCGTGTATGTAACAATGTTTTAGATTTTAACGAGAGAAATTTATGTATTACTGAAAAATTATTACACCAGGGTTTTCGATATCACAAACTAGTCAAAACATTTACTAAATTTTATCATCGGTATAAGGACATCATTCGTAAATATAGCTCAACATGCAGACTTCTTATACGTTCAGGTATTTCACATCCAATTTTTTTATGGAAATATTCTTTATAAAGCACAAAAATGTCAGTATTCACCTCTGAAACTAACAAAACCTTTAAATAGACTTATTAAGAAGGGATATAGTTACGATACTGTTGTCAGGTCATTAAAGATTGCATATTTTGGCGTTAATATTGATTCACTTATAGGGTCTTTGCATCGGCACTAAACACATTTATTTAAAAACCAGTTGTTGGCATGACACGGGTTATGTTCTTCTCATATATGTTATGATGGTATGATACTAAACCCCTAACGGGAAGGATTGTGCCTGATATTCATATGACGAAGACATAATCTTTCAATCAGTTTAATTGAAGTCTGGAGCTGGCATGTCAGTTAACTGCTAGTAGTCTGTTGTTATTTATGTATTATTGTCATTTTGTTTATTTTCTTTGGTTACATCTTCTGACATCAGACTCGGACTTCTCTTGAACTGAATTTTAATGTGCGTATTGTTATGCGTTTACTTTTCTACATTGGCTAGAGGTATAGGGGGAGGGTTGAGATCTCATAAACATGTTTAACCCCGCCGCATTTTTGCGCCTGTCCCAAGTCAGGAGCCTCTAGCCTTTGTTAGTCTTGTATTATTTTTAATTTTAGTTTCTTGTGTACAATTTGGAGTTTAGTATGGCGTTCATTATCACTGAACTAGTATATATATTTGTTTAGGGGCCAGCTGAAGGACGCCTCCGGGTGCGGGAATTTCTCGCTGCATTGAAGACCTGTTGGTGGCCTTCTGCTGTTGTCTCTTCTGTGGTCGGGTTGTTGTCTCTTTGACACATTCCCCATTTCCATTCTCAATTTTATCTGATGCAGTACAATAGGTACCATTTATGTTATTACCATCATTCTTCTCTACGAGAGAGGAGTATACAGCTCTATCACTGTCCGTCAATCCCATGAAATTTTAGTCGCTCTCTTGGTACTACGAATAAGAGCTTCCACAAATTTGGTATAAGGCTTCACGTGAGCATGATTAAATTTAATTGTGTGATGGGTTGTCAAATTCATTGTTCATCAATTTATTGTTAACCGAATACTATTAGATAACGGAGGTACCATTTGTGAGAAATAACTCACGAAAGATCTTGTTGATAATTGGACATCGTTTAGTGTATATAGAATATATCGGTCTACATTTCAGGAATTCCAATTTAAACTATATGGAAATGATGACAGTGGGAGATCATTCACAAGAAAGCTCTCGGAACTTCACAAACATTCAAGTGTTGAACTACAAATTACAGCATCCAAAGGTAGATGTATAGGGATCTTAACACTTCTTTTAATAGTATTAACTACAACTTTGACCTAAGTGAAATCTGCTCAATCACAAATGTGATTATACTTTAGTATCTGCTATTGATAAAACCAAGCGTAGGATACTCTAAATAGGCTTTATTATACAGTATGGGTTTTGCTTTTTGTTGACGGCCGTAGGCTGTGCATCTACGTCATTTGGTATCTTATGGGATTAGTTGTCTCATTGGGAACCATACCACATCTTCTTATTTTTATTTTGGTTATCATGACATTTAAACTCCAATTAGTGCAGCGAAGTAAATATGATCGTTGAATACGAACGTATATGTTGGTGCGTCCTCTATTTGTAATCACATCACTAAGGAACTTTTACGCCTTTCAGAGAAATCAAATATGTGCTTATTTAACACCCTATGGCATATTTAGTGTTGCACTGTATGATAACGATCCCGTATTGATTTAATTGCTTTTAATGTTACGAACCGCCCTTGGTATTCTCGTGCTAGCCCTTTTACTGGAGGTCGTGGGCTCGAAACAGAATGAACACATAATTTGAATTGAAAGGAATTTATACACAAACAAATGGAAATTTATTATTATCAGTCCTGAAAAGTTATATTTAATGAATGATAAAAATTCTATATAAATTTTTCTATTTTCGCGTTTTTAACAATTTTTGTTTTACATTTTACCCATGAGTTTTCGATTGATTGATTGATTGTTGGTTGCTTAACGTCCAGTGGCAAATATTTCATGCATATTCAGGACGAGAACAAGTTCACAATAAATACAATATGTAGGTTCTGTAATAGATTAAGGGATTATGGTCGGAGAAATTTAGACTGCCACGGGAAATCAGGGTATATTGGATAGGGACAGAAATTTAGCCTTGCAACAGGTCACCTACGGACCCCTCAAAGAGTTGTTGCAAGGGTTCTTAACGTGCAAAGAGCGTGGCACTCTCTTTACACGAGGCATCGGATTTAACGTCCCCATTCTGACCGGACGTGGCTGCAAATTTGTACATCCCGCACAGCCAAACGGACGCCCCACTTTAGCACGGGTTTTACTGCCGGTCGGAGGAAGACCAATGGTGACCATACTTCTATTCCCCAGTCACCCTTGGGGGGCATGAGTTTTCGAAAAAAGTGACACAAAGAAGATACTCACAAAAAGAGATACTAAAATTGCGGCTTTCAAATTACACACAGACAGTTAGAAACTGACCCCTTTCTTGTGTCGTGACGACTCATATCCTTTCTTCTACCCTGGCGCCCACAAATAATTATACATGCAACTGCCCAGTTCCATATAACACCAATAACTTTTTCTAGATGACGTAATAATTGGAAAAGAAAGGCTTATTGGTTATGAGGTTTTAAATCGCGGTGCTGTGACAGAGACCTATAATGTGATAATATCAGACGACCATTCATTTGTCCAAGGAACCACAGCTGTAGAGCATACCCTTCTTCCTGGAGATGGTGCTAATGGAACCTTTGCTGTAAAGCCTACCACACCCTCTGTTATATTGTATGTATCATTTGTTGAATAAAAAGCGTTATTTGAAAATCAGTTCATATAATTCACAATATTCTTTCAAACAAAATCAAATATATAAATGTGCAAGTCGTGATTAATAACATACCTTGATTAAATTTTCCCTTTGTAATTTATAGAATATTAAGAAATGAAGGTTGCAACTCCCTCAGGCAAAATAGGCCTTCGATGATTTGGTTATTATTTGTAGATACTTTTTGGTCATATAGCCCCATATCTGTTTCAGTTCTTAATCATCCTTGGCTTTCAAATATTCGGCTTTAAGCGTTCCTAATGAAGATAAATCAAGAAAAGCGCGTCGGACGCATGGAAATTTAAAAGTGTTATTTCAATTGTTTTTTTTTTCATGACAAACCGATCTTATATTATATTTTGCTATAATATAAAACTTTTCATGATCATACATTTTGATTGTAGTAAATGATTTGCAAAAAGCTAGCTGTTGATGTCTATGCCTCATATTAAATATCTATACACTATGCGCATCTTACAAAAAAAGACGTATCTTTTACCTTACATTTCAACTTTTATTTCAGCTCGTATACGATATCAGTTGCAATTATATCAACTGGAGAGGTTCAACAGAGTATCACCAGGAAACTTGTGGTATGCTCAAAATTCTAAAACATAACTTAGAAGAACTATTTTTTAATAACTTCTCTTAAAAGTACACTTTCATGTAAATGATGTTTTGATAACTTAAATAAAATTTGACATTACCAAATTTCGATACTACAAACTGTTGAAAACCTTAACTAAATTGTACTTTGATACATATTTGATGAATTTTAAATTGAACAAACACGGTAAATTAGCTATACTGAAGATAATGTTTATATGAGACATATGACTAATTTAACTAGGTTAGTTATAACTAATGGTAGTTTGGTTCTCGAAATACTTTTTTCTTATTTTCTGTAGGTATTTTGTCAGTGGTTTTGTTGCCCATTCGTGGTTAGGAAATTAGTATTGGTTGTATCTATAACATTGGTCTATAAAATATAAAGCGAATCATTTCAATATTGTACAAATTTTACAGAGACGGAAACACTACTTCAATCAACGAAATTTACTTGATTAATAAAATTTCCGAAGTTTTTCGACTAGGCTTTTCTTAGTATTACGTTCTCACACGTCTGGTACTTTCTACAATTGTTTGGAGACATGGTTCTGAAACATGCTACTAGTCTAATATTCTTATTGGCATCACAAAAAGTTGCAATCAGAAGGGAATCAAAACTGTCCATTTATCCTTTCTTAACCCTGACACATTAGTCATAACTTGACATAATTGTATACTTATTAACTCTCAATCACTTGTAAAGCTATCTGCTCTGACACATTTGTATAACTATTTACGTTGAAGAAACTGTATACTGATTTACACAGTCACATACCGATTTTCCCTGACATACCTGTACAAAAAACCTGACACACTGGTATACCTTTTTTGTCTGACACAATTGTATACATTTTTACCCTAATACACCTAATATACTTGTATACTTTAAAACCCGGACACACTTGTTTACCTATTATTCCTGACACATTTTTTTATCTATTCATCCTGACAAACGTGGTTACCTTTTAATCCTGACAAACGTAAGCTTGTTTACATATTTTCTTGAGCGACAGTATTCTACTTACAGTTAAATACCAAACAACACTTCTTTCCAAATATGTGCCGTCTTTGTGTCTTTGTTAAAATAAGATGTTTTGAGTTGATAACTGGACTGCGTACCTTTTTATTTGTCTTTAACCTTTACAACCTATGTTCTAGCATGTTAAACCTGTTAAAATTTACAATATAACTTGCCTGTACCAAAATAGGCTTTCGTGACTATCTTTTTTTCGGTATTGTTTGTCTTTGTTAGTTATTTTTTTTTCTCGGTTTTGGGGTTTTGTTTTAGTCGGTCTTGCTGTTTAATTTATTTGGTATTCCCTTTTAACCATTTTGTTTATTTATTTATTATTACCCATGTAGTTAACGTACTTGAAATTACCCATACTGATGAACAAGATGTTTTTGGCAAAATATAATAGACATATACAGGTCTGTCCGTCAATTAAGTTTGCTTTCGATTGCCAAAATTTCCAAAAGGAATATGATAATGTGAACTATTATCGAAAGACTGACATTCGTCTAATAACAATAGCTCATAGTGATATTCCTCATCAAATGAGTTTGAAACTCACAAAAAATTACGAACCTCCGTACTAATATTGGTCTCGGCAGCGAAATAGACATTTTAAGAAGCTATCCCTCTACAAAACAAACAAACAATAAGAAAATGTATTGGAAAAAGAACATTGCACATTATATCGAAAGGTTTAGAACTTGATCGTTACATTCTTCAAACAAAGCATGTTTTTATGTTATTATGTTTCACTTTTAATTTACTTTTTCAAATATTCCTCTGTATTAGGTAACAGATGTTGAGAGGCCTGATTGTACTGTTGTACATACGGATGGAATATGTGGTATATCGTCGCTAAATACAGCTAATTGTTCTGTGTACAACTGGACAGCTTCAGCTGAAGTGACATTTTCAGGGACACTGTTAGAGAGTATATCATCAACTGTTGGAATGTCAGTTAAATTAGCTCATGTTAATATAACGGGGTTATCTACTGGACCAATAGCTGTTAACATCAGGTAAGTGCATGACTCATATGAAAAAAAAGCATGACGCTAGTACGAGTTAAAGGGGTTTATAATGATATAAATTTCCATATATGTGCAACACTCCTTTGTTATGCGACTATGCTTTGAGATAGACAAAATCTATCACATAAAATTCAGCGGAAGGATTTCGGATTAAAATCAAACTTTAGGAAAAAGAAAATTAACACGCACATCGTTTCGCATTGTCACTATAAAGTGCTGAAAGTGGCGTAAAACACCAACAGTCAATCAATCAATTTTGTGTAGGGTTGTATCATTTTTATATCGTCTTTTAAATTCGAAAAAAAAACCAATCACAAATGTTAAGAACTGCAAAATGTATGATAACAATTTCTGTCATCACGACGTATGTTTCTTTAATAACCTTTCAATATTTGGAAAGCCAAATATATAAAACGCTTCAAAGCATAAAAACAAAACGGACAATAGAAATGGTGCCTAAACAAAGAACATATGAGCTCATATATTTATGTTTTCAGTGGTGACTGTTGTACGCCATCTGTATACATAAATGTGATCGATGTTGATGGTTTTATATCACAGTGTGATTTATCTTTTGGAAATGGACAGTCAGTTCAGTCAGTAGAAGATGTGTCAGAACCTTCCGGGTCATCGGTAAGTTATTGATATAGAAACCCCTCTGGCCTACTTGATATTCCCAAGCAAATTTAAAAATGAATTTTCTATTTGCTTCGCATCACGGTGCGGAGCTATTAGTTTCAGTCGATATACACGCCATCTTGAAATAATTACTTATCACATATAGATTCTGATTGGTTGCATTATGATGCGGCTGGGATACAGCAACAGCTATTGGCTTAAATGAGATAAAGAATATCAGACTTTTCTCGTCTCAGGATAAGACATTAAATGCCGGAAAATTAACTATGTGTATTTCAGTTCCGATCAACTGTCATTAATTCATGTTCGTTTTATAATGCATATATTGCACACTGAAATTCAATATTGAAATATCAATTATTAATACGTGTTAATTTGCTTCGTTAATCTGCAATATGCACGATTTGTTTTGCTAAACAATGTTCCTATACAATGTTTACAAAAATGCATTATCTGTATTTTATAACTTCTGCCATAATACTCACACCTCCAGAGTCGTGTGTCTATTTGTAAATGTTTCAGTTTTCAACAAGTAAAGTGAACAAAATTTTAAAAGCATGGGTGTATAATACACAATCTTAAAGTAGAACAACATCATTTTCACTGAAACTAAATATTTATTGATGTTTCTTATTTATTTTAACTGTTGTAAATATCTTTTGGTTGTACAAGTCTTTGTTTACACCTTGGTTTTGATTATTATTGTCTTCATCACTCAAAATCATGTTACTCTTAATCAACATACCTAAACATTCATATATCTCTAAATAAATTATATACAGAACTAGCAATCAAAATCGCAAGTCAATGACCAGCTGAAAGAACTAGAAAACCACACTGCACAAAAACACATTGACAACTAAACACTGATTGATTGATTGATTGTTGGTTGCTTAACGTCCAGTGGCAAATATTTCATGCATATTCAGGACGAGAACAAGTTCACAATAAATACAATAGGTAGGATCTGTAATAGATTAAGGGATTAAGGTCGGAGAAATTTAGACTGCCACGGGAAATGAGGGTATATTGGATAGGGACAGAAATTTAGCCTTGTAACAGGTCACCTACGGACCCCTCAAAGAGTTGTTGCAAGGGTTCTTAACGTGCAAAGAGCGTGGCACTCTCTTTACACGAGGCATCGGATTTAACGTCCCCATTCTGACCGGACGTGGCTGCAAATTTGTACATCCCGCACAGCCAAACGGACGCCCCACTTTAGCACGGGTTTTACTGCCGGTCGGAGGAAGACCAATGGTGACCATACTTCTATACCCCAGTCACCCTTGGGGTCCAACTAAACACTGAACAGCCTGTTTAAAATTTCAGAAGAGTTCATCTTAATAGATATACAAAAATTGATATTCCAAGTCTAAGACATCCATTTTATATCAATCAATATATAAAAATACCACATTTCCAATACTAAATCAACAACCACATGCACACATATTACCTTAAACTAGGATAAAGCGAAGCAGTCCACAGTTTTTTAGAAAGCTCAATCTTGTATATAATTAATATCAGCACGGTCATGACATGCGTACTGAATTATGAGTCTGGTATCTTTGTTGCGTGTCTACAACCAATAGGTGTATGTTACTGCTGGAGAAACTTCGTCATCTACACACCGACTACTGAATCCTGAGATGTTTTGACGATTTGATCTCATGGTTCATTTTTACCGACATATTTTCTTAATGTCACCTTAATGACAGCTGAATCCTATGAGTAAAATTGCAGTTTTGACGACTGGATCTTTTTTTTTGTCAGAAAAATCATGGTGAATATATACTTTTTCTTGATTTTTAATTTTGAAATTAAAGTAAAGGTATCGCTCACCTGCATCTTCAACAATGGCCACTTTTCAGTAAGAATCAGTAAACAGGAATAACTCAATTAAGAGTGAACTATCAATTTCAGTCATGTTGACGTATTAGTAGATCTTATCCTGCTTAGCTTTTTTTTCGTTTTAAAGTTTCTATTTATCTATAACAGTATTCAAGATTATATGCGAAACATGCAACAAATGATAGAAATTATCATTTAAGTGAAATTACTCCAATATTAAGTTGACTGAAGATTTCGGACATTGTAATTTATTTGTAGATCTGGTCTTGCTGATAAGTTTTTATATTTGAAATTTCTATCTATCTATTATAATTTTAAAGATAATAGGTAAAAATGCAAATAATTGGGAAAAATCGTCATTAATGGGTAACTCAATAAGGTGTCGACTGACCATTTCGATCTTGTTGACTTATTTGTAGATCTTGCCTTGCTGATAATTTATCTATTTATCTATTAAAGTTTCCAAGATAATTGACAAAAATGTCAAACAATGGGGACAATCGTCATTAAAGAGTAATAATTTCAATAAGAGGTCGACTACCGATTTCTGACATGCTAACTTATTTGTAGATCTTGTCTTGCTGATCATTTTCGTTTTTGTCCAGTAGTTTGAGAAAAGATGATCTTTGTAAAAGATTACAGACGACGGACGCAAAATGATGGCAAAATATGTTCCTTCCTCTTTTACGTTATTAAAAATGCTTGGTCAAAGTTTATGAACCAATGGACCTCATACGAATAGAAAGACCAATAAGTGTTCAGATTGAATATTTTGAAGTTGCTTGATGTCAAGTAACAGGTTTATGCAAATGTTACAAACATTTGGTGAAAATTTGGTCGAAAAAAAGAATTTGAAACTAGAAACTGGACAGGTAGCATTCATCCATAAGATGAACAAATGAACGCTTTGTACCGTTGTTTTCTCTATTATGAATTGATTTTCCATGCGGAGAGCAAGCTTTTCACATGTGTGCGTATGCATACAATCCATACATCGGAGTGTGTGTATCTCGTTGGAAAGGTCTTTCCTGCTGCACACAAAAATGTAAACAATCATGTTTTCTACTGTATGTAAAGATTTTTTCCACAATTACCTATAATATACTTTTTTTTATCTTTCAGGGAACAGATGTCTACACAATCATTATTCTACTGACAGTTTGCGTCATTCAGTTGTTATAATTGTCGTATTTAGCGGATTTTCTCTGCGCATTCACCAGATTAAGTCGAAAAATGCATTATACAAATTTGAAGCAATCCCGAAAGAATTATTAAATGCCGAAATGATTTATAAAAACAAGGATAATCTATTATTGAACAATGATTTATTAAAACAAAAATGCTTGTCGTATATAAGCTTACATAAACTGCAATAGTAATTAATGTGATTATGTTTAATGCCAAAGGAGTAGAGCCAGTAACCCCAACTAAACGACCCTGGAAAGGTGTATTTTTTTTTATTCAATTGCTTGAGTTAATCTTATTTGCAAGTATTGCTAAATGTATTATTTTTGAAAGTATAAATAAATAAAAATATTTGTGTATCTGCTTCATACAAATTTATAAATATTTTAGCCTGCCGTATGAATAGATTCCATTTAGTCCATTTTTGTAGAAATGTGTCACCTTTTTCGACCTATTTTCATAATTTCGTATGTGGCGCTACCCCTCGCCCATTGAAACTTTGGTTGAAAAATGAAGAATTTGGTATATATAACGAATATTTCAGGAAAAAAAATTGTGAGCACCACTGTTTATTTTTCAGAGAACTGAAATTCAAATGATGCAAAATCAGGTTTAAACGGAATTCATTCACCTTCATCTATAACGTCACAATAGGTCGAAATCTTTTTTACTGAAAGAATTTGACATTTTAACATGTTTTACCCAGTTTCTCATAACAATACCATGATTATCGCAGTTATAAATTTTCAGATTTTAAGGTCCAACATTATGAGTGAACCAACTCCTTTAATCTTAATTACAGCAATAGCTTTCAACTCGTACTACATTGCAGTCGGATGGATGCCAAAGATTTCCATTTTGTTTTTATAATTTACAGTATGTGTTGTTTGATATATATATCATTTGACCTAAGTTTTAAATGTTATTCAACTGGTGTTACCTGTACGTCTAAAATATATATATTAACTGTTTTGTGCCAAAAAATATTTACATATTTTTCCGTGCAATATAATTTACCAAATAAATAAGTTTTAAAATCCTTGCAATCCTAACTTAAGTCTAATCGGAATGGATTTATGTGATAATTGAAATGATTGATTTTTTATTGATTGGTGTTTGCTTAACACCAACTTAGCTTGCACAAAACTGATTGATTGATTGTTGGTTGCTTAACGTCCAGTGGCAAATATTTCATGCATGTTCAGGACGAGAACAAGTTAACAATAAATACAAAAGGTAGGTCTTACAATAGAGGCCGTCCGGGATGAAGGTCGGGGAAATTTGAACTGCCACGGAAAAATGAGGGTGATTTGGATAGGGACAGAAATTTTGCCTCGCAACTGGCCACCTACGGACGGTCCATCTCAAAGAGTTTCTGCAAGGGTTCTTAACCTGCATAGATCGTGGCACTCTCTCTACACGAGGAATTGGATTTAACGTCCCCATTCTCACCGGACATAGCTGCGTACTTGATACATCCCGCACAGTCAAACGGACACCCCACTTTGGCAAGGGTTCTATTGCCGGTCGGAGGAAGACAAGTGGTGACCATATTTCTATTCCCCTGTCACCCTTAGGGGTTATTAGCACAAAAAGTATACAACATAGCGAGATAGTTTTACAATTTTAATTGTTTTACAAATCAGACAAAAAGGAATTCCATATACTGAAACGTAAGTTAAAAGCGAAAAAACTATTCACAAATAAAATTCAACACTATGACTCTTCTTCTTCCCGGTTACGTGTACGTGTCGGACTCCGCAATTGGGTGTAATTGACTCGGGCACTACGAGATAAGAAAAATTGTGTTACCACATATTTATATTTTGAAATATAATTCCATTGTTTTTCAAAATTAAACAATTTTCTCAAATTTGGAATACTATCAAATATACCATACATATATTATTGTCGAAATGCTTCCTCCGAATAAAGCCAAAATCAAAACGTTTAAAACAACATGTTTAGCTGTATTCTTGCAATCGAAAGGTATACATTGCGGTTGAACGTCATTTTAAAGAAGATACTCATGTGTTATTGTGTGGTAGTAAGTCTGTTGATAGATCAGTCTTTGTTGAAAGTTCGGTGACAAAAAGTTCATGAATATTAAGCACGAAAATAAAGTAATCAATAAATCTGATGTGTTTAGCAAATTTTGCCAACTGGAGGAGTGGCGCTAAATTTGAAAGGATACTGGAAGATGGGGTTTAAAAATTAGCCTGACAACAGGCCAACTATGGGCCCCTTAAAGAGTTTCTTCATTCTTAAAAGCTTACGCGAATTTATACACCCCCTACAATCCAACGGACTATTTCTATTTAATTTCTTATATTTTGACATGTTTGATACCGAAATAAATTTTTCGGATTGACTGATGCTTTTTATTATTTTCGCGCATTTAAATTATATATCTTCATACAAAAACTGGGCCTATAAAATTCTAAATGCCATTTCAAGCATATCAAGCTTCTAAGGAAACGGGATACTGTCCACTGTTCGCTATTAACTTACATATTTGCTTTTGGTTCTGACGGGATACTTTACAATTATTCAATATAATTTATAAAATAATCAGGAATATAACCCCAATATGAAAAAAATAAATAACACGTTTTGTTCAATATTCAAAATTAAAACTTTTCAAGATAAATATTTATCATGAATTATCTTTATATTTACCTGTGCACACTGTAAAATGAAAACGCAGAAATGTAATAAAATAATGGGCGGAATATTAAATAAATAAAATAAATGCTAAAATACGCTTAAATGTAATGCGCCAAAAGTTTTTACAGGTATTTCTAGGACTGCAATTTATTTTAGAAATATTGCTCGGTTAAAAAAATGTCTCTACTGAAACAGAGCCATTTAATCCTCTAAACATACAATTAACAAGAAATGATTGTAACAGGATGCTGTTACGAAGTCTCCCAAACGAAGCTCCCATAATTCGTAATTCCCAAGGTCGCCTGACATTTGGCAAAGTCCAGTGAAATTGGTTTGGTCCAGTAAAATTATATGCATTAGTAATGCCTGGGGACTAACCCTGTATATCATTCAAATCATCTTGGCATGACAAACCAGAATATATATGGTTAAGGGGTGGGGATCTCGACCATTTACAAGATACTAGAACATTGGGGGTGGGGGGGGACCCCTGGGGACTGACCCTATACGTCATTCAAATGTTTTAGACATGACGAACAGGAATGTATATGGTTTAGGGGTTGGGATCTCGACCATTTACAGGATACGAGAACATTGGGGGTAGGGGGGAACCCCTGGGGAATGACCCTTTACGTCATTCAAATGTTCAAACATGACAAACAGGAATATATATGGTTTAGGGGTGGGGATCTCGACCATTTACAAGATATTAGAACTTTCTCAAATGGCAGGGGGTCGGGATAATCCCTGGGGACTAACCCTGTATTTCATTCAAACCATCTTCACATGACAAACCAGAATATATATGGTTTAGGGTTGGGGATCTCGACCATTTACAAGATATTAGAACTTCCTAAAATGGCAGGGGGTCGGGATGACCCCTGGGGACTAACCCTGTATATCATTCAAACCATCTTCACATGACAAACCACAATATATATATGGTTTAGGGATGGGGATCTCGACCACTTACAAGATATTAGAACTTTCTTAAATAGCAGGGGGTGGAGGTGACCCCTGGGGACTAACCCTGTATATCATTTGATGTGCTTTATCATGACAAACCAGAATATATATGGTTTAGGGGTGGGGATCTCGACCATTTACAAGATATTAGAACTTTCTCAAATGGCAGGGGGTCAGGATGATCCCTGGGGACTAACCCTGTATATCATTCAAACCATCTTAGCATGATAAACCAGAATATATATGGTTTAGGGGTGGGGATCTTGATCACTTACAAGATATTAGAACTTTCTCAAATGGCAGGGGGTGGGGTGACCCCTGGGGACTAACCCTGTATTTCATCTGATGTGCTTTATCGTGACAAACCAGAATATATATGGTTTAGGGGTGGGGATCTCGACCATTTACAAGATATTAGAACTTTCTCAAATGGCAGGGGGTCGGGATGACCCCTGGGGACTAACCCTGTATATCATTCAAACCATCTTAGCATGACAAACCAGAATATATATGGTTTAGGGGTGGGGATCTTGATCACTTACAAGATATTAGAACTTTCTCAAATGGCAGGGGTTGAGGTGACCCCTGGGGACTAACCCTGTATTTCATCTGATGTGCTTTATCGTGACAAACCAGAATACATATGGTTTAGGGGTTGGGATCTCGACCATTTACAAGATATTAGATTGATTGATTGATTGTTGGTTGCTTAACGTCCAGTGGCAAATATTTCATGCATATTCAGGACGAGAACAAATTAACAATAAATACAATAGGTAGGTTCTGTAATAGGGGCGTCCGGGATTAAGGTCGGAAAAATTTAGACTGCCACGGGAAATGAGGGAACATTGGATAGGGACAGAAATTTAACCTTGCAACAGGTCACCTACGGACCCCTCAAAGAGTTGTTGCAAGGGTTCTTAACGTGCAAAGAGCGTGGCACTCTCTTTACACGAGGCATCGGATTTAACGTCCCCATTCTGACCGGACGTGGCTGCAAATTTGTACATCCCGCACAGCCAAACGGACGCCCCACTTTAGCAAGGGTTTTACTGCCGGTCGAAAGAAGACCAATGGTGACCATACTTTTATTCCCCAGTCACCCTTAGGGTCAAGATATTAGAACTTTCTCAAATGGCAGGGGGTCGGGATGACCCCTTGGGACTAACCCTGTATATCATTCAAACCATCTTAGCATGACAAACCAGAATATATATGGTTTAGGGGTGGGGATCTTGACCACTTACAAGGTATTAGAACTTTCTTAAATGGCAGGGGGTGGGGGTGACCCCTGGGGACTAACCCTGTATTTCATTTAATGGGCTTTATCATTTAGAACATTTTCAATCAAAAAGATTGTGTCTATCACAAACGGTTTTCAATTTATAATCATTTGAAAATTTAAAAGATAAAATCCCATAGGGTTCTATAGTAAAACACTCCTCTCTGTTTGCCCCTCAAAGTACCCCTTTATAAACCCTATTGCACAAACAAAACCCTGATTGCACCACTAGACATGTTAGTCTAACATATTGTGAAACCCTAAGTTAATCTGACAAGCGGTTTTGGAGAACGGATGCGGACAAGTTCAAAGAACTGAGCAAAAACAATAAGTCTTTCCAAACTTCGTTTGGGAGACTTAATAAAGATGCAATGGATAACCGAACGGACAATACCATTGTAACCAGTTGATAAGAACCCTACAAAACAGACCAAAATTCATCTCTTAT